GACAAAGAAAACCCAATAATTTTAAATATAGGGTGCGGCATATTTAAGGTGTTTTTGTTTTAAACATTATTAAATTATCTTACAGATAATTGCAACGGAACCTCTCCATGTCTACCTTGTTGAACGTATGCATGGAACGGCCGCTGAGTTGCAGTGATTTTTTAAAAACGACTTTAGTGACAAAAGCACGCTGCTCAGATCACCACAGGATAGGCTAATGGCATTGTGTAAGCTTTCCAACTAGCCTACCCCTAAAGAGGCCTACCGCCCTCAGACGACCTGTCGCTGAACAGTGCACTGCAGAAAGATATGATAAGTTAACCGATGATATCGGTTTTTTGGCCACACTCTGTATAAGCCTATGAGTTTACTAATAAAAGGTTAAAAACCTGTAGGTTTCGAACCTGGGTCGCTGACTTAAACCAGGCTCACAGACAGTACTACGAGGTATTTTAAAACCTTTTATTAGTAAAATAGGCCTAACTTAAGTGATCCAGAAGCTAAAAATGTTAAAATATAAGTTTACATCCCACTGTACCAACCTAAAATTTGTATTGCATTCCAAAACTAAAAGTACCTTCCTAGCCTAAGTTTAAGATCTAAGTTATGTGGTAAAACATTAACAAACATTTTTCCACTACTAGGCCTAACTACGGTACGTGTTATCCACCCAAACTCGTCCAGCTCTATCTGTCTATAAAACTAGTTGTCAAACATAACCCTATAGGGCCTACTTGTGAAACGGACGGCCTGGACCAAAAAATTGAACCTGCAATAATCACATTTCCAGAGCTTTCTATATTTTGTCGTACCTAAACACATTATCTCAACACAGGTTAAAGACCTTAGATAAAGATTGGTAGGCTAGGCCTATTTGCATTTCGAGATAAAATAATTATGCATAGTTTTCCGCTTAAGAAAGTAACTTCAAAAGCCTAATTGACAAGGGGGTTGAATGTGAAGATGAGTGCAAACATTTGTTTAATACATACTGTGGAAACTATCTAGGCCTAATAAGTTAAGGATCCATTTCAAGAAAATCGCAAGATCGCTTTTTTTTTCAGACCACTCAAAATTTAAAAGATGCATAAAAAAACTGTTAGTTATTTCCTGTTATACAGCATAAAGAGTTCTTGGACCACAAGATTCGGAATGCTGTAAAGCCTGGTGTAGGCTATAGATAGCAACAGTTGAGATTTGTTTAAATTACTGTTGTCTAGCCATAGTTTGTAAATACCTTACTGTAAGTTATCTTAGATAGATTAATAAGAATAAGGAAAACTGACTTTAGAGTCTAAACCTACACCTTGAACCCGCACCATGATTATTAGTGTTATGTATGGCCATTATTTGTTAAAAGTTTTGTTCGTGTATCGTGTTTATCTTTTGAAGACTTCTTGACGACCTCCTAGGAGCGACAACACATCTTAAAGGCTTGACAATGACACCTTGAGTGTCGAAACCGGTTGCTATTCAGACGACCAATAGATTACGTTGGCAACAAAAAGGTATGTAGGCCTAACCTCTAGAATACATTGTTAAAAAAGGGCCTAGGTAATCCGGAAGGCAAAACCTCAAAAATGAAAATGTTATAGGCTAGCCTACTTATGTTAATTATACCATAACTTTGATAAATGCAATATTTAGGCCTATTGTCAATTTTAGCTCAATAAAATGATTTGATTTGATCACTAAAAGAAACTTTGAAATGCAAAAGAATTGACTGCCAGCTCTTCAGAAACCAAATGATAAATTGAATTAGATCATTTTAAAGTTCGATCAGTTAAGTTAGGTCACATTGGTTTAAACGAGGACGAAATTCAAGTCGCTACGAGTAATATCAAAAGCAAACTAGAACCTCTTGCTGCTAAAATAAGTTAGATACCGTAACTTTGAACATTGTAGTTAACTTATTGTTTCAGTCTTAGAAAGCAAGTTGGTAAATCTAGTTGATGTTGCTGACAGAGTCGATTGCTTGGAATCTAAATTAAGCTTTACGTCGGCTGTTGTTGATACAACTTGGAAAAAATCTGGAGTGAAATTGGAAATAGAGAATCCTGATTCTGAAAGTTAACATTCATAGTTCATGGGACCGAGGAAAAGAATACTGCCCCGAAGTACCTATTTAAGCAAAAATCAGACGTGATAACGACCTAGTCTGCATATTGATCATTTATTGTAAACCTGATAAATGTTATTGGATAATAATCTGAAAGTTTTCATTAGCCAGAGTTCTTCAGGAAAGAAACCTAAAACCTCTCAAAGAGTGCATCAAGGATCGTTCTAACATGAGAGAGTTTAATAAAACTGCTCTCGTTGAGATCGATCAAAGTCTTGAGAATGTCAGTGTTACAAGAGACAATACTAATGAGGAAAGAAAGCGCCTGTAAGAACTATGAGACATAGCCTACTAAGTTAATTGTTCCATCTAGGCTAGGCTACATTAAGTTATCATTTAATCTTAGGCTAAGCTTATCACAAATACCCCCGCCGCAGCAAATCTGCCGACTAAGCGAATTTCCATTATCTCTAAATGATTTTCAATTGAATCTATTTAGGTTTAACGAGTAACTAGGTTTGCTGCCACAAGGAAACTGAAACTAATTAAGTGTGTTTTAGTAAAATATTAATAGCTTAGTATAAAATAAATAAATTTGCCTAGTTTGATCAAAATATATCCATAAACAAACAAACTACAACATTTTCAATATTCTCCATAAGAAAAACATGGGAATTTTCTCCGTTACCAATAACCGTAAAAAAACACTTTGATATAGGCCTACTAAATTATTTGTTTTTTAAGCTCTTTAATATGGTCTAGAGATAAATTGGGAAATTTTGTGTTTGGGGGTCAAAAATGAGAAAAACCAATTTTTTCCCCATAAAACCCACCGGGAAACCCCGTTCCCATGGTCCGATCATGCTGGTTCCGCAAACTCATTCAATTTTATCTCGCCTTACACCTTTAAACCAAATTTCATCAAAATCAGACAAAACTTACTCAAGTTATCGCGTTCACGGACACATATATATATAAATCTAGGCCTATACATATATACAGAGTGTTTCATTAAAGCGTAGCGGGCTATGCAGATTCAGATTCTACATGCAAAAATAAGTCGAAAATGAAGAATAACTTTTTTTCGATTTCGGCTTAGTTTGGCCGTAATCCGCCATTTTGTTTTTTTTTTTTAATAATTAATTACTCAAAAACACTTGGAGATATTTTTATGAAACTTGGTATAAACTTTAAGTCTACAGGTATAAACATTCTCCAAAAATATCTTCGATCAGGCTCATCTAGTTTCAAAATGGCGACCATTTAATTTTTTTTTTTTTGTAATGGCCGCTTTTCAGTGAGTTTTACTTAAAAGAATTTAAATGGCCGCCATTTTGAAATTTGATGAGCCTGATCAAAGATATTTTCAGAGAATCTTTATACCTGTAGACTTAAAGTTTATACCAAGTTTCATAAAAATATCTCCAAGGGTTTTTGAGTAATTAATTATTTTCAAAAAAATACAAAATGGCGGATTACGGCCAAACTAAGCTGAAATCGAAAAAAAGTTATTCTTCATTTTCGACTTATTTTTGCATGTAGAATCTGAATCTCTATAGCCCGGTACGCTTTACTGAAACACCCTGTATAGCTACAAATTTGAACGAATGGTGTTTTTGGCCTCTGGGGACATCACAATGAAAAAGTAAATCGGTCCCGGGCCTAGGTTTTACCGTGCCACCTACAGTAAGAGCTACTTCCCTATAGGGAAATTCGCTAAAAGAGCCCTAACTTAACTTAAGTTTCCTCAGTGTAGGTAAGTTAGGTACCGGTAGGATATCATAAAAAAAATATGGTACGGTATTAAGTTAAGATACGGTACAGTACTCGTAGGCCCAGGCTATGTTAAGTATTTACTCTAGTAATATGGTACCGGTACTTAGATATTAAATTACCAGTAAGTTAAGAGGCTACGTTACGTTATCTTGCCATTTAATAAGCTATTTCTTGGATTACGCCTAAGTAATATAACTGTAATTTTCATTTTATTCAATCCGAGGCAATGCCGTTCACAATCATTGTCATTTTAAGGCATGTCATCATGGTTAAGTTATTTATTATAAAAATTGGTGGACTGGACAGTTTATAAGCTATGAATAAATAAATATTAAAGAGACCTAGATACAATTGACAGAGGATACACACAACTAGGGTAGGCTAGGTAGGTCCAGGCCTGTTCAAGCTAAACTTACTATCTGTCTTTCGTACAAATAATATGCTGACCTTCCCATCAATTTTCATTTTTGAATCTTTGACCTTCTTAAAAAAAATCAGACAATGTTTCATATTAGAGGGTCATCTCACCACAGCTACAATCTAAGGAGGAACTTTAACCTACATATTCCACTAGCCTATCTCGTAAGTTACCACTTTCCATAAAAACCAATCATTCTCCATGTGTATCCGTCTTTTTAATTCTCTGCCTAACACAATCAAGGGCAAACATGATTTAAAAAAATTTAAGCGTGGTCTGAGGGAATATTTAGTTGATAAGGAATTTTACAGAGTTTCCTCGTTTTTAAATTGTAAATAGTTTGTAGCCTACCTTTTGAAGTTCGTATCTTTATTTTGATGGGTCTGATTTTACTTGTTTAGTTTTAGTGACTTTTGTCCTGTACATTTATGTAATATTATGGCAATAAAACATTCTGATTCTGATACTAAGGGAGTGGAAACTCTAGGCCCACAGCCTAGGGTCTTCCTAACTTAAAAGATGGACTAGGCCTACGCCTAGTTTGGTATCACTACCGAAAATTAAATAGGCCCCCAGAGTTCCCAGAATTAAAATGAATATACAGTAGGCCTAGCCTTCAAACATTCTCACTGCTAGACTAGGTATTCTAATTAAGTTCTAGTTCTAGGCCTAGGCTGTTAATCAAAGCAAAGGCCTAAGCTAGCCAACTAGGCCTATTATAGAGGAAATCATCAATATTTAACTCACCTAATCTCAGTTCTCCAAAGTTTCCACATCCGATTTTCTTTCCTACTCTAAAATTAGGTCCAACCATAAGAACTCCTGCAGAGCTGGAGACACTGTGCCGACTGGAATGCATGGCGGTTCTTGTCGCTGCTAGACTAGGTCTCCTTTTAGCATTCACGTCACTCGATTCTTTTTCTTTGTTATTTTCTCTAGGATCGCGTTTCTGCATAATGCGAAAACTACTAATAAAACTGGTCAGCACTCCAAATGGCTGCTTATGGTAAAGGTAGGACCCGGGCCCATTCCACTCGATAATTTAGAAACCATATCACTTCACTGATTTCAATACAACTCACGATTAACTTGACACAACGTTTTTGCTTTCCAAAATTTCAACACTTTCACATCACAAAAACTTCACACAAAAGAACACTCCATCCTAATTTACAAATTACAAGTGAATTTTATGAACGAAACAATAAACTAACACCAACCCTCCATCATTATGTTCTTGTTCTTAACTTCAGTTCACATCAATTCTTACCACCCCTCTCATATGGTCGCGGAGGAATACAGAAATTCTACACACAAAATACTTGTAATTTTGATCAAAAACCACTACTGCTGTCCAAAAATATGCAAAATTAAATAAAGATAAAGGCTCAAAACTAGCCAAATTATTAAACTAAAGGTAAAATTGCACAGTAAATTTCACGGGACTATTTCCTTGCAGATAATATCAAGCAGCTGAGCTCACGCATGAGCTGACTTTTTACCCAGACATTAACAGTTGGCCAACCTAACGCAAAAATTAATTTGATTTTGTATGACAACTAAGTAATATTTAATATTAAACTGCATGGGTTTCTATCATATATTACAAAATTATTGCTGTATTATCACTGTTTTTTTGTTTACGCATCTTATTCCTTTTCACTTGGACCACCTCTTTTATTTGAATCTCACAGACTTTTGTCTAGGTAGTTCGTATAATATTCTACTTTGATCCTTTGAGTTGATTATTATATTAAAGTAGTTAAATACCTTTTTTATTACCTGTGTTCTTGAGTAGATTTTTATTATTTTTAAATATTATCAAGCCATTGCTAATCAATGTTTATCCAAATTTCTTGATTGAAAAATTCCTTCTATTTATTAAGACTTAGACCTACTTTTATGTTATAACCATTTTGTTAAAAAGTTACACAGATTGTCTAACTTAAGTCATTGATTAAATACCCTCCCTTGGTCTAAGCATTGACTTTATATCTACACTGTGTAGATATAAAGTCAATGAACTTAGTCTATGTTTGAGCCAAATAGAGGACAAATATACAATCGATGTATGATTCAAGCAATCCATGCTGCTTAAATATCGGTTACATTATAAATGATTGTTTTTGGAAATGTTTACACTATTTTTAATTTAACATATATCTATAGTCAATCAAATTGATTAAAATCAATGAGAAAGAAACCAGGATTCTTGTGCTTCATGGTTCCCCACAATAGCCAACTTTTTCGCTGTAGAAAAAAAACACACTGAAGTTCTGAAGTTCATCTTTTTTAATGGCTTTTTAAACGTCTAAACAAACAAAACAATCAGATTAATAATAAAATACGGTAAACACAATAATGTACCTAAAGTAAAATGTAAATAAAACGTTATTGTTGATTTTGTTGACAAGTTTTCCACCTGTGGATATTATTTTAAAATATTCATCTAAAATAAAAAGTTTATAACTTAACAAAATAAATGTTAAAAAAGCCATCACATTAACTTAAGTGCTTTGATTCTAATCATTTTATTTTAAATTATCATGAGTCTTAGAGATTTGAAAGATGAGATTTATCTCATACTTCAAATAAAAGAAGGTAAGCAGAGACTAAGCTAACTTACAGTAAAACTTTTGTGTGGTTGTACTCGCAGTTTTGCTAGCTGTAAAGTCAAGCATTTAGGCCTATGTTAATGACACTTAGGCCTAACTTTATAGTGGCTAAGGGTTGCACTTAAGTTTATGTCCTACATTTACTAACTTATTATACATTAACTACCAGCTGTTTATAAAATGAAACTGATCCAAACTAAACCTAACCTTAATCAAACTGCAGTATGTGGGTAAATGTAGGACATAAATTTGAGTGCAGCCGTGGCGAAGTTATAACACATAAAAATAGGTACTTAAGCTTGTACATTACATTTACTGAGTCTGTGGCTCAGTCGGTACTTAACGGACTACGGGCCCAAGGCAGTGATGTCGTGGGTTCGGATCCTGGTCACTGCCGAAAACATTTTATAAGTAGGCCTAGGCCTAACTTACAGATCACCTTTTACTTTACCAGCTCACTCCTTGCTGTGCTATATACGATCCAGGCTGAAGGCTGTACAGTCCTTCGAGAAAACTAAGACGTGGTTCAAAGCAAATGTTTAAGCTTTGCTTAAATGAAAGGAAAACACAACTCATGACCTAGCATTCTAGCGCAGAATCCTATTCCCAACAACCTGCCTGAAGTAAAGTTATTAGGCTTCATAACCGACCCCAAACTCGCCTGGGAAAATCATACTAAGTGGGTCATTCCATATCAAATCAACAAGGCTCTCAACCTGACCATCTTGGATTTTGATGAAATTTTGCATACTTGTAGTATTTTGAGTCCTGAATCCAAATATGTTTTTTAAAAAAATCTATCTTTTATAGTTTTTATGATATTAATATTTGAAAATGGTAAAAATTGGCGTTTTTTACCGTGCGCGCAAATATAAAATGTTGTCTAGGATGAGTTCTATTGGTCCTATCAAGTTGTACAATGGCTCATTTTAAAGAGGATTCAAATGCCTTTAATCTGATACCAAACTCAACCTACTTTGGTAAAAATTAATTTTTTTTGAAAATTTCAAAATATGTTTTTGAAAAAAAATTTAAGATAGTGTTTTTTTAAAAATTTGAAAATTACATATGTTAAAGAATGTAATCTAATAAGTACATTATAAAAATTTCAAAATGGGATGATAATGGGATCAGCAGTTATGATAAAAATACTTGACTATGGTTCACTGTTTCCAAGCGTTTTGGCGCATACAGCGTGTACGTACTAACCTAAATGTATCATTTAATAAGAGTCTATTAACTATATGATTAAAATTAAAAATATCTGCCTATATTTGAACTATGTATGTCATATTTTGCTCTAATATAAACTAAATCTAGCAAATAAACAACATTATTCAAGTTAACAGAATTTCCGTCAACCTTTGAACATGGGGGCTACTTTGAACAAACTTTCCACTTTTCATATTTTATTTTTTTTTCATATTAATTTTATCTTTAAATGATAATGTTTATTATAATTTTCTATTCCTAGATAAATACTCTACTTAAAAAAATATTTAATAGTGCATACTATGGTTCTGCAAAAAATTAAAAATACTTATTTTTCACTGAAATTTTTTAGTAAAAAAAAAAGTCGTCCAAACTTCCATGTCTACAGCAATCCCAGTAAGTTTATGATTTATGACTTAAAACCATAATTGAATAGCCCATTTATCTGGGATTAAGAAAATACCTGCTTTGATTACTTTATAAGCAGTAATAACTTTAAAAAAAGAAAGAAAAAAATACCCAATTTGCTGACCCTTACTTATAACGTCGCGACCCTTAGTTCTGGAGCAAAATTTCCCGGACATGAAAAAAAAAATACTTGGGTTTTAAGTTTTAAGTGTTATTTTTTAAAATTATTTTTCTAATGAAAACAGATGTTTTGAGCCTTAGTTATTATTAGCAGCCATAATCCAATTCCTTTATTTGACTGCTATGATATTTAAAAAATACCCTTGCAAAGTTAAAAAATAACCGGACGGACATTTTGAAAATTCTCCGTAACTTTTTTTAATTTTTGACATATCAAAATAGAAGTTATACAGAAATGTGGTATGTGATTTGTGGTATTTAAATCCACAAATCAGTTTTCACTAAAAAAATTTTAATTGTTAAAGTGAGAATACATTATTTATACTTATGAGCAGACATTTCCCCAAAACTAAATAATTAGGCTATCATGGAATATTATCTATGTATCAATAATAAGGTTACTACAGGATTTAAATAGATTGATCACAGTATATTGTGTGACAAAATTATCAATGCTTGTTTGTCTCTCTCTCTTGTCACAAGAGGAAAGACAGACAAACATGGACCTATGGGTTTTGGCTCAGGTTCCTCAGTATTATCCAGTTGTGTTGCAACGATTTACTGTAATTAATCTTTAAGTCTGCCTTTTCACTAGGCTGGAGACACTAGTCAGCCACTAGATCTGTGCAAAATCACATTGTGAAACACTTTACGTTTACACTATCAGGTCGCAGCGACCCACCTCGGCAGTAGCGACACGGTCTTGAGAAGTTGTAATTTGTTTGACAGGTACACAGGTCTAACTTATGTTTGTCAGTCTTTACTCTTGTCTCAAGACCGAGTCGCTACAGCCGAGATGGGTCGCTGCAACCTGATAGTATAAACGTAAAGTGCCTCACAATGTGATTTTGCACAGATCTAGTGGCTGACTAGAGTCTCCAGCCTAGTGAAAAGGCAGACTTAAAGATTGATTACAGTAAATCGTTGCAACACAACTAACTGGAAAAGACTGAGGAACCTGAACCAAAACCCATTGGTCCATATTTGTTCAATGGTTGACGGAAACTCTGTTAACTTGAATAATGTTGTTTACTTGCTAGATTTAGTTTATATATAGCAAAATATGACATACATAATTCAAATATAGGCAGATATTTTTAATTTTAATCATATAATTAATAGACTCTTATTTAATGATACATTTAGGTTAGTACTTACACGCTGTATGCGCCGAAATGCTTGGAAACAGTGAACCATAGTCAAGTATTTTTATCATAACTGCTGATCCCATTATCATCCCATTTTGAAATTTTTGTAATGTACTTACTAGATTACATTCTTTAACATATGTAATTTTCAAATTTTTCAAAAAACACTATCTTAAATTCTTTTTCAAAAACATATTTTGAAATTTTCAAAAAAAATTAATTTTTACCAAAGTAGGTTGAGTTTGGTATCAGATTAAAGGCATTTGAATCCTCTTTAAAATAAGCCATTGTACAACTTGATAGGACCAATAGAACTCATCCTAGACAACATTTTAGATTTGCGTGCACGGTAAAAAACGCCAATTTTTACCATTTTCAAATATTTATATCATAAAAACTATAAAAGATAGATTTTTTTAAAAAGCATATTTGGATTCAGGACTCAAAATACTACAAGTATGCAAAATTTCATCAAAATCTAAGGTGGTCAGGTTGAAAATAATTTTTTATTGGTTGATTTCATATGGAATGACCCAAGTTATGAAAGTGTGCACCAAGCTATCGAGGACATTGCATCTCTTTAGGAAGCTCAAACCTATGCTGACAAAGCAATACCTACTGATTGTCTACTTTGCTTTGTTCCACAGCCATCTCAGCTAAGCCTAGTTGTGGGTTGGAGGTTTGGGGCCATGCAGCGGGCTGTAATGATATACTTTTCTTACAAAAGAAGGCCGTCAGAGTTAAGTTCATCTGCTGACTACCACAAACATTGAAGACCTCTTTTTAGTAACCTCAACAACATCCTTACAGTTTACAGCCAGTACATTCTTATCACCCTAACTTAAACAACGTAAAGACCAACATTTCCAGTTTTGCAATGAGAGAAGACCAACATGATCACTCCTATCTAAACAATGGAGATCGAGACAATACTGGTTAAGACCGTCACTGCAATCCAGATCATAATAACTTACAGTGGAGAAGGCCTGTTAGATGATTTAAGTTAAGTATTGATGTGTCTGGAGAACTGCTGATGGACAAGAGTTTCAACAACTTTTGGAGAATTATTTCGAGAATGAATTATCTTGTTTAGCCTACTATTAAAAAGGTTTAAATACCTGCTATCAAGCAATCCATTTAATTGCAGTAGTAACTAGTTTCGACTCCTATGTGGAATCATCTTCAGGTGGTACAAGGACTTCTTCTTTCTTCACATGAAGAGCGTCATATTTAACACGTAAAAATAAATAAACATTTACACATGACACAAAACACTTTTACCGACACGAAAAATTTACTGATCAGTTGAAACGACAACAGACTACGCTAACCCGGTGGAGTTAAAGCCCAGACTCATTATCTTGTTTAGGCTACATAAAAAAAGTTCCGAACATCATAATATTTCTTTTAAAAAAGTGGTGTTTCTGGGTTTGTTATGAAAATTTTTGTAAACTCCGGTGGGAACATGTTAAAAAATAACAATGTTTAATCATGCTTTTTCTACACCTCTGTTAGGCCCCTTGATAATGTATGTATTTCTATGGCTACTTCTATGGTATTCTTGTAACGTGTTTCTCTAGGTTACAGCTTTGGATTTGCAACTTCACCTCTGGTCATAACAGCAAACCTGGCTGGAAACATTCATGAGAGTTTTATTGTCGAACCCAGCCATCAACCTAAATTTGAAAATGTCTTTGTATGGATTATGGATAAAACTAAAATGAAAAAGTAAGTTGAATAGGCTAGTTATATCCAGCTTCGTAAGCTTAAAACTCGTACATAAGAATTAGTTTATTGGAGGTGCCTCCATATGAATTTTACCTACGATATCTTAATTTAACATACATTTAACCTATAGTTTCTGAATCTAAATTATACTTGAATTTATTACTGCAAATGAATATTTTTAGGTGATATCACTGTTCAATAAACTATTTTAATTTATATTCTAAGTTATTTTGACAAAACTTGCAATGCATGTTTCTTTCCATGTTAAATGCAATAGACATTTAATTTAATTTCAAATTGGTCTATGACTTTTAATCGGCAGAAAGCTTGCCTAATGACGTCACTTCACTCCTATAACTAGAATAGGCCTAAAAAGTCCTCCCCAAGTATTTTAAAGACTTTTTGTTGCTTTCAGCACTTTGATCCTGACGGAACCGGTACAGGAGATCAATTCATAAGCCAATGAGCGCAGCGTTACAAAAATAACAGGGTATTCTGAGTAACGTGTTATCTTGATAACAGGTTACAATTTATTAACAGTGTTATTTACCCTGTTACGTTAAATAACGCCCATCTCTACTTCACTCCTATAACTAGAATAGGCCAAAACAGTCCTCCCCAAGTAAAGTTAAGGTGAAGTGAAAAGAGTTACAAAGATGATAAGAAAGAAAAAGAACATCGTTGATTAAAAAATGATCATAGATTATAGAAACCCTCAAACTGTTTCAGAGATTCAGTAGTCAATAATATTTTCCTTTAAAGGGAATTTCATCCCATCATGAGGATAAACATGGATCGGCGGACTAAGTACATGTAATATAGATCTTATTTAGGCATGTCAGGGTGGTCGTTCTAGCTTAATGTGAATTCAAGGCTATATTAAGTCTTTTGAAGAAGGTAAAGTAAAGTTTAGGTTGCAATGAACCAATTTTTTTGTTCTTGTTACCTCTAGACCGTTTTGTTCAATTAAAACTCTGAGAAAAACAATGCAAAACAATAAATTTCAAAAATGCTTGCAAACAGAGTCATGATTTAACATTAAGTAGGCCTATAATAAGGATGCTGTCTGTTTAACGTATAGGCAATGCAAATTACATTTGTGCACCCCAATTTTACTGATTACAATATTCAATGTTGTTTCAGTATTTGGGCAGAAAAACTACCAGTGCGAATAGAGTTACTGCTTACAATATTCAATGTTGTTTCAGTATTTGGGCAGAGAAACTACCAGTGCGAATAGAGTTACTGCTTACAATATTCAATGTTGTTTCAGTATTTGGGCAGAGAAACTACCAGTGCGAATAGAGTTACTGCTTACAATATTCAATGTTGTTTCAGTATTTGGGCAGAGAAACTACCAGTGCGAATAGAGTTACTGCTTACAATATTCAATGTTGTTTCAGTATTTGGGCAGAGAAACTACCAGTGCGAATAGAGTGTTTTTCAGTAAACCAATCACAGCGGAGTAGAATTGGATACATTATCCTCAATGTGAAGGATGCTCAAATAGCCCAGGATGAAGCTAAAGTTAGTGGTTTGTGAACAGAGTAGATTTACCATAATGTAGGCCTCAATACGACCTGGTGCATGTATGGTTTTCATTATTGTAAAATTTATGAAATTTATGAATGCAATCGTCATAGTTTAGTTTTAAAAATGTCTACTTGTTCATGACAAATAAAAGAGGAAATGGGAGGTTTTTGGACACAGTTCTAGACGTTTAACATGGATTTAGAAAGTCACCAAGAACTCCTTTTAGGAGGATATGGCTGTGTCTACGTCTACATAATTTTTTGAAATTCATGAATGCAATCGTCATAGTTTAAAATGTTTTAAATGTCTACTTGCTCATGACAAACAACAGGTGAAATGGGAGTTTTTGGAGAATCGGACACAGTTTTAGATGTTATAAACTTCTTTAAAAAAGTCACCAAACTGCTTTAAAAATATAAAGTTTTTGCCCGGGGGAGGACCCCCAAGCCCCCCAAACCTTGGTACAGCTGCCACTGTCGAGACGCCCCCTCCCAAAGTTTGTCCTGGCTACGGCCTTGACTGGTATTAGCATAATAACAAACCAAATTTATATAGGTTTAACATTTCTTAGACAACATTCATTAAAATTTATTATATTACATTAATAACACCTTTTTGGTTATTACAAAAGAACAAATAAGAACTGAAATCAATGACCAATCGTATAGAGGCGACTGTAATTAGGGCGGATTGCCTTAGGCAGTCTATCTGGTATTTAAACCCCATTACAATATTTTGTCACTGTGATTCACAATAAACACAACATAAATTTAAATGTATACAGAAATCTTAGTTTACTTGGTTTTTAATCGTTAATTTTTAAAATCCACAATGTATCCTTATTTGTGCAATAGTATTTTCTCATCGGTTGGGGACACAGTGGGACAACCAGTAGTGTTACGATACAATTAGGCTAACAAAACAAAATCCTGTATGGTGAAAAAAATCGAAAGTAAAGAAGGGTTTCTCAGGTTCTGCTTTGTAACACTTATAATATCGTGAAACTGTAATTATAAAATACATGGCTTATTGATTTACCGCATAGTGATTTTGGAATGGAGTTTATGTTAAAAGCTATATAGAATGTTAAATTGTGAAATCTTAAAATGAGTGTCTCCGAAGTGTGTGTGACAGTTTTGCTGTTGTTTTTTCAGATCACGGAGAAGCAGATGAGATTACTAGGGTTGTCGAGAGATGCTTCTCTATTAAAGCCAGAGCTTGTGTTCTCTTTCTACCTCACAGATGTTCCTATACAGAGTTCTCTGCTGAAGGTAAATAGGCCTGGCTCTGCTTCATTGCCGATTCTGCTGAACTTTTATATTTTAAAAATAAAGCAATGTTAGAGTAAATTCAAAATCCAATTAGAAATGGGCGTATTAATTGATTATATACTTCAACTAGATCTAAGAACTAATTCCATAAACATCTTTGTTTGCTAAAGAAGTTGTAGCTAACGTTTGAGGCATGAACTAGTAATGTAGCCTACTTTTTAAATAGGGTAACAAAAAAATTAATAAAAAAGGAATCAATCTGGTCACCCCCCACTGCAATTTGCTAGTAGAAAACTGTGTGTAGAAACAAACAGAAGTGATATATGATCTTGTAAAAATATTTGCTAGTACCCTATTGTTGGATATACTTATGTAGCATTATTATACACTACTTACATGCTTTGAAATTGTATTTGTTTTATTGTAACAAATTTCCCTACCGAAAGTATAGATACTGTTGTATTCATTAGATTGGTATTCATTTGGTGTTGGTCCACTGTATTATCTTCCATTTAAGTGTTCCCCAGATGGCAAACTATTCGGTTAAGACAAATTTAATAATGTAAAGTTAACCAAAAAGGGAACGAGTCCAACCTGGCATAAAAACAAATTCTCTACATGAGTGAATTATAAGTGTAGATCAGGTTGAGGTGCCTTGTGTAGCTTTTTTATTTCATGAACAAGGAAAGCTGGGCAAAGTGTCAAACTATCGTTGCATTTTTGATTTTTCTGAAGATGGAACCAGCAACCCTCACTCAGGCAAACACTATAACCACTCGGCTTCCTATTTGGCAGGATTGACTCTTTCCTGTAAACCTGCTATCCAAACAAGAGTAGTTAGTTTATTTTGTAATGTGCTTTTTCAGCCGCAGTTCTCGCCCAGAATGGATGGGTCGAGGCTGAAGGTGACCTCTGAGCCTGTGAAGGTTGTTCTGCCGCCCGGACGTGACAATATCACCCTCACAATCGATGTGATCAAAACACACAATCTGGAAAAGGTGAGTACATACCCTTTTGAAACATGTTAATAATACTTTAGAAATGGTTTGAACTACAGTTATTTTGCTATGTAAAATAGTCAAATACATTTAAGGATATTCTTGGTTGTTTTGGAGGGAACTAGCTATGTTAGTGTTAGTTTCTGTTTCTAGGATTCAAACACTTTGATGCCAACTAGCAAAAACAGTCACTTGTTTGATAAAGGCCAGCAAATTTCTTATATATCCAGGACACAAGAAGAAGATGCATCATAAAATGAACAGACTATTACACAAAACACAAAAAAGACTTGATACATGGACATGGGCTATGCGACCAGGCTGAAGTGAAACTCTAGACTGACAGATAAGGTGGTCTATAATGTCTACCTCTTATCATTCATTGGCCTCCTTTAGTATCCTGATAGCTATTGCAAATGTAGTTTGATTGGAAGGAAAGTTTGTCGTTCAGGAAAAAGAACAAATCAAACAAGAAATAATTTTGTTTTGTTTTAGTTACTTCCTTCCCAGTCTGAAGGAGATCTGCCCGAGATAAAATACTGCTACAATCTTCTAGACAGAGACTTTGTATCCGATGGTAGATTGCAAGTGTCACTACAAAGCTGTATGTCTAGTGTCAACAACTACTTGTGTAACTCCACAGTCAGCGTCACTGTTGACAACACAACTCTAGGTCACACAGTCATCGACATGAAGGTAAGTCACTCAATGTCAATACAGCCTGCTAGACAGAGACTTTGTATCCGATGGTAGATTGCAAGTGTCACTACAAAGCTGTATGTCTAGTGTCAACAACTACTTGTGTAACTCCACAGTCAGCGTCACTGTTGACAACACAACTCTAGGTCACACAGTCATCGACATGAAGGTAAGTCACTCAATGTCAATACAGCCTGCTAGACAGAGACTTTGTATCTGATGGTAGATTGCAAGTGTCACTACAAAGCTGTATGTCTAGTGTCAACAACTACTTGTGTAACTCCACAGTCAGCGTCACTGTTGACAACACAACTCTAGGTCACACAGTCATCGACATGAAGGTAAGTCACTCAATGTCAATACAGCCTGCTAGACAGAGACTTTGTATCCGATGGTAGATTGCAAGTGTCACTACAAAGCTGTATGTCTAGTATCAACAACTACTTGTGTAATTCCACAGTCAGCGTCACTGTTGACAACACAACTCTAGGTCACACAGTCATCGACATGAAGGTAAGTCACTCAATGTCAATACAGCCTGCTAGACAGAGACTTTGTATCCGATGGTAGATTGCAAGTGTCACTACAAAGCTGTATGTCTAGTGTCAACAACTACTTGTGTAACTCCACAGTCAGTGTCACTGTTGACAACACAACTCTAGGTCACGCAGTGATGAACATGAAGGTAAATCACACAATATCAATACAGCCTGCTTAAAGGAGCTTTTCGATTGGGGTCCGCAACCCGCAGCTTTTTTTTTTTAATTGTTTGAGTCAAGTCAAAAATGTTGACCATCAAATATCAGGCCAAAATCAGGTTGCTTTGGAAAGTATTCGATTTTGAAATATAAATTTTTATACCACAATCAATTTATAAAATATTGTCCTTATGTCAAGTGATCACAGTGAAACTGTGGACATCTCCCGTGGTTATAGAAATCATGAGATTTCTTGGGGTTGCTAAGAAATCACCGACGTTTTCTGTTAAGTTGTGAACGTCTCCTGTGATAGAGGAGAAATCGAGAATACCTCCTGTGGTAGTGGCAAAATTGTATTCCCCTGTGGTTGTGGTGAATTTGTGAACATCTGCGATCTCAGCAAAGTCGAGACCAACTTCCACAGTCGCAGACATCAATCGACTTCTGCAATAGCAGGAAAATCTTGAACATCTCCCTGAATCGTAGCGAAATCGTAAATTCTCAATTGCACAATCTTCTCTGTAGTTTTCTGTGAAAATAAAAGGTCATCAAAGCTTGAAAATCAAACCTAAAATGACGTGACTTGAGCTTAGCCTGAACCTCTAGGGAATATGATTAATCCAGACATCTTACTTTTTAACTTCCAATGTAGCCTACCTCAAAGTAACGCTGATTGAATAATAATTATTCAACTGATTTTATAAATTCTTATTATCTAATTTACCGGTATTTATCAGAGTCTGGTGTGGAACGACGGTGCTGGCAGGAAGCCGAAGTCGGCAAGCAGGAGTGCCAACTGTCGCTGTGTTGTCACCCCAACAGTTCCTGCGGCTGGAGTTGAAGCCTGGATCGAGTTTGCCATCTCTCTAGTAGTCGACACAGCTGTAGTGAAGAAGAAGTCGTCAGCTAATGCCCTCAGGGCTGTAGGTGCTGGTGGTAAGCAAAGCTGTATATTAATTTGTTAAAAGTTTGCCGTTGTTTCTGGACCCAGCTTACCTTGATTGTTGCCAAAGTAACAGCTAATCTTAGTTAGTAACAAAGCTAAACAAGGTATCCTTACCTGAGGTAAACAGAATCGATTCTGTATCCAGACGCCATTTAGGTCAATATCAGATAGTAATAAGACCAGGCTATAGACTGTTCCCACTTAAAAATTAAGATGCAGTCCATAGTAAACATTTTAGTTTTTAACTCAGTTTGTTAAATAACAATATTAAAAAATGTTTGGGTGTGTTGCTAGCCCCAGTGGTTGGAGTCATATACAACATACAAAATTCCATTCAGACAAATGAAAATTCGCTCAGTCTGCAGGATTGCTACAGGGTTTGCGAGGTTATTTCAAAATGCCTCTAGTGTAGACACCAAGAATAGTGACTAGTAATGAAATTCTCCAGGAGATGCGGACAGTACGAAGTTGCCTCTACCATTGAAGCCTCCGACTGCTCGTCTGGCCACCAAGTCTCTCCCCTCCCTACATGACAGTGTGGCAATGGCAGGGGGAGGGGGAGGGGAGACTTATCGGACACAACAACCTACTACCAGTCACACGGTCGTGGTTAATGTTACATCTATACAGCTGGACCTGCAGCCAGACACACAGCTGTGGCTTAGGTGAGGATATTTGATAACTCACCTTATGCTTCTACAGTTTTGCACTTTGGTATGACAAACCTTTCAGTATGTGTAATTTTTCTCCTATAAAACAATGGTTTATCATCCTCATTTGGAAAGTACCTCCGGTTAGTCATATGAGGAACATTTGTAGTTAACAACAATTTTACTATACATAATGTTATTTATTTTACTAAAATATACAAATCTATATATATAATTTAAACTATTATACTATCTTTTTACAATTTTGTAATTACGTTCATATAACAAGTTTTACTGTGGCAAAATCTTGACGTTAAAAATCTTATAACAGCCTGAAACTCACACACAATTGGCTGGACTCCCGTTTCACACATTCTAAGATTCTGTAAAATTGAAACGGATCACTCTTTCACCTTACCACAGCTGGTCGACTAACCTACTGGACAAATCTGAACACAGTGACCTACCGGAGGTTACTTTCTGAACGGCTTTCAAATCCACTCATCCAATGCCAATGTTATTTATTTCAATGTCCGTGCGACCCTCAACACTTCCTACACTGTGTGTATGCTTTACTAATACAACTGATTTACTTGTGGTCCGCCCAGGTTGACTCAGCCGTCAGCTATGGTGTCGCCATTCGACCCTGTACCACTACCCCAGCAGTGGTCACCCATGCAGTATCAGATGTCACTTAGAGTGCCTAGTCACTTGGTACACACCATCCTGACCTCGCAGCCCCCTAGTCTGCAGTTGGGAGCAGACGACACTGTACTCGCCTCTGCAACCATTTATCCCACTACGGACGGCTGTAATGTGAGACAACTATCATACTTTTGTTTTATGTACTACCTACTACATTCTACATGTATAGGCTCTTGCCCTGGGTGTAGAGGATGTCATCATATAGCTCAAGTGATTAGTGACTGACAAGATTTGAACCCTGGACTTCAGGGACTGAAGTCCTGGGCTCGACCGTTAGACCAGCTCAGTCCAAACTATCAACGAAACAATTCCATCATTTTTTTCTTGCTTACTTAGCTTGAAACTGGTAAATCATTTAGAAACTGTTGAAAAGCGACAGTTCATTGTTCAGAAAAGCTATTAATAATACTTTCTGGATTTTTGCTGTTCGATTAAGTAGTGGATATGGAAATATCCAATGCAGTTCAGTTGGATATGGAACTTGATTCTGTTTATCAAACAGAAACTACAGTAAAGTAATCCATTACAATTAATTAGTGCATTGTAGTTTTGATCACTGCACTAAAATGTAATAAGCTTCATTAACTTTTAAATGTAAAACGTTCTTTACTATGTGATTACTACTTGCATTATGCTACTCTTTATCATTAACTTTATGATACTAAAGTAAACATCCTATCAACATGGACCAGCTTTAGCCAATTTTTTTAAACACATAGGTAGTTAAATGAGCCACTCATAAGACAGTGTACTTCTGTCGAAACTCTATTTTAGCTCTTATTTTCTTTCAATATTTCAATAGCTTATGTGACATTAAAGATGCTATGGTTTATATGAAGTGTTTTAAGCAAACCCAACTTTGTCCATTTTCACTCTAAAACCACCATTTTATGTGTTCTCTGACAAAACATAACCATCTCCCACAGTGGGAACAGAGCACCTATCATCGCAATTTAAATGAATTAATTTTAATTAACACCATCATCACTTGCATTCTTTCTGATCAAATCCGTTGGTGATTGCACCAAAATCTTCCAAATCAGATAAGAAAACTTGGAAGAACCTGTAAGATAAAAAGTAAAGTTAGGTTGTAAATCTCTGATTCTAGACGACAGCAGAGTTGAAGAGCAGTGAAGGAATGCGAGTTGGCGAAGTGAGTGTTGTATGGGGGAACAACCAGAGTCCTTCGGCAGATATTTGCAGTCAGTCTGCTCCTATATTGACAGACACTTCATTGTCTTCACCAACATGCTCTCGGCCTAAATCTGGTCAGTCTTACAATCATGGACATTGTAGAATATGATTTCATAACACTATATTTTGTCACTAGGGTCTAAAATTACGATGAGCTCAAGTTAAACTAGTTAACTGCTGTAGCGCAAGTTAACCTAGGCTAAGCCCAGGTTTGAAAATTAGCGAGGGAAGAAAAGACACTTGTGGTTTCTATTTCTCGTGATTTCCTTTAAGTTCTTAAAGGAATTTGTCCTTTTATAGCTTAAAGTCTCCTAATATTATGCTTAGAGTCTCTGAAAGGTTGTGATTTTCACTTGTGTCATCAGGTAACACACTCTGTTGTTATATAACTCAAATGTGTAACGATTTGCAGGATTTGAACTAATGCCTGGTACACCTCCAGAGTGTCCAGCTCCTACCATTAGACCAGCTCCGCTTTGTCTTTGACTGTGTATTTGAAAGCACAGGATTATATATGTTTAAAAAGTATCGGAAGATGATAGTGTTATGGTTTGTGATTTGTTTCAGTTGACCCAGAAGTTTTATCTCCGAGGCATAGGGAAATGAAAATTTTGAGTTTTGTTGAAGAGCTGGAAGACTGGACTGATAAACAACGACTAATTGTCATGGAAGGGGTAAATAAACGACATATTATTAGAGTAGACCTTGTATAATGCGGCATTATACTGTGCCACTTTGGTAATCCGGCGTCTATTGATGGGTGTGGGGGGGACTGCGATGGAGAAACGTTATTGTGTAACAGTTTAATTCACAGTGTATTATGACTGTATCTAGGAGATTTGCGGTAATGGAAACATCATCGTTGTCTCCCGCAGTTACGGAAACGTCATCGTCATTTTGCGCGCCCGATCTTACGTGTCAGGTATTGGTATCCGAATCGATTTTTGATGATTTTTGATAACCAATGTCCAAGTGTCGGTGGTATCGAGAATCGACACATTCTCACTTATAATTATTATTTTGGTACAATAAAACATTTGTTTTGTACATTTTAAGTGTTTATTGATGACATTTCAGTAAACCGGCAGTATCACGGTTCGTTATGTGCCGGATTACTGAGTCTACTGTATTGTTATTTAACTGTGAAAAAACTGTAATTAATGTTATTAATTTTGTTGGGTTATTTTATTTGTAAAAGTTATTTATTGTATCTTACTATGTTCGTTTGTTTGTCATGTTATGTTTATATTGTTACAATGATTTTTGCGGAAAGTAAATAAAGATAGTCTTATAACACTTAAAACATATATTTACGCTTATACTGTTACTCACAAGACGGTAAATATACAAAAGATGGTATACCGTCTTTACGTCTTTCTTGGTATACCGGTTTACCGTCTTGTGAGTAACAGTATAAGCGTAAATATATGTTTTAAGTGTTATAAGACGTATCTTTATTTACTTTCCGTAAATTTAATAACACGTACAATGCTGATCAAGAAGTTATTTAATGATTTTTGCTAGTATAACTTTTATGTTACACGAGTTTCACAAATAATTTTACTAATAACCTGTAGAAAACCTATGCAATAAATTAAACAAACTTATAAACAACTGAAATTGAACATTCAGAGTTTACAAGACAGAGTTATTGAATTTTGCAGTAAATTTTCTGTTCCTGACGATCTAAAATTTAATTTTAGAAAAGTCAACGAAAATAATAAATAATAAAAAACCTGTCAAATAAAAGATCAACTGTTTGAGATAACACCCTGTGAGATTGGTAAAGGAATGCAAGGAATTCATTGCAGTACCGTTTACTATTGTTAAATCAACAGGTGAATTTCTAACTCGCTAAACCAACTAAAAACCGACCCTCCTCCAATGTTTGTACATCACTGTAGAGGATTTGAGCATTGCTGTTTTCAGCTAAAAGAAGAGGAGGCCGCTAGACTGGCCGCACTACAGGCCCAGTGGGAGACGGAGGTGGGGGGTCAAGTGAGTGAAGGCAGACAACTGCTGCAGACGTTACATAACATGCGGGATGAGCTGAAACATCAACAGGATCAACTCAGAGATAACCAGTACAAGGTACGAGGCTATCTAGGAAGTAGATCACGTTTTGGAATTGAAATTAGTAGTGTAAAGGACATAGTTTTGCTATAAAATTTGAAAGTCACTCTGTAATACTACATAACCATTACCACATTACCAAATCCTTGATTGTTGCCCATCTCTGGATAATCGCGTCAACTAAATTTTCTTTCCACATACAAAACAAATGGAAGTGACTCACCGCAAGGGCCAGATATTGTGCTGTCGATGAAGAAGCCTCCTAAAACTTGATTTGCTGTGTGGGGTTAGGCAATGTGGTGAAACTACTAAATCTTTGGGCTAAAAAAAATCCATCTTTTTCTTAATATTTTTTGTAATAACTCATATAATGTTGTGCAACATTTGCCAATCTCCTCAAAAGTCATTGTTGTGCCTCGTTCCAGGAAACCCAGAAGAAATACACCTTTCCTGTCCCAAAATACAGTTGCCATGACCTTCCTTTCAATACAGTATTTGTACAGTTTTTTGCACTCAAAATCATTTACCAATTTTAGCAATCAATTATTGCTGAACACACAATTTATGGGATTTTTAATTTAAATAGACAAGTCTGTAACTAGACACATTTAAAATATAACTACTTAATGCCGACTGAGCGGCAGAGTGTCCAGACTCCAAGATGGCCATGCTAATCCAGCCACTTGCGAAATAGCGCAAAATAGCGAGTATCGACAAAAACATTATATACTTTCTGAATAGCTCTTGTAGTATTGAACTCTTCGCCCTTCCTGCAATCTACTTATCTGAATCAATGTCTATTGTGTTAACTGATGAGATGGTCTAGGTATTGTGTTTGAAGCATTTGTAATTTATTTAAGAAACGTCAATTAAACCAACAATACCTAATGGTCAATGTCTTTACATGATTTTATTATAATATTTTTTCCTAAACATGATATTATTCAATGAGGCCATGTCAGCTCTCAAGAGTGCAAATTATTATTGAATCTTTATTATTTAAATTCCAATTATTATGGTAATTTTTGATTCCAGCTCAAAGTTTACAAGGAAGAGTTAGAAAGAGTTCACCGAAGCAAACTTCAAGAGTTTAAGGATATATCTCGTAGGATGCAGGACGAATTTAACCACAAGGTATTTGTTTTGTCTAGACTTGACAGTCTCTGAACAGTGTCTAACCATAATTTAATGTTTTACTTGTAGATAATTTTTACTAGTGCTGCATTCATTTTACCAGGTGTAGGCGGGCAGATATTGTTTTTTTCATTCTTGAATTAAATTTTTTATCAAGAGAAATTATTGAATTAGCTACATTATGACGATAAATTAATCAAATTCATCCCTGCAACTGTCAAGTTTAAGCAAAATACTCTAATATTGTGTAAGATAACTTATTTAAGTAATACCAAATTTGTTTCCATCTTAAAGCAGTATCTTTTATGAACTTCAATGTTCCCGCTCAGCGATGAAATTTTACTAAAAAGTTTTATTGTTGGACACATAACTAACTAGTAATGCATAATCCAAGAAAATTATAGTAAAGGCTGATTTTATTTAACCTCCATTGTACACGATTAAAGGATTTGTTCTAGATTGATATTTTAGCAAGTGTGTTTACTGTTTATCCAAATATCTCGTGTAAAGATTGTTAACCCATCCATGTCCTAAAGTATCTGCACAATTTCTCTTAAAAAATTTATTTTTTTACCAGACATAAATTCATGAAGACAGCAAATAAAGAGGATTGAAATTGATTCTCATTACTGTAATGCTGTTACAGTTGGCGTTGATTGCTTCTGACAAGGCTGCTCTGGAGCAAGACGTTGAACAATTGAGAGAAGAGAATACAGAGATGAAACATAAATGGAGAGAGATGGAACAAACCATGATGAAAGACAAGAGAACGATCGACACCTTGTCTCATGAACTGGTATGTATGGAGATTTGTAAAGGAGTAGAGAAGTAGAGGAATGCCTGATTAGCTGAGTGGTTTTAATGCTTGCCTTGAACTCTGAAGGTTGTCACTTTGATCCGGAGAAAAGTCAATACATTTTTGATGGTTCAAAAGTGAACCCAGCTGTCCTAGATCTTTCGGCTTTTAATAATGGGCCTGATAAAAAAATCTGATCACAGACAGTAACAAAGCTAACCTAACTATATATTTTATATCGCATACTCTTCTTTAATTTTTGTTTGGTTAGTAAATACAGGGGATTGTTCGTGAATTTTTTATAGGACAGGAAAATTTTAAATAGTTCCCATTAGCCTATGACCCAGTGTCCATTCATTAATAGTATCTAATTGGTTATTTTTTAAGTTTGTCCTGTGTAGAGGACGTGATTGTAGAAGATCACGGGTGTTGCCGTTGCAGTTGATATTTTACTACATTTCCGGTAAATCCTAACAATTTGGTATTTTGAACAAGGCCCTGTCCCAATTAGCAGAAATCCTGTGTACTATTAACAATCAAAGACACACTCAAAATACTAAACATAGGCTAGCTATTAACAGAGGCTTTAGCTGCTAAATGGGCCTATCTCAAAAATTTATGTTTTGAGATAATCACTGTTAAAGTTTAGAGGGTATGTTTGACTGTCTGCATTGGCAGTCGTCTATGCTTAAAGGGCCTGGTGACACCAGCTGGCTTTCAGAGTCATACCAACCAAACAAACTAAAATATACCATTCCAAGTGTTCAAAGATTATAGTAGAAGAATTTAGAGGTTAACTGTAAGAAAGGACCATGCCAAGTTCACCTCAATAAAGAAGCATTTTCATTTCATTAGAGGACATAGGGAAGCGAAATAGTGAATCTCATCTATAAGAGCCCATCTCCACTTAGGCCCCTTTAGCAGCTACAGCCTCATTGATGAACTCGTCAAATTTGAATTATTTGATTTGCGCTATTTTTTGCAGAATGTGTTAAAAGAACAGCTGAACATGGAGGTGGAATCAAAGCGGTTTTTCAAGGAACATTGTCGCAAGGCAGAGCAGGAAATACACAGACTGAACTGTCTGAGGCAGGAGGAGCTTGAAGAGAAACTTCTCAGCAATAAGAAGTCTTTAGAACATCTTGCGTGAGTCTCAACAGTTTGATTTGTTGATAAGAACACTGTGTAGCGCCCACTAACTTTTGCTAAGTCCGTGCAACTTTGTTGGCTATGGTTGTCTATTTTAATTTTTTTAACCAAGATGTTTATGTCTATTTTTTTATGTCTACAGCTCATGTTATGTTTTACTGTCTAATTGTATAATGTAGTGATGAATAGGTTACAAATTTAAACAAAATCTCGACCAGAAAATATCATTTTCGGCTCTTAGTGGGAAATATTCTGTGGCACAACTGGATTGATGTTCAACTTAGTTTTTTCATGACCTACAAAGTACTTACAATGATTTTACATTAACTAATTATAATATTAACAAGCTAGGGGTGGAGATGGGATTATCTTTATACAGGATGTTTTTTTGTGACACGACCCTAATTACTTGTACTGTGAAACACTATTCAACAACAAAACAAGCTTATATGATGGTATCCCTATTTTCTTTACTTTATTGCCGATCAGCTGATTTGCATTGTTGCATATCGACAATGAAGTAAGGTAACAGAGATACCAACATATAAGCTTGTTTTGTCTTTAAACAGTGTCTCACAGCCATACTTGGGAATAACGAATAGAAATTCTATCGAATAGCACTATTCATTAGTTTTTTTGGCTAACTTCTATTTTATTCGTTTGTTTTTAAATTAACTAACTAATAACTTCTATCAGTTACTTTTTACGGGACTAACTAATAACTTCTAACTAGTTAGAATTTTCAACTAACTTTCCCAATTATGCGGAAGCATCTCAAATACTAGTTATTTATTTCACGTGATCAGTGAGGGTTGCGTGCGGCCGTGAGAGGTCAGCACCCTTGTAGACAAAAAACGCGGGGGGTGGGGAAAGAGAAAGTCAAAGTCCAGTTGCTTTGGAATGCAGTGGGCCTGTGGAAGGGTAGTGACGGCCATTATCAACACCCCAAGCACTGATGGGTGGAAAGGGGAAATGTTTGTTTGGTGATTGATATATCATCTCAAGTGTCAAAACATTGTCTTTAGTTGATGTTCATTATCTGACAAGTTTTATGTCATTTGTTTATGTTGTAGTAATGTAAAATGTGACAATGTTTGATTAAAACACAAGTACCAGGGGACCGATCTTGCTCGAGGTGTTTGATTTTTTCAAGAGGTAAAAAATAGAGCTTATAAGCCTACAAATATTTTCAGTCTTACTACGATTAATTAAGTAGTAAAGTCAATTCGTTTTTGTTAGACATCCACTTATCCTCAATTTAGTCTACAAAACTTTTTAATTTGGACGATCAATCTATAAAATGCCCACAATAAGCTTCAATCGATATAAAACTCATGATACATAACATCTGATGACCGTTATTGCATTAATAAAAATAAAAATAAAATAAACCACTCAAGTAACATGAACAAAACCAGCTGGCAAATTATTAACTCTGAAGTCGGTAAGGCAAAAGCAGATAACCACATTACTAGTGTTCATATTAACAATCAATGTTGTTCAGATCCTTATGTTATATGTAATTCATTTAACAATTATTTTACTGATTTGGTTGACACAAACATTGTTCCTAATTTGGATTCACTTGTTGGGGATGTAAAGGACAGTGTAAAAGTAGTTGAGTCAGATTATATAATTCCAGGTTTTCATTGTATACCTGTTGATGAGAAAGAGATAGACGAAATAATAAGTCATCTTAAAAACTCATTTAGCACCGGCTATGATGAGGTCCCTGTGGTGATCATCAAAAAAGCAAAATTACCCCTCAGAAAACCTATAGCTCATTTAGTAAATTCTTCCTTTGTATCAGGCATTTTTCCTAATAAACTAAAAATTTCTAAATTAATTCCACTATTCAAAAAAGGAGATAGATATGAATTATCAAACTACCGTCCAATTGCTCTGCTTCCGGCCATGTCCAAAATATTTGAGAAAGCCATGTACAACCGTTTATATAGATTCCTGGAAAGTAATCACCTTTTTGAGGACTGTCAACATGGTTTTCGAAGTGGTAGATCAGTTGTGACAGCTGCTACAGAGTTTTTAGAGTCAGTTATTGATTGTTTAGATGCAAAACAAAAGGCTCTTGGCATTTTCATGGATTTAACCAAGGCATTTGACTCTATAAACCACAATCTACTTTTAAATAAATTGTCAAGCATCGGAGTAAAAAATAAATCTCTTCAATGGCTAGAATCATACATTTGTAATAGAAAACAATTTGTAGAAACTATCCAATTCAATAATCAAATGAAAATTACTCACAAGTCAAAAATTAGAACTATTAAACATGGTGTACCACAGGGATCCATCTTGGGTCCCCTTCTATTCATTTGCTATGTTACAAACCTACCAGGGCTGACTAAATCTAGCAAACTTTACCTTTATGCAGACGATGTAAATCTTACAGTTACCGCTAATTCTGAAGAGGAAATTGAAAAGACAGCTAATGCTAATCTAGATATACTTTCAAATTTTTTCCAAAACAATCAGTTACTTTTGAATCCAGATAAAACAAAGTTCATAAATTTTGAGACCCGTCAGACAAGACTTTCAATTAATCCTTCACTAGAAATTAATCAGAAACCTATTGAAGAATTAGAAAATATTAGATTCTTAGGATTTGAAATTGACAAAAATTTAACTTGGAATTCTCACGCAAACAAAGTAATAAAAAAAACTGTATCTGGTCTATTTGCATTAACTAGATTAAAAAATCTTCTTGATCAAGTAACATTAAAATCAATATACTTTTCGTACATACATTCTGTTATTTCTTTTGGAATATCTCTGTATGGCGCTACATCTATCAATAACTTAGAAACAATCCTAAAATTACAAAAACGAGCTATAAGAATTATTTTGGACCTTGACTCGAGAACTTCAAAAGAGCATTTTAGATCATTAAAAATAATGACAGTATATGGATTGTACATCTATGAAACAGTTCTATATGTTAAAAACAGATTTTCTCAATTGGCGTTAACTGGTGAACACCACCACTACAATACCAGAAACAAAACCAACATTGCTCTAAACCGCCACAGATTAGAACTTTACAGTAAAAAACCAAGTTATACCGGCTCCAAATTTTACAACAAAATTCCAAATGAAATTAAATCGGCAAAAAGCATGGTCGAATTTAAGAGGGGTCTTAAAACATTTCTCATCAACAAGGTATTGTATTCCCTTGATGAACTTTAAATTTTTTAGAAGGAGCATTCATTTGTAATTTGTATAAACTTATGTTAGATTTTAAGAACTTTGTATCCATAGAATATAACATTGTAATATAAAAACATTTAAGAGAATGACACTATTCATGTACTTTGTGCTTCAATGAATAAAGAAATATTGAATTGAATTGAATTGAATTAAGTCACTGGGATCTTGGAACGTTGCAACTATAATTACGGGATGGTGTAATAACGCATCAATTCGTGCGGTGCATCGTCGAAAAATACAAATCTCCTTGGCCTTTCCTTTAGATTTTTAGTTCAATGTCAGTGTATATTGTTTTGCAGTAAAACACTTAATGTTTTTGAAGAGTCGTAATTATCCCTTTGGTTAGTAAGACATCATACAATGCAAATGTATTATACAAGCAATTTTCAATAGCATTGAAATTGGAGGAAATCGTAGGAGCCATTTTTTAAATCATATCTTGTACAATCTTTACTCATAGTATATATTAGTAACCAAGATGTGACATTAAAAAATACTTTAAAACAACTGCCCAACGAACAACTAATTTATACTAAAACTAACTTTATTTTCTATCAGTTAGTTTTTCAACTAACTAATAACTTCTATCAGTTACTTTTTAAACTAACTAACTTATAACTTCTATCAGTTACTTTTTACGGGACTAACTTATAACTTCTAACTAGTTAGAATTTTTGACTAACTTTCCCAACTCGAGAAGGGCTGCAGAAAGCCCAGCCTTCACAACTGTTTATTTTATTCTTTTATTTATTTTTTTTCTGGCAAAATGATAGCCACATGGCCCTTTCTTACACTTAACCTGTATTTAAGTTTCTGCAGAAAATGCTAAATAACAAGTGTTTGAAGACGTCTTTATTTCCATTCATTAAAACTATAACATTCAATTTATTTACACACAACTTTGACTGCGTAAGCTCGCAGAAAATTTTTGGATTTTTCCAAGTCCATTGCAGAAAATTTAAAAACGTTCTGCTTTAGGGTGTCACAGTACCTTTAATATTTAGGTTGTGTTTAAAGGAAAATACCCTGTTTAAGGAAGATTTTATTATGAATGCTATTAAAATATAAAGTAATAAAATAAACTAAAAGTGGGTAGAAATGTTTAAATGATTAGTTAATGAAATCAAAACCGAAACTACATATTTTACAAAAATTACAGACTTAGTTTGTCATTGTAGGTTTCAACATATTATTGTTGAGAAGAATGATCTACGTCAAGACCAAGAACTACTCAACGAGATCAGGCAACAGCTGTTGAGAGATCCTGCTGCTAACTACGGTCAGTTTATTGGGAAATTGCTACTTCAGCTTCAGTGTGAAAGTTTAACTTTATCATCTGTATTCATTCGTATACTAGTATACACAATATTAATTGTGCAGTGCATTAAAAGTTTTATTCATTCTATACACTCAACTCCAAGTTTAAATAAACTAAGATATAAAAATGTTCAAAGTAATGTATGAAAAAAAAGGAAAAGCCAAGAGAGCAGTAATGTAGTATAACATTTTTGAATTGAAGTTATAGTCCTGTAGTAAATAGGAAGTATCCTTTGAGTCCTTTTTCATTTTCTTCAAAAAACAATATTTTCTTCCGTTTATTTTTTTAAGTAATATATTTCAAAATGATCCTTCCTTGAGAATATTTTAATTTTTTTTTAATAACTCTAATTTATGATTTTTAATTATACAATTTGAAAGGTTATGATAATATGTTTGGTGCTTTTCTTCAAAGTGTAAGTCTTGTTTAAACTTGAATCAGTGAACCTGAATGTTTGCTCTGATAGGTTTTATTTACACATAGCCCAAAGCTTATAAAAAATGCTCACAAAAGTGATTTTTCCAGATTCAAATGGAGGAACAGTCTGTAGTGAGCGAACAAAGGACGACAGACACATTAGAAGAGCTACATAGCAGAGAAGAATACTGGCCGAATGGTCTTGAATGGAATATGGATTTCATACCAGATGAGAAATTTACCTTCTGCCAGAAGTTTTTGAAATGCAAGAAAACATTTCACAGTGGTTTTATCTTTGGTCCGGCTTGACCAAATTCTTTCAGGGGTAAATTTAAATTTGTAATTTGGCTTGTTCAAGTTCCTACTTTATAATACTTGTCTATTATTAATCATTGTAAATTGTATAGTAATTTGCACACCGAGACATTATTCAGAATATTGTAATATATGTAAATACACGAGAAGTCAATTATTTACCATAGCACTTTATTTTCCAGTAGCCTCGATTATTTTAAGTTGTAGGGGGTGGATGTCTGTACAATTTGATTTATTTTGCTGTACCACAGTAGCCTACTTGAAAATGCGAGAAACAAGATGATCAATAAAGTCAGTCTCAAAATAATGCTTGATCTTTACTTCTTTTGATCAAACGAAAGATCACTTATACAATATTATGTTTAGCCTTTCATTGAAGTCTAATAATACAATCAATGTTTTCTCTCCTTTTCTGGCATAAATTTTGTGGTCAAGTGTGCAATACCGTACTGGTGGAATGGTCGTAATTTTGACATAAACATGTACAGTAAAGATAATCCAATCTCGACCACCCAACTTTACCATTAACAATCAAGCAATGAAACTGCTAACTATTTCCCTGTGATTTAATTGTAATATTGCAATAACCCATAGTTTATCAACTCTCTGCTATAGATAGTGCAAGAGTTAATGCACACATCTCTTCCCCACCACCTTTACTTCTGTAAAGTGATCTCAACAATTAATTGCCGTTGGATCAATTTAATACATTAAACTAAATAACTAATAAAATAAATAATTAAATTAGGTTTGAATGAGAGCTTGCCCCGTGGTTGAAAACTCGACCAAAAGTATGTATTGTGCAAACTTTACTGTTTTTACCCCACACTGTATTTCATGTGATAGGAATTTAATCCATTTGTTTTGATTTTCTGTTTATATTTTGTTGTTATTTTGTCACCAACATGGCAAATCATCAGGCCCATGTTAGTTTTATAAATTTTAAAATTATTTTTTGTGTTTATTTTTGAGCCTATTTTAATTTATAAATGGGTTCTGCTCACCTATAGTAAAATATAATTCATTTGGTACAAACAGCGTGTAATTCAGTACAGTAGTATGGTGAGGCTAGCTGTCATAAGTTTTACAAAAGTTTTTTAGTATATAAGATAGAAAGGGCTTATTGCCTGAGAATTAAGGAGAATTGAGGTTGTGACTCTCAATGTTGAGAAAGGTTCCAGTGGGCTTGAAATTTCCAGTGTTTCTTTTGTGTTTTCTTCCGTGTTACTGTAGTGAAGTGGGATACCTACATTTCTAAAGGTAAGTCTCCTTAGTAATTAAATAACTAGTATTTAGCAGTGTTACTCTCAGTGATGTTGGGAGCCTTTTCTTGAGTCCACCATACACGCCATCCCAATTGAAACAATCTGATCAGCTTTAATCACAAAGTAGCAGAGTGGTTATAGTCCTCTTAACATTAGTAGCTTTATGTTGGTCGAAAATGGGCCCTGTTGTCCTTGATCATCCGACATTTGAATGGTTCTGGCTAATGAAACATATGGTCTTAGTCAGTACACAAGGCATTTCACTCCTTACCACATTGATCCCTTACTTATATTTGGACTAAAATATGCAACAATTTGTAATAATAATAGTGTGATTAGGTAGCTGTGACTGAATGGACAAGTATTATAGAGTATATTACAGACTAACTCGACAATTTGTGCACCCAGAGGTTGTTGAGTTATCCAGAACATTGAAATTATTAATGGGTTTTAAAAAAAATAAAAGAATATCTAACGGACTAATTTTTACACATACATTTGTTACATGACTTTTTTTACATATTGAGTAAACAATCTTTAAAGAAATTAAGAATATTCAACAATTAAAATTAAATGTTTTGAAAAAAATCGCTTTTGTTTTTGCTTATGCCCTGTCGGCTGTTGACTGTCAAATTGTACAGACTAGTGTGTCGAGTTAGTAAGGTTTCACTGTATCATTTACTTTGGGGTGTTTTTTGAATTTTTGATACTTGTGGTGATGTCTTAAAAACGGTTAAAGTTAGTGGTTTCAATGGAAAACAAATAATAAAAGCCTTAGATTGGTTTGATAACAGATAAACACTTATTATTTTGAATATTTTAAACAAGTTTACAATGGGTTTTTGTTTTTACATTTGTTTGCGTTATATGACCATCCCGCTTTACCGACCTTGTGTAGGTATAAAAAACAATAGACATAAACGAGAATGTTTTTATTTAACATTTACAATATATCCGGCACCATCAACATTGAAAATAGAATACAAATTTTAATGATTACGAGGAATGTGACTCGACCAAGGTATGGTAACAAAAGTAAGATGAAATGGGTGGGAAATGGATAATACTAAGCTATCAGCCAATTTACTCATATCTAATGACACGTAACACTGTTGTGCTGTACATAGCATCTCACACAATACTGTTGGGGAATGTTCACTTGGCAGCGCGGAAATTCTTGTGGAGTTCGGGCTTGATGTCGTAAACCAACTCCAAAATCTGCTGAATCACCTGGACAAAATGTTTAATTTAAAAACGTGTGAAATACGATTTATTATAGGCCTAGGGCCTACCTAACTGAAGATAGGGAATAGGTTCGTGAATTGGGGGGGGGGGGATATCTGCACACTTTAGATAACTAACAATTTAAACGCTTGATTGTTTTAGCTAAATAGCTGTGATGTTAACCTACAACTGTGGATATTGTTGGTACACAGCATCTTAAAAATGTATTTTCTCTTTTCTCCCTTATTTATAAACCAGTTTTCTTAAATTTTGTGCTGTTAGAATTATAATAAAATTGTCAAAATAAAACAATTAGGTCTACTGAAGTCTTGTTTAGCTGTGCAATTTTATTTTGTTTAATTTTAGAAATTTTGACTGGTCACCATTTTGAAACTGGAAGTTATGAAAAAAAATCAATATCCGTAGTTCTTTACAAAGTTAATCTTGACTACTAAATTTAATCCCACTACAAAGAGCCATTATTAAATAAATAATAGTTTTGTGGGAAAAATACTGTATCTGGGTAGTAACTGTTGAGTTTTGGAAATTTTTACCCATAAAAGGTCAGTGGAGAGGTCAGGATACCCTATATAGTGGTTGTGAATTAACAGAAAAGTTCCAAAAGTTGTTATTGCAAACTTACAGCCTCCTGGTGTAGAGTGACAGCTTTGTTCATCTCGTTAATCTTCACCTTGGTGTCGGCCTCGATCCTAGCCGCAACGTCCTCCCGAGAGCCCATATGCTGCAACATCAAAATCAGTCACGGTCGTTTCCAACGATTCAATAACGCTCACAAACTGTCCAAAATAAGATTTGTGCTAGTTGCAAATAATCTAACTAATTGGAGTTAATTGATAACTAAATTGTTTGTTGCTAACTGAAAAAATAGTGATGCAAAAACAAAAACGTGTAAATAAAAAGGTAATTGGCTACATGTTTTTTTTTAATTAAAAAAATATACAAAGAAACAAAAAAGTAAAACATTTAAGTAAAAAGGACTCAAAAAGAAATAACATTTAATTTGTTTTGAAATGAAGTACAACTCTGAATCTTTCACTTTTGTCTAGTTCACTCAGTGACAACTAAAACTCACTACACTCACAATACACAATCGTACACCGTGGATAACTATAACTGAGTAAAATTCACTAGGTAAGAGTGGCGGGGGGTGAAGTAAAAAGCACAGCTAGAGGTGGCGGGAACAAGAAAATGTGAGAACAAAGATCGGCAGGAACGACGAACAGCAGGAATGATGAACTGCAGGAAAGACGCTAATCTAATCCACAAGGTTAATAATAATTATCCTTGAAAACCGAAAAATTAACTGAGGACTAATAGGGTCGGCACTAATTGTTTCTAGCAATTTTTTGCTAAAAATGTTCAGAGCTGATCCAATCAGTACAAATTTTTCCAAGTCATTTTAGTCCAAATCTTAACATATTGTATGGAAAATTTATAATTAAGATAAAAAAGTAATAAAAAAGCATCATGTAGGTAGGTAGCTAAAAACAGAACTACAAATCTGTTTGGCACTGCCTTACCTTAGCTTCAAATTCTTTAAACTGTTTTTCTCGTTCTTGTCTGTACTTTTCAATTTCATCTTGAGCTTCCTCTTTCGCCTGTTTGAGCCTGCGGGCTTTCCCTAAAATAACACATTAAGTTAAAGTTAAAAGATGAGGATTTGTCTAAAGGTATCTCTTCAGTATGAGCAACACAATTTACAACAAAACTTTGTGTTGAATGGTGTTGGTAGTGTGTTTTCCTCCTTCCTCCTCTTAAAACATTAGTCAAGGCCACACTAAAAAAACAGGCCGTAATGCTCGTCCAGCATGACGTCACGATAGAAGACGGCAATGACGTAATTTTGCCGTTTGTGATCAGCTGCTTGTTTTAATCTTTCATTGGAAAATAAATAAATAAGTTCTTATACGTCATAGCCGTCTTCTATCGTGACGTCATGCTTGGCGAGCATTACGGCCTGTTTTTTTAGTGTGGCCTTGCATTAGTACTAGGACTAAGTAAATACTCATCCGTCTCATCAAGACTTAACCAAATCTCCACCTAAGCCAATCTGCTGCTCAAAATTTATAGCAGATTTAAAAAAAATATTGCTTCAAAGCCTAAGTTATAGGTTCCAGTTCAGGCATTTCTAGTTGTTCACAAAAAGTTAAGAAATAACTAAGTTATCCCTAAGTACACTGCACTTATTAAGTTACTTCTCTCAACACCAGTAAACTGAACTCAGTAATTTTTACGCTGTAGCCTAAGTTAAAGGAATGGTCCAATATCTTGTTACGTACTATCGGAATTAAATGGACATTAAGTTTAAATTTATTCAATTAGCAGCAAATTTTAAAAATATTTTGGATTCTGTAACATTAGCCAAGGGTAATTCCTATGCTGTCAAGGAATGGTCCAATTCCTCATCTTGTTCTACAACTGAAGATGAATTAACGGTGATTTAAAAAACACAGAGGATATGCGTCCGGTAACCGGACGTGGATTAGGCGTCCGGCAGTGACGGCACCGGGTTGTGGGGGCCCGGAACGCCATTACCACAACGATACGATGACAGCCATCGGTGTTCGTGGTGTAGTGGATAGAGTGCTCGGCTGATATGCTAGAGGTACCTGGTTCGAATCCCATCAGTAACCTTAACTTTTTGTCAAAGATTTTGTTTTGAATGCAATTTTTCTTAACTGTAAGTTACATCATTTGTTAGAATTTTTGGCATTTATAACTTAATTTTATGAACAGAATTTAACCTTAATTCGATTTTTTCACTATCAGCAAGTTAGGTTGGTTAGGTTAGATTATGACAGTAACTGCCGAACGCCTAATCCACGTCCGGTTACCGATCCTCTGCGTTTAAAAAAAGGGATCATCGATTGATTGACAGTCAGATCTCTAAAATAGGAGCAGCATGACCTTTAAGTTTTTTGAAAATTATGGTTGGGACGGATAGAAACTCATTTTCCTGAAATAGCTAAATAAAAAAACCACACCCTCTAAGTCCTAAATTTGTGAAAACATCCTGTTCTTGAAGATAACTTAGTCTTAGATTAGGAACTACGCCTGCGTTGATTCACACTGTTTGAAATTTGTGTATAGCCTATGCTGCCTGAAAGTGTTGGTTATCAAAAACCTAGGCCTACTTGAACAACTAAAAAATCAAATCCATGGGTAGGAATTGAAAGGCTCTGGAATAGGCCTGATTTATTTTAGCTGAAGTAGGCCCTACTCACATCAGAGACTTTTGAGGGCATTATATGAATGTTTTTAACTTACTCTTTTTCGCTTCTGCTACCTTCTCTGCTGCTCTTTTCTCAGCAGCTAATAGTTGTTGAATTCCTTGAGTTTGACTCGCCATTTTAATATTAATATTAACTAAAAGAATCTGACACTACAAACGTTCCTCCTGAAGCAGAAGAGAATCACTTCACTATCATATGACTTGAGTCATGTGACAGATTCCGCCTGTGGTTATTTCAGACAGTCGTTTAGTAAACTTAGCCATTAGTACTATACAAAAATATATACATAACAAAATGATATATGAACCGTTTGACGATTTGCTCACGAAAAATTAGTGACAGTGGCACCATAGATAGAATATGGATAAGGGTAACGTAATAAGTATGTTTTATCTATAGTCACGGCATTGACTATACTTTAATAGATCTCTCTATGGTCACGGTAAAGCCAGGTTTTTGGCCGTTTTGTGGAGGACAATACCATAGATAAAACATACTCCTCAAGGAGGTACTCGAGGAGTGTTTTATCTATACCAATACTGAGCTTTTTTTCATGTCGTTGAGCATGAGCGCATTAGGATTAAAATTTAAAATTGTATCAATATGGGATTAAGAAAGAAGTTGTTAATGCCTAATTCACTAAACCCTGAGTCCCACGTGCAATAATTGCAATAATGCTTGGCTTTGGTTTCCGCTAGTTGGGACTTATGTGATACGATGACTCTGAAGACCTTGTATTGTACTATGTGCATTGGTGGTGCACCAGATTCTTTTGAGTATGCCTCTCCAGTATGAAACCCTCACCAAAAATATCTAATTGGAGAACTTGAGAGCATTCAAAGAAGATTCATAAGCATGGCCGGGGTCAGGAACGGAGTTCCTTGCCGTCACGTCCCAATTGAAGACATTTCTCGGTATGTGGGGCTCCAGTCTGTGAGCCGTAGATTTTCTGCCGACATTGACATTGTGCTGCTACACAAGTTCATCGATGGCAAGGTTGAATGTCCGGATATCCTGTGAATGGTCTCAAGCCACCATTCATCCACCCGATCCAGTTATCTGCTCCTGTTCGTGCAGTAAATAGTACGATGTCTTGCCTTCAAAGATCTGACAACAGCGTTGCTGAATCTGTTGACTTCTACGAGCGGCTCTAATAGGATTTCGGTATTCATGCAGGAGTGACTTATTGTTGTTATTGCCTTTGTATATTCAATTAATTTTTACTTCTTTTGTGTAATATAAATTGACTGTTTTCAAACTAAACCTTCTTGTTGCAGACATCCATATTCAATGTTCAGATTGGCTTACATTCCATGTATATTTTTGTCAGACAATTAGGGGCCATGCACATATTACGTAATGCTCAAGGAGGGGGTGGTTCGGCTTAGCGTTACTGAGAGGGTTTTCAGGATCAAATGATTCAAATGATTTATTTGGCCATTCAGTTCATATACAGGACAATAGGCTACGTCAACAATACAATAAATCGTTACTGTAACGCACTAAAATTCTATTTTTGTCTAAGTACCAAAATGATAAAAAGTGCCTTTTTGGAAAAATTAAAACAATGTGCTTATAGGGGGAGAAAGTAAATATTATTGTTCCAATAATTAATGCTAGGTGAGCTTCGGTTCAAGGGGAGTGCCGGGGTGGGTGTGGTAATATATGAAAGATGGAGAAATATTCCCTTTTAACATAAACCAACATTTTAAACACAATAGTGCATAGGTATTTAAATTGTAGTGTAAATTACACAGCTGTTTCAGAAGAATACTGTAAAATCTTGTTCAAACAGCACATTTATCTGAACTAAAATTTGTATAGCTTTTAGCGTAAAAGTTATAAAAAGGTACTATTAAAATTTTTACTGCTTTTAAGTTTTATTAAGATACTGAATGAACTCGAATACAAACATAATGTTTGATGATCATTATGAATTAACAGTACAAGCAATTTAACTGTGCTGATATATCAGCTTCAATGTAGTACAATTTTTAAACTATAGTTAACAAATTAATATGTTAAGATATTTTGAATTTTAAACATAAGATTCTTGGGTATTAGGTAAATCATATTGCTTGTGAATTTATATTAGGGTTAGGAGAATAATACAGAGTAAAAACAAAAATTTTCTTTATTATATACAACACAAATCAATGGAAAACTTAAGAGCAAAAGCTAAACAGTTATAACATATAATGACAAGTTTTTTCTTACAGAAAGATATATTTATACAATGATCCCAATAGGTGGAAAAGATAATATTAAAAAATAATAATATTGCAGAAAGTTCTTCATTTTTCAAGACAGTATTATGCTGAAGTTTGTTCCGAGTAATATGGAAATACTGATGAATGAATAGGGTAAGGCCGGGGCCACACTCATCCTATCTCGCTGAATTTCTTCCGTGGGCGTTACCCGTGGGTTTGAGAGATACATTACGTTATATGGGGCAGGCCACACTTGAGTAAAAACGTCTGTGAACGCGTTTTGCACGTGTATTCTACTATCATTTCACGGGCGTTGCACGTAAAACTAGTCGCGGGGCATTGCGGCTTATGGGAGTTAACACACTCATCTTATCTCGCTGAATTTTTTCCATGGACGTTTCTAGTTTTAACCTGACTGTTACTATGCAGGGAGCGAGGAGGGGGGGAGAATAGGGATCACAGACACGGACGATTTTTATTGCTAGTGTAGCATGCCCTATCAGTCTTGCCGGTTAGTCTGAAATACCTATCTCGTAAGACGAGTGTGGCCATGGTCAAACTATTTCACGTGCGTCGCCCGTGAAAACGGAAAAAACAATCTCGCTGTATAAAAATTACAAGTGTGGCCCCGGCCTAATGCAGCTAATTACATTCTAAACTAGTACTTTATTTACAGCTTTTTTAAATACAGAGAAAGTTTGCAGCTGGATTTTCACATGCAAGCGTTTTAGCGAATTTCCCTATAGGGAAGTAGCTATTACCGTAGGTCTCATGGTAAGACTTAGGCCCGGGACCGATTTACTTTTTCATTTTAATGTCCCCTGAGGCCAAAAACACCATCCGTTCAAATTTTTATATATGTATATATATATATATATATATATATATATAGATTTATATATATATATATGTGTCCGTGAACACGATAACTTGAGTAATTTTTATCCGATTTTGATGAAATTTGGTTTGAAGGTGTAAGGCGGGATAAACTTGAATGAGTTCGCGATCCAGCATGATCGGACCATGGGAACAGGGTTTTATGGGGGGTTTTATGGGGTAAAAATTGGTTTTTCTCACTTCTTACCCTCAAAACACAAAATTTCCCAATTTTTCTCTAAACCTTCTTAAAGAGCTTAAAAAAACAAACAATTTAGTATATCAAAGTGTTTTTGTACAATTATTGGTTACGGAGAAAACTAAAAAAAATGGTAAATTTAAAATTCCCATGTTATTCTTATGGAGAATATTGTAAAATGTTGTAGTTTGCTTGTTTATGGATATATTTTGATCAAACTTGGCAAATTTATTTATTTTATAGTAAGCTATCAATATTTTACTAAAAACACACTACTTTATTAGTTTCCTTGTAGCAGCAAACCTAGGTACTTGTTAAACCTAATGTTATTTAAATAGATCAATTGAAAATCAATTCGGCCAAATGGAAATTCGCTTAGACGGCAGGTTTGCTGCGGCGGGGGTATTTGTTGTAACACCTATTACTGTAATGTGGTTTACAGACATCCCATTTGTAGGGCATTTTTGGGTAAACATTATTGAAATACAGGTGTACAAGTAAAACAAAAACAAAATACATATAGACATCAGATTTTTTCCCATTATTATAATTTTCTTTTGATGGTCCGGAAAACCAGAAACTAGTTTATGCCGGATTATCAAGGTTTCTAATGTACAAACAAAAAAAATTGTAATACAGTAGTATATTTCACCACAAGGCGGGACATCAGGTGTTTTTTATACAAGCATGCAGGATTTATGTGAGAACTGTTAGCACCTTCCCGGACAAGAAAATACCACTCTATTAACATTTTACAAAAAGATAAACACTTTGTCAAATTCCCTGTAGCAGCAACCTTAGTGCTTCTTGAGCCTAATATAATTCAAATTAAAATAAATCTCACATGTTTGAAATATTTTAGTAAAATCGAATTATGCATTTGGAAATTCACTTAGTGTGCAGGTTTTTTGCAGCAGAGGCATTTAAGGTATTCAGGCAGATTTATAAATGTAAAAGTTCATCCATTTGTATTATAAAGATAAACTTATCCTGGTAAGCATTAGATGAGGCTAAGAATACACTAACATTTTAAAAATGTACTTAAAACAAAAAGTTACTCAATCATCAACGTTTTAAGAAAAGTTAAAACAATAAAAAAACTACCACCTACATTTACACCATTAAAATTATATCTCACTATGAGAGTAAATGACAAATATGTACAGAAACAAAATTTTTCAATATTTTAAGCGTCTTAGTACCATTTTCCACGTTTGCTGACACTTTCTTCAAAAGGAACATTCCTGCAAAAGATCAAATTTATAGTTTTAAAATATTACATGCAAACAAATCATATAAACAAAAATTGGAAATAATCTTAGCAAACAATTTTATGCTGAATTCTGAGGAAAACAATTGCTTGAGTCTAGTTGCACAGTTACAAAATATTAAATAGAAAATAGTTCAACAGAATGTCTGCTCCAAAAGAATTTTAAACAATGTATATTTGAATATTTTATAATATCAAAAACACTTATTTTTTATTTTGAATACTACCTGGAACTTAAGTGTATGAGGAGCCTTTATAATCTTTCTTTTAATACAGTTTGAATTCGTTCATTAAAAACATTATAAACCATTATAAACCAACAATTTTCACCTAAATACCTTTTGTATCCTTCCTGCGTGAAAGTCGGAATGGTTGACAGACCTTGAAACGGTTGGTCAAACCCTGTTTGCATTGTGTTTTGAAAGGGAGGGCCAGACAGCATCGGTAATCTTGGAACGGGATTTGGTGCATAGTTAGAAATCTGTGGCGTTGTATTAGGATAAGACTGACTGAGTCCCTGGTTACTCCAGCCTGGATGTGGCTGGTTAGATAAGTTTGGACTGTCGAAGTCAAGAGATGGTTTAGTGTTGTCTTCGAATGAGTCATCCAATTCAAAATCGTCACCATCTGGTTTATATCCAACCCCTTGTATAGTCTTGATCATATTGGGGCTGTAGAAATTACCAGGAGTCAACAGATCAATTCTGAAAGAGGACAAGATTCGTTAGTAAAATTACAGAGACGATGTGAAAATTAAATTCCAAACTTAATTAAGGTTGTAATTTGTTAAATAGCACGGTTGTAACAGCATCTGCCATAAAACAGGGGTGATTTAGGTATTTTTGGGAGACACTTCTGGCAGTTTTCAAGAATACCTTATGTGTATAAAATACACAGTGGAGCACAGGAAATTGTTTTTTTTTATGTTTTGGCAGTGAGATTGGCTGTGGTTTTTTTTTTTGGGGGGGGGGGGGGGAAATTTGGATGATTTTCGTTCAGTTGTCATTATGCCGTGGACTTGGGTTAAGCGCTTATATTGTAATAAACCAATAGTGATGCATCCTGTTTAGGTAAATTAAACAGCATTAATGCTACAGCGACCGATTTGTTGATGTTTACCCACGTCTTAGTTAAGAATAGTGAAATGTTCAAATATTTCTACGAGACACTTGTTTTAGTTCATTTACTCCCTATATCACGGATCACGGTTCACTGTAAAATGAAATTACCTATCCAGCACAACTCCCAGCTACCTCTAACCTCACTGAATATTTTCAAACTTGTACAAAAACATTTTACACAGATCAGCATGAATACTCCTAGGTTTAGAGGATTATTGGAAATAAATTACTTGAACATATTTACAGCAAGAAGAAAATTATCCAAATGTCTTGGCAGTAAACCTATTTGACTGAGTGAATTGACTTTCGGTAAGAGGATCCACCCAATCGGCTTGTCAAATCTTTTTGTTTCGTTAAATTTGTCAGAACAATTTTTTGTTTAACAAAGCACTTGTTGGAATTTAATTATCTCTAGCCGTAGGACTGTATCAATTTTACTTATTGTTTAATTATAAAATATTCCGAACTGTTGATAAATAAATTTGTGATGTAAGATTAGTAAAACCGTTGAGTGACGAAATCAACTTATATTCTACTTGCGTCTTTAATCCAGTGTTTTTTTCACACAACCTAAACACAAACCCCGCTTTACGGGATCAAAACATCCTGTTTAATCTAACAAAAAATCATGTTTAGTACTATATGAATTTTTCTGTTCTATCCTGGGGGTTTCGTTACGTTTATGTTTAAACATCTCTTTAAACCGTGCTATAATAGCAAGCTAAAATAATGTTATAAGTTATAAGTTTGGATAAGTTTTATCTGGAAAGCAGTAAAAAATAGGAAAACAAGCGTTAGATCTGATCATCCTGTTTTAAACTGTATATCGTTCCTAACATAGTCTTAAACAATGTGATAAAAATCCCAGGTAAGGAAACATTGACAATATTTTTTTCCAGTGGAGTATACCCTTACATGTTTTAACCCTTTAGGTCCCCATATAATACTAAGTAATTTTAAACAAATCAGGTAAAACGACAGTTGCTGTAACACAAACCCAATAATAACTACAGTCCAACCTCAGTATAACGAATCTGAAGGGACCGAACTGAATATTCGTTATATCAAGGATTTCGTTAAAATGAGGTTCGTTATATAGAGGTTAGGTTTGCAGGAATTTCGCTAAGTCGAGGTTCAGAACCAGCGTCGGTCAATATAGGCCGGGATTTGACCTCATTAAAACATAATTAAAGTAGCATAGGCTACAATACTTTACAGTATAGTGTTCATTGTACAGTAGAATCTTCTGTATCCAATAGTCAATGGTAGAAACTAAATTATCCGACATAATATTATAATAAAGGTGAAGGATCTTGAATAGGCCTATTGCGCAATCATGACAATGGCATTGACCTTGGTACAGGTTAAAAACTGTAAGTTTAAAATGACAGCTTGTTCTAACCCTCCTAAAACCTAGCTAAACACTACATTGCGTAGTCATAAACCATGTAAAAAACAAAACAAAACAGTAGAAAGTTTTGTAAGCTACTGACTGCTCCGTGATAGGCCGGTAGGCTACTTACAGTACAGTACTGATTTATCACAACAGAGGAATGCCAATAATAATCATTAACTATAGCATTGGTGTTGCTAGTTGAAACAAATCGTATTGAAAACAATAAATTATTAGATAAGTCATTATAAAAGTGCATATTCATAGCCAACTTAAAGATAATAAAACACTCGTAAATTAAGGAATGTTAAAATAACGATGTTGCTATTCTTTCTCTTTGCTTTTATTTTTATATTCTTTCTTAGATTTCTCTTTGTCCAAAAATTGTACAATTCACCATATTTACTTATCACCCAATCACAGCTTACTACAGATTACGTCACGTCGTCATCAATCGTCAGTGAATGAAATCAGTTCTCAGTTGCAACATTGCGTGCGCAGCGACAGCAGACAGAGAGATGTGTAAAACGGAGCAGACGAATGTTAGCGCAAGCGATGACGTCACCTTTCCATTTCATTTGATAAAGAAACAGATTTTCCAAAAACAATACTGGGGTGGGGGATTTGTTATATCAAGGGAAAGACGTAGACAATTCGTTATGCAGAGGTTAAATTCGCAATGTAGAGGTTCTGACAATGATAAATTTGTTATATTGAGGTGTCTTATTTTAGCCGAAATCACGAAAAATTCGTTAAATCAAGGTCGTTGTTATGGTTTGTTCGTTATGTAGAGGTAAAATATACATAGGCTCTTATGGAGAGTTCTAGGGGATTAAAAAAAATTCGTTATATCAAGGAATTCGTTATATTGAGGTTCGTTATATAAAGGTTAGACTGTAATAAGTCTAAGGAGGAGAGTGCCTGTTGATAACATAACCAGTTGAAACACATATTCCACAATTGAAAAGGATTGAAGTGAAGTACAATATTGCAATAAATTGCTTTTAAAAACATTGACGGAGACTTACTTTGGCCCCTGAGGAGGGAAGAGCCTGTATCTTACTGTGTCTCCCATCTCAGTCATCAGGTAGCGGTAGAGTGCTTGTGGTGAGAATCGCCGACTGACACACAAAAACCTGCCAGACACCTTGACTTTCTTGGTGCCGTGGAACCATCTACGCTGAAAACCTTTCTCTGCGGCATGTCTGTCACAAACAGATGCAGATCTCATGTTACTAACTTTATTAGGGCTGACCCTTTGACGTGGACTTTTTACAATTTCTTGTCTCTTTTAGGTTATGTCGATTTTCTTTTAATACATCAGGTCTATACTTCACAAAAATAAAAGAAAAAATCTGTCCCCTCCTCTATAATAGTGCAAAAAGAAAATCAATTTGTGTGCAATCTCTAATTAAAAACATCAATATCATCAACTTTAACGGAGTTGGAAGGTGTCTTTAAGCTGGACCTCCTATCAGTTTAAGCCAAACACATTAGTCAGATTATATCAGAATTGAACTCCAGACAAGACGAGTGCTGCTAATAACAAAAATTTATAATTAATTTATGCGCCAGAGGGTTAGCAATAGAATTTGTTTTTAAATCACAATAAATTTGAGAAAGCTGATTTTATGTATATCACTACAATACAAAACATTGGTAAAATTAGGTTCAGAATCACAGGTAAAAATTAATTAAATTGTGTCAAATTTTAGAACCAATTTTCAAGTATAATAGTTCTAAACCCGAAGCATCATTAATTTTATGAATGTCATTAAGAAGGTACTTAGATGAGTAAGAATTATACTTTCACAAAGAACATTGGAATGATTCAATAGCTTGACTGTCTAATGGACTGTCAAAAAATTATAGGCCTATGTTGATGAAGCCTATTGTAACTGTGTTACCTAATGGCAAATAAATTCTTGATTTTTGATTCTTGGTAACTTAATTAAAAGGTTTATCAAAAACGTTATGATTAAACATAAATCAAAGGTTTGCCAACATGTTGCTGTTCATTATTATTCAATTGATACTGAAACAACATGCAACCACAACACTATTCACTGTGAGAGGCGTTTGACTTACTCGCCAATGGTTTTCAGCTCCCCTATGGTGTACTCCATTCCACTGCTTGGTCCAAAAATCAGCTCACAATGATTGTTTGGGTCATTGAAAAACTCATCCATGAACGTGATCACAGCGTTGACGTGAGTTGCGTCCACCCTACGGAAATTACTGACAATAATTCCTTTGAATGAGGGGAAAGATGTGACTCATTAAGCTCCAGCGATTAATGGTGTACAGTATTAAGCTTGAAGGCTGAGAATAAGGTGTTAACAGTACAAACATAATAGATCCTGTGCAAACTTTCCGAGCGTAGTTCTACTTCTAATCTAAACTTCCCAGTTATGACTTCTACGATAGTTTAGCCTAAATAGAGAAATATCTTACAGAAGAACCTCTATGTTCTTACGGGCAAAACTAACCAACACCATAAATAATTGTGGATTGCAAATTAATCCAAGGGTCGAATAACATAATAAAGTGATAAAAATAGGTAATTGAAATCACACTATTAATTACTTATACTAACTGTAAACTAACAGGTTTTACTAATTTGTATTATTAAATCAGACTTACCCTCTACAAAATCCTTTGGCTTTGAGTCTTTTCACAGTCTCAGTGACAGATTTGATGATTTCATCTCTTTTAACCATTCTGAAATCATGGTCATTCAAGATAAGTTTCAAGCAAAATTCCCAAAGATAAATTGGCTATGATTTAATTATTTCATTACATCATTAGGGACACCCCCGTTGTATTAGCAAACCTTAAAAACTTAATGAGCCAGTTTTTTTTTATGGGCAGTTTTTGTTTAACATATTTTCTAATGCACTTGTTTGGTTAAAAAAAAAACTCAAAACTCACTTAGGCTGTAAATCTTTTGCGACAAAGGTGTTTTGAATAGTTATAAATAAGTAGGATAATTTCTAATACAAAAATAGCAAGACTATATTTTGAAAATTTAGAAAATTCATATGAATTATTTTTTATATTTTCCTTTACACATTTTTTTGACCTCCCATTAAATTAATTTTATGGCAACTATTTTTACATTTTTGTTCACTTTATTTTTATAGTATTAGTATATAATTTTTGTTATCCAGATAGTATTATTTTGCTGTATTATTGATAAGTCAAAAAATATACAATGTACTATATATAATTTGTGGGAAATAAAATGTTATTTCATTTAATTTCATTACTTCCTAAAGGTCATTTGGTAGGTATTTTGTAGTGGTGACTCTCAAATAACATTTTTAATTATATAATTCCATGATTCCATATTTTATGAAAGGAATGTTATTGTGCGAACTGACTTCGGGCTTCTGGTTTTGTAAAACAATACCATAACCTAAAAAATGAACTGTTACCAGAACTGTAATTAATCTTAGCATAAATACTAATAAGATCACTTGAAACATAAATGTTTGAGATACCGGTGTATATATAGATATATATATTGAGATGGAATTAAACAAATATTATGTTATTTACTTGTAGTATCCTTTCTTTTCTGGGTGTTTCAGCATAAATCTCGGATACCGTCCGCAGTTGTAGTAGCCATATTTTGTCTGAAACAAATTTAAGATTATACTCTAGTAAAAGAAATTTCTTATACTAAAATAAAATACTAGGAATGGACGAGATTGGATTTTTAGTTCGAGACGAGACGAGACGAGATTTTTTATTTCTCATAAAATTTCGAGACGAGATCGAGACGAGATTTCTCTTCTCATACACAACGGGAAATGCACGTTCGAAATTTTTACCTGATTTTGTAACATTGTTAGATGACTGTTTAAATACTAAAATAATGATAATAGGCAAGAATATTTACAATCTTTCATTAAATAACATCAGCATAACATTTTTTTATTAATCACGCCTAACTTATTAAAAATGCCTACGATTAGGAAACATGGTGATATCAGTTAGGATAGAGTTCAACTTATCCTAAAATAAAATAAATCATAAAATAAAAGCAATATTAATTTTTATAAAATAGTTACTTGTTTTGACTTTTTTTATAGTAATAAAACATTCCTCACACTGCTTACACTTAACAAAACTTCTCAAATGTTATTAAAGTAATATTATTAAAATAATGAAAGTAATATTTACATTAAAAGAATTAAAGTAATATTTACATTAAAAGAATTAATTAAATAAGAACGCCTTCGAAAAGGAAACGCAACTACAACACGCTCCTGTATTGCGGGTATTGCATTGACTTTCTGCAGGCGTTTTTAATTTTTTTTTTTTTTTTTTTATTCTCGTCTTGATAAAAATCTCGGCCAAAAAGTAATCTCGTCTCGTGTAACGAGATTGAAAATTTCCCGAAAATTTCCCGAAATTTCGAGACTTGACCATCCCTATAAAATACATCAATGCTTCTGTTGAGCTCAAAGGAAACTTTCATTGGTTGGTTGCGGAAAAAGTTTGTTTGGGTTGGGAAAAGTATTGTTTAGGACAGGCACAATATTGTATGTTTTGTTAGAAAGGAAATCAATGATTTTCATATCGCTCAGCTGTACAGAAATGAGCAAATCTTGAATACAGAGTGATGAAATAATAGTTTACGCAACGATTGCGTAGATAGTGTTAACATCACAAGTAGAAAATGAAAACTTCTACTGTACAAGTCTCGTTAACACTATTTACGTGAGTTGCGTTACATTCTTTACCTACGACAGAGATTTAATTACTAAAAAGCACTACTCATAACTTCCAAGAGGGGTAATGTTTTCGTTTATAACCTCTCATTGCCACTGACAGTGATGCAACAAAACATTGTAACAAATCCTAATAGCAACACTCAACAATTAAATTGGCCTGAACAGCTGATTAGTTGAATTTTGAATCATTACAATTTTACTTCTCCTCTCTCAATCCTTGAACCTCATTGGTCCGTCACCCGTGTTGTTATGAGTAAAACTATGCTGTTATGAAAGTAAACAATTCTGTTATGTGAAACTTTTCAATTCTAAGAACTGAACTGAAACGGCTACTTTAAAAAGCGGTCGTAGGTAAAATTATTTAACAGCATAACTCCCAGCTTGATCTTCCTCTTACAAATTTAAACTCTCCAAGAAAACACTTTACACAGATCAGCATAACATGTCTTGTGGTTCGATTACCTTAGTAAAACATCAAAATATTAACAATACGTTATAAATATCAGAGATACATTGCCAAATTCTATATGATTTTTGGAACTGAAATATATTGGACTTTTTATGGGAAATCAGCTTTAGACAACCTGATTAAAGAGAGTAATTCCGTTAAACAAAAGCCCTGTGGTATTTTCTTCACTATGCCTATAGGCTGTCTAGTAAAATACACAATCACCTGTATTGTGAAGCATGTTTTGGCGAGGGCGTTTATCAAATCTATTCCAGCCGAAATACGTGCTTCCTCTCGTGAGTCGCCTTCTGCTCGTGATAACAGAACACCCTTCCATCTCAAATCACAAACTCTGAAATCATCCCGAGCCATTAACCTCGACAGTCAGGGTACACTTTAGTCTGTGATCCAAGTTGACACTACATAGCTCTCGTTAAACTATGTAATCAACCAACAGTGTGGGAAACCAAATCTACTTTTTAAAACAATTTATTAATTCTATTTCCTCAATTTAGTTGAATGAGGATTAGCAATCAAATTTGAATAGCCAAAGAGTGAAAGATGTATGAAAAACTCACAGAACCATCCAAATCTACTGAAATAACAACTGTGAATACAATGATTCAGAAAACATATTAATGAAAAGCACGTCAAAAATTAAGAGATTAAGACTGAATTGCTGTTGGCCTATTTCTGTATAAAAAGCTAGTATTATTCCCATTTAAGACTTCCTTCTATTTCTGGAGGTTAAAGCTTGTTAAATACACTTAACTATTTTAATCATAGGCTATATAAAAATACATATGTATAAATAATCTTTTTACAACCAAATACTAAACTTGAAAGTCAATAGAACAAACTCAATGTTTGCATTTTCATATTTTATGGTAGAAAAATTGAAGTTTTATAATTGATTGAAAGAATTTCCCCCTGAAACAATCAACCTACAGGCAAAGATAATACCCAGAAATAATAAATGCTTAAAAAGATATATAGTGCTAACTAAAAATGACAGAAAACTTTCTTCAGTTTTGGGAACTGCAGAAAACACTTAATACAAAAAAAGAGTAATTCGTTTAAGTTTAGAGTAAATTTCTTTATTTGGTTAAAACACAATGACACTACTCAATCATTATTGTTATTAACATTGAGCACATTTTTTGCACAAGATTTGATTGCTACAGCACTGATTTTTCCATGCTTAGCTTAAATAACAACATACTGTATAAAGATCACTTACTGTTTGCGTACTGAGTTAGGCTTGAACTCGGTCATTTCATCAATATCTAATCTTTCAAAGCCTTCAGACGATGAGAATGACTCTTTCAATACTTCAATTGGGTCTTTTTGAAGTTCACTGTTTGCTTGTACGCCAAAATAAATGACAAATCCCTTAAAGATTTTGCCTAATACATCAAATGTAGGGGAGCAGTTTTTGTATTTATTAATTATTTCAGCTTTTGGAAAAATTAAACCGTCAGACTTGTAAACATAATCATTGTTCTGACTTTTACTTTGCCCTTCATCATCACTTATTACAATCACCTCCTTCACTTTATGTTCTGCAGGACGATCGTTGAAACTGGAAGGCTTATCTAATGAAAATTGCCCTTTTGAAGCACTATTTTGTGGCCATGAATGAAACTGATCATTATCACGGTTTTCTGAACAAAAATCAGTTTGTAAATTTTGGCTCAGTCCTTGGAATGGCTGATGATTTGAAAATGTATTAGTGCTTTCATTGACCAATGAATGTCTATTTTGCAAAGACTGGTTGAGAAATCCACTGGAATTATTATTAGAATAAGTCTTTTGGAACTGGTTTGTTTGTTGTATTTGACTCGGTTTAGCAGCGTTGTTTTCAGACTGTAAACCTTGGTTTTTCCATACAGGCTGCTGGTTAGATGTCTCATTCATTCGACGAGAGTACATTGGATTTGCCACAATGTTTTCAAATATATCTTTAGGTGGTTGAGAAAATGCAGCTCTTTGATCTAACGGTATAGTATTTTGTTGGAAAGAAATTGGAGGAATAACTGGCACAGTACTTGGTACTTGTTGATAAGGATATGTTGGGATCATCGTCTGATTAGGATAAACAGGTGTTCTCACTGGTCCAATATTCATATTACTGCTAGAAACAAAGTTTGAAGGGTTCTGTGGCATTTGAGTGGGCATATTTAAATTGGGCTTCAAAAAGGGTGGACCGCTTCTAAAATTGTTATTATGGCCTTGAAAATATGGAGGTCTAGGATTACTCTGTGCAATAGGTAAAACACTTGAAGGATTCAATTTTGGAGCATTATTTGGGTGTGACGGAGCAACAGGTGTTTTCTGAAAAGAAGTAGATTCTGGGTTAGTTTTGGTTTTAGTCTTACTTGGCTGCTCATACCTTCCTTGGAAAAGATTTTCATTGAAAGCATCACAAGTTTGACTCAGAAAAGACTTTTCGTAGGCATTAAATAGCTTTTCCTGTTCATTGCTTGGTTTGAGTCCATCTTTTTTCTTATCGAGGGACGAATTGTATGTAAATTTAAAGTCATAGTACGACGATTTAGGTAGATTATCTTCTTTATTATCCTTAGGATTGTCTGCATTAGATAATTTTATGGCTTTATCTGTATTTTGGGTCTCACGAAGAAACTTCTTTTTTCTATGTTTTTTTACAGGAATGTCTTGTAAATTGGTTTTCCCAAAATGTTCTTTTTGGAGAAGATTTAGTACACTAGAATCTCTACTGTCATCTTCTTCAAGTTCAGCTAGAAACTTTTGCATACTATCAGTACTGCAAGGACGATGAGAACCATGTGCTTTGGTTTCATCTAAATTTACGAAATTCTCTGTTGGCGATATAGGAGACAAATCTCTATTGTTTCTATGGTCTTCAGAAAAGTCTCTTTTTTCAAAGCTTCCTGCTTGTGAAATGGGAGATAACTCCATTTCCTTCACTGAATGTGTGTCACGAGAAGCTGAAAACTGCTCTTTTCCCAAACTACCTGTTTGTGACACTGGTGATAGTTCTAAACTCTCTTTTTGAATTTCGATGGACCTATTCTCAGTGAATGGCCCATCTCCGACCCCTAAAAAATTACGGTTATCTTTATAGCTTCTATCATGAGAAGATTTAGACACCGGCCTTTCAAAAGACATTTCTCTATTATAGCCTGTACTTTCTTTAGGTTCAAAAATGCTTTTTCTTAAAAAATCTGTTCTTACTTCCTCTAAAAAAGGTCGATCTTGATCCTCTAAAAAATCTCTTTTTCGTTCCCCTAAAAAATGCCCCCTTTGTTCTTCTAAAAAAGGCCTTTCTTCATTACCATAGTTATGAGCCCTTTTTCTGAAAGCTCTAGAGGAAGAGTTAGAAGATTCAGGAGATCTTCTGCCGTAAGAAACATGAGGTGAAAATCTTTCTGGTGATAGATGTCGTCTTGATCTAGACCTCCTTCCAGAATCAGAGTGATTTTCATGAAGCTCTCTTACATCTTCTCTCCAAGCAGGTGATATTTGTCTCACAGGAGAATACTCAATTCTCCTTTCATAATTGATAGTTCTGACTGGGGATCTTGATCGCTCTATTGATCTTCCACGTTCAATAGTAATATTTTTCAATCCATGAAACTTCCTAGACTGATTAGAAGGTGACAAAGATCGTTCAGGAGATCTTATATATTTTCTATTAGAATAACCCCGGCCCTCAAAACTATTGGATGGAGAAACAGAACGTGATTTAGGATTATTCTCAAAAGATCTCTTACAATCATCTAAAAACCGCTCAATTGATGATTCTGACCTTTTCTCATGCATCTTCTTTTCATGAAGCATTTGTTGCAGTCGTCTTTTTTCGAATTCTATTTGTCGTTCAATTGATCTTCTAGAGCTTCCAGCAATAGATCTTTCACGATCACTTCCATGTAAAGACCTCTCCCTACTGTGTCTAGAGGATCGAGATCGATCAACTGAATGTCTTCTATATTCAATTGATCTTTCCCTTTCTCCTCTTCTTATACTAACTCCAGGGGAAATAGGTCTTTGATGTTCGAGGAATATTCCTCTTTCATCAACGCTTGGTGACCTTCTATACTCATTAAAATCTCTACTGTCTCCACGATATGGTCTATCTTGCTCTACAGACTGTTGCCTTACAAATCTTTCTTCTGACGATCTTATTCTTTCAATAGAACGTTCACGCACCTCTGAAAAACGCCTTTCTAAACTGGGTGATCGTCTTAAGTGTGATCTATCAGGAGATCTCTCAGGGCTTGGATCAAATTCTTCACCATCATCAAATCGTCTATGTATTGTTAAAGGTGATCTCATTCTGTGTTCAAAAGGAGGGCAATCTTCTCCTCTGTCATAATACTCATCCTCTTCTTCGTAATAGTCTTCAGGGTCATCAAAAGCCTCCTCATCTTCTACATACTCATTTTCATTAGCCATATCATGAGGTGGACCATGTCTCTCATAAGAACTTTCTTCATCATATTCCCTTGGGGCCATAAACTTCCCTCGGCCTCCTCGAAAGTGACTTTGCCTTCCTCTAAAATGTCTACCTCGTGACCGAGCTGGTCTGAGAACTCGGCCTGAAAAATTCTTTCTAAATGGCCTACTTCTACCACGATCAGAAAAATATTCCTTTTCCACAATTTTTCCCCTTCCTCTAATCGGCCCATGTCCTCGAAATCTTTCTATATTATGAGGCTCTCTGCCCTGATGATATTTTCTTTTAAATGGTCGGCCTCTTTCTTTTAGAATTACACCATCGTGTCCTCGGACGTTTCCACTCCTCCTAAATTTAGAAGGATATCTCCCTCTAAAACTCATTTCTCTGCTAGGAAGTGAAGTCTGCAACAGAGTAGTTCTTTCAATAAATGAAACATAAGTAATACAGAAATACAAAAGCTTATAGGCCTAACCAAAATTAGTTTTCAATCTCCTTACCATGCACAAGTCCTACTTTATGTTTGTAATTTCACTTTTTCTAAATGATGTTCCAGACTTTTGTTTATATTATCTGAACATCAGATTTGTTTTAACAATGAGGGAGGTACGCCTTTTCAAACTTGATTATGAATTAATTAATTAACACAAATTTACAATGCATCATATAGTTCCTTATATACTGTAGCTAAATATGTGTTGAGAGACATAAATAAAACAATACTGAATAAGATGGGGAATTATTAATGCTGAGTCTAGTAGTCTATAGGTCTAGTCTCTAGACCTATATTTACAAAAATAAGGTATTTACACGGACGAGGTCACTACTGTAGTTTCACGTTCGGATCAATTGAATAATGTGACAACAGACTTTCGGATTTCGACCGCATGTGTGTAGCCTAAATATTTTAAGAAGACCCCCGAAGATGCCACATCAGGTGGAGAATTTATGGGTAACAATTACTCCAACCTACTCAAGAACTACAGGCTTCGGTACAACAAAAAGAATCTAATATAATTAAGTAACTTACGGTACTTGAAGAAACAACAAAAACATTAAACATGCAAGCTGGCCTTCCTATAATGAAACATCAATGTTTCCAAAACATCGGTTAACAAATAACAAAGCACATACGTAGGCTAATAAGTACCGGTACCGGTGAACCATATGCTCTAACGTAAGTTATTACTCCCATCAGTAAGGCTAGGGTAGCTTATCTCCTATCAGTTAAGTTAGGCCTAAGTTTACCTAGGTATGCCTAACTTATTCTCTTTTGATTTATTGTAGGCCTAGGCCTAAACCACTGTTAACGGGTCTTGTAGAGCTAATAGTATGGCTAAATATTTTTGGGTATTAAGGTAAGTAACAATAGGCTAGTTGGCTTGATTTTAGTTGGCTCACGGTTACTCAACAAAGTGGACTTAAGTTAAACTATTTAGGCCTACCAAAAATCACTGTAAACGGAACCACTTTGCAATACCAGGACAAAGTAAAAAGTCTTGGTTTGACTTCATACCGCACATTGCACTGGATCGCGCCACTCATCCTACACTCATCCTTCACTCACATTTGGGTTAAAATACGCACATAGGTAGCGGCGTCCCCATCTTAAATACTTAATTGAATTGAATTGAATTGACTGACGCGGTGCTAAGCACTTGTAAAGAGTGTTTGCCGCTGTTCACACACTGAAGAAGATGCAACGACTTTACCTTTTCAAATTAAACTCTTACTGGTCAAATCACTTTTGATTCCCCACTTCAATTACGGTAGGCCTACTGCAACACTGTGGTTAATGATATGACTGTGGCTTTGGCAACAAAATTACAAAGTGTACAAAATTAAGTTATTGTGTTCAATTCTTGTTCTATCTTAGACGTGATGACCATGTCACACCCTATTACATTAAGTTTAATGAATCAATTTGGAAATTAGAGGACATCAGAAAAATACGAATAGGCAGCTACTTTCCATTAAGTTACCTACTCGAATTCAATCATCAATCTTGGAATTCCAAATTTTCTTGCAAAGAATTTTAAATTTTTGAATGGATGAGGCGCAAGGGATACCCGCTCTGGCCCGTCCACGCTTTGCATTCCTCATCACAGAACAACTGTTTATACTAATAAATCATTTTTAGTAACAGCATAACGCCTATGGAACTCCACACCTCTTCCCATCAAATCCATAGAAAACCGATCCCAACTGATGGTGGCGCTGAAAGAATATTACCTTGACTGGATGGCCGTGGCTTGGCGGGATGGCGCCTAGGCCTAGATGCAGCAGAGGGTGTACATAACTTATGTGTGTGTGTGTGACTGTAAGCTAGGCCTAACTTTGTAGGTAAGATGAAAAAAATATGCTAGGCTATTTAGCCCTTTGAGTGCCAACGTCCAGGGAACCGGACGTTTTTAAAACGAGCCAAAAGTGCCGACGTCCGGCCGACCGGACGTTTTTAGAACGAGCCAAAAGTGCCAACGTCCGGCTGACCGGACGTTTCGTAATTATCGAACAGTTGTCATAACAACCGAATGGATACTCGGATTCTTTTAACCCATATATTAACATTGAGTCGAAAGTTACTAGATGCGATACATCGATTTTCGTTGGTCGAAATATCGAATATTCGATTTTTACGAAATTTTAACCTAAAAATCGCCAGATCGCGCTCGGCATTTTTAGCGCGACCTTCGGGAAAAATCATCGGCATTTTTTGAGCGTTACTTTTATTTCTCGCCTGGCACTCTAAGGGTTAATTACTAGTTAAGTTTAAGTTATGTTACAAACTTTGAGGTACTTACCGGTAGGCCTTATGTATTTTTTGTTATTAGCCTAGTTTTTTTTAGAGGTTAACTGTAAGAAAGGACCATGAGGTCCTAAGTTCGCCTCAATAAAGAAGGATTTTTCATTCATTCATTTTTACCGGGATTTAAAAATAAAATGCCCAAATAGGCCTACACCTAATTTTAGCCTAGGCTATGTAAAATTGTTTGTTGGCTATCCTAGGATTTAAAATATAAGTTTACGATTTAAAAACTTGACGAAAACTCTTCAAGAGCCTATTTACTAATACAATACTAGTACAATTCTACAACCTACTTAAGACACACATAAAACCAAATGAGATCAAATTTAGGCCTAGGCTACAACAAAATATCACTTAGGCCTGCCTAAGCCTAATTCCTACCTTGTTTTCAACTTCTTAGATCACAATGTTGTACCCAACGAGGGCACTGCTTATTTAACACAAAAGCCAACTCTATCGATATTGATGGAAAACAACTGGAACGTAGTATCTTTGTAACATGTTCGTGTAATTATCACATGACAAAAATTCCCAATTTCTTCCTAAGTATACTAGTTATTTCTTTATTCGTCACAAAAAGCCTTGGTTTTTACAAGACAAATACAAAATACAATACAATGGCGAAAGCATTGAAAGCAAAACTGCGATTGATTGAAGAGGCCCAGGCCGGCGAGGCGACGCAGCGCAAGGCGCAAGGCGCGAGCAACTTCATGTATATCTTACTAATATTATAAATCTTTTATAAATAAATATACATAAATATAATGTATGTTTATAAATAAATCATGTATATTTATTCATCAAAACTGTGTCGTTATCGTATTTCATATTATTATATTTCATATTATTTATTAGTATTTCATACTTGTTATAATATTTAATATTGATCGCACTTAACTACTTCTCTTTAAGTCACAACAAATTTTTATTAATTTCAACTCAACTCTCTTGCAAAATTGAGTTTGCCGTGTATGTAATAAATAAATAAAAAAATAAATAAAAAAACTTCAGCAACTGTTTAACTCCCAGTCCCAACTGACGAGCTCCGATCCGACTCCGAGCTCCCCCCCCCCCCCAACAGAGTGACGACTGAGGATGTAACTGAGGCTGATATTGTCTGTGACTGAGGGTTCTACTTCTACTCTACATTTTATTTTACTATAGACTAACCAACCTAAACCTAAGTAGACTTCTCATCCCATTGTAAATTTTGAAGCTCGTTTTCGTGTCTTGTATATGTTGGCGTTGGCGACACCAGTCGGATCCAGGGGCGGGGGGTGACGGGGGCAACCGCTCTACCTCTAGCATATATTTGTTTTACTGCATGTAATGTCAACATTTTGCCGTAATCGGGGAAGACGATGATGGTGATTTGTTACCGCAGGAGACAATGATGGTGTCAATACGACCGTGCATGGGAAATGAACAAAATTTGACCGTGGTCAGCGAAGACGATGTTGATTGATGACGTTTCCTGACTGTGGGAGCGGGATATTATTAGAATTTAGCCGCAAACGTGGAGGACGATGATGATGTTCCGTACGACGGGGGTTATTCAAGGAGGTTTCGTGACCACTGGAGTCAATGACGATGGTGAGCTTCACATTGTTTCTAATCCCGCCCCACTCAATCTAAAACTGGATCCACCACTGGGGGACACTATGATCACTTAGTATTGACGAAATTTTGTTATATTATTTTAGGGCTAATTTGATGATTTTTGTTTAAATGTTTGGTTAGTAACTAGGGGACGAGTTATTGTTTATGATTAGATAATTTTATTTTGTTAATAGCTTTAAATAAATAACTTAAAATACAAAATTTGCGAATAAAACTACGCGAGCGTTTGGGCCATGTTAAAGGCATCGAACAGAACCTGATAGATGACCAACATGAATAAATCCTGGCTAATGAAAAAGCCGATCTTACTGATCTGTGTCCTTACCAAAGCTACACAGATAATCATCTCATGCCATTGTACAATCATCCTCCACTTATATTTGGGTAAAAATAAGCACCTAGATGGCGTCCCCCATCTTAATGATTTATAATTGATAACTAGATATACAATTATCTTGCTTGTGAAATTACTACTTGTATGTACCGTACCTATTACTAAGTAGGGAGTTGGTTTAACTATTAAGATCCTATAAACATACGGTCGTGATGCGACAGGCTGTAACATTCTTTTTTTTTCAAGAAAGGTCAGATTTTGTTACTGTTATGTTAGAATTCTGATTGGTCAATCAATTAGGAGCAATAGATTACATATTATTCAAAGTCAGTATCTCTGATCCCAACCTACCAACCCTACTAAAAATGTTATTTCAGTCATCATTATCATAATCATAACCAAGCTTTATTTTTTTTTTGGACCAAGCAACCAAGCAAGGCCCCACTAGTTTTTTCTAGGCCTTGGACCAAGGCCAGAAGAAGAACAGTACCACTTCCACCCATGGTGGAAGGAAAATACATAGGTGTGCTAATCCCGTTATATGCTGACGTCACGCAGATTGAATCTGAGTGACGTCAGCATATGACGGGAATCGCACACCTATGTATTTTCCTTCGGCCATTTATTGATTTATTTCCCAACGGATTGCACCATTTTACAAAATACGTGTTTACAGTATGTCATGGAATACTTAAGTATTTTATAGGAAGTACAGCATTCTTAAATAGTTGAATCTTAATCTATGACTGAACTCCATAGATCCAGATCCACTCCAAGGAAAAAGGGTCCACTCTACCTCCCTGATCCAGCCCCAGCCACAGCCTGTCAGTCGGTTTTCCACCAATGTGTCAATTATTGACGAATAGTGATCAGTGATCACTGTCAAGTCAAGTCACGGAGGCAGACCCGTTTTTTGAACTATCAGTCAGTTCAATTCGATCGAGTTCGGTTCGAGGTCGAGCTTCGGCTTCGTTCGAGTCTAGTTCAGTTCTATCTAACTAATTAATTAACATTTTGTTGCTTCTGCTCTGAAGTGTTACTTAAAGGCTATAAATAGTCTATTTTTATTTTAGTGTATTTTGTACATTTAAAGTGGGATGAAAGAAAAACAAACTTAAAAGTTAAAACTTAAGTCCATAGTGTGTTTAGGGAGTCGGTGTTCATGTCTAGTTATTACTGTATGGTCATAATCTAAATTCTTTGTAAGTGCTCATAGGGTGAAAATGAAGATGGCTGATGGGACACGAATTTTAAGAAGAAATCGACCGGGAACCAAAGCCAAGGTTTGTAGGCCTTACATACAAGCTTAAGCCCATTGGTATAGCATAATCCTAGTTTGTAAATTTCAGAGTGCCACAGGGCCTAGCCTAGTTAGACCATAGGTCTAGCCTAGGTATGTAGCCATGCCATTAATAACGACGACAATTTAGTCTAACATAAAGACAACTCTGTATTAATTAGCCTACTGTGTATAATTTGTTTGACACCTTCACTAAACCTTGAGTCTCACGTAATTCACATCTGTAGCAGAGCGAATAGAATGCTTGGATTTGTTTTCCGCTATTCTTGTATTGCGCATTGGTGCGCCAGATTCTTGAGTATGCCTCACCAGTATGGGACCCTCACAAAAAATATCTGATTGAAGAACTAAGTTAGTGAGCATTCAAAGAAGATTCATTAGAATGGTCGGGGTCAGGACCGGAATTCCTTACCGGCTTGTCCCAATTGAAGACATTTCTCGGGATCTGCGGCTGCAGTCTCTTGCGAGTCGCAGATTTTCTGCTGACATACAGTAGTGCTGCGACACAAGATCCTCAATGGCAAGGTTGACTGTCCTGACATCCTGCGTCTGATCTTATTCAAGACACCATCAGCCACCCGATCCGGCGACCTGTTCGTGAGGCAATAGGGCCTACACCCGCACCAACTACGCAGCAAATAGCACGATGTCTCTCCTTCAAAGGTCTGGTAACAGCATCGCTGAATCTGTTGATTTCTTCCACGACAGTGTGGCGACTCTCAGGAGGAGGATTGCTGGGCTGCAGGCATGAACGACTCAATTTATCGTTGTTATTTTCTGTTATATAACTTATTCTATCACTTGATAATCTGTTTGTTATTTAATTGAATATATATTGACTGTTTTCATGGTGGAATGGCCTCTGGATCGTCTGAATTAACTATATAGTGGTTTAAATTACCTTGTTACTGTCAAAACGATCCTTTGTAGTTAGTAAGACTACAGCTGTTTCATGCTTCGAATGGAGCACATCATCAGGTCAGAAGAATGTCAAGTAGTCTTCATATTCCTCGCAGTGGAGTTCGTCAAAAGTTTAGTAATAAATAGAGAACAAAACACATAACACGAAAACACGAAAACATTTAATATTGCAAGCATGAAGTGAAACAGAAGCATGAAACTCCATATAAGAATGACTTCATATAAGAAGCATGTGTTTAGAAGCATGAAACAGCTGTAGTCTTACTAACTACAAAGGATCGTTGTTTTGACAGTAACAAGGTAATTTTAAACCACTATATAGTTGACTGTTTTCCTTTTTTCTCTGTAAAAACTTGTTATATTTGTTGCAGGCGTCCATTAAATGTTCAGATTTGCTTTATTTTTCATATATTATATATTATTGTTGTTGTTATCTACTAGCCTATATATTTATTGTTGTTATACATATATATATATATTTATTGTTATTGTTACATATGTACATATTTATTGATGGGTTGAATCTGGATCTAGCTGTCCTTGATCATTGGGCTTTTATTGACTGGTCCTGACCAATGAAACAGCTTAGGGCGTATATGAATTTTTTACATTTATTAACTTATATCATTGACTATGTTGTATAATAGTCGAAGCTTATATACATTAGGCCTACCCATTATTTTATTGTTAAAGCAATAAAATAATAGGCCTACTACTTACTGCTTACTGCTGTTCTTCTCCTCCGCAGTCATCAAGATTGGGGGAGGCGTCATCTTTTTCTTTATCTTTATCTTCTTAGTTGTATCTTGGTTTTTTATTGTCTTCAACCTAATGTATATAAGCTTAAGTTGTATTATGGTACCACAGAAGGGGAGCTAAATGTTGTTCCAGTCCATAGGCTACCTGAAAGACCTTAAAATCTACACATATCGCCCAGGTAGTGTTAAACCGTTGTTAAACTTATCATGACTGGTGGCTGCTAGGCTACTATCTAACCAAGTTATAATTTACTTTTAACTAACTAATTTATGGATGAATTACCAGAAGGCTAGCTTGGCCTAGTAGCTTATGCCTACTATTAGCTTATTGTTGCCTACCGGTGTGGTAAGTTAGCCTACTTTAAAATTTAGAACTCGATAAACTTAAGCCACTTAACCCTTGTTGTTGGTACCTACTTAAGATATGATAACTTGGTTGTTTTTCAAACAGGATTTCAGCAGGTGGCCTGATGAGCCATTTGAAGAGATGGACTCAACTTTGGCTGTTCAACAATATATCCAGCAGCAGATCAGGAGAGAGCCTAATAACATTGATTTAATTCTTACACCCCCAGAGACTCAAGATGAGGGTGTCTGGAAATATGAACATCTCAGGTAGAGCACCCTTGGTACTTCTTTATCATGTTTGCTGTGATATTGTAATAAATGGAAACTCCATGTACAGTATCTAAACTTAAATTTATTCAATTACAATACAAAATTGATGGTAAAAAAAATAAAGGGTTCACAATAAAGTTTACAAAGACTGAGGAATGAATTTACTAAAGCTTTAGGCTAGGCCTATTACAATAGTTCTAATTTAGGTTCAGGGGTTATATTGCATGGATCTTTATCCCAGGTGGGGTGATCAAGCGGCGTTTGAATTTAATCTTGTGATTATATAGCCTAATTAAATTTTGTTTTGGAATATAGATTATGTTCGAATTATTTTCTGATTGGTTGAATTAATTAAAGTTCTGAATAGACCTAAGCTTCTATTAGTAGCCCAATTAAATTAGAATAATCGGGTGAAATAATTCCCGGAGAGTTGGAAATTTGTTTAAACGTCCCTTTTGTTCATTAGAATGAAGAAAATAAAATGTCCTGATGGGCGGGGGTCGAGCTTGACTAAGGGAAGGTCTCGGAATGTGACTTCTTTTAGTTTTTCGCTTATATATCGGAATCTGTAAGTCATATTGAAAAGTGTTAAATACAAAAGTTATAGTTGACAAAATGCCCTACAAAAATGACACTATGCATTTTTTCGTACAACTTAACCGTTTAAAGCTAACTGGTAAAGAAAGTAACAGTACTGTATATTAAAATCGTGTTTTCTTTGCATTTCTGTTTTTAAAGTTAATATTACCTACTAAAAATAATTTTAATGATAACATACATGGGTCATGTCGTTTAAACTAGGGGATACAGGGATTCTTCAGTGTCATACATATTTTTGAATTCTTTTTGTAGGACTTAACCGTTTAAAGCTAAGGGGTAAATAAAATAACAGTATATTAAAATGGTGTTTTATTTGCATGGAATATGAAAAGGTTGAAAAAGACAAAGTCTTATCATTAGTCTCAATGAGCAGCACTATCAAAATTAATAACGTAGTGCATGTGGTGGATCCACTACTCGTATTACAACAAGTTGCAATTTCAAAGAAAAACCACGAGGATCTAGAGGACTTCTGCACCTTTCCCCTTATAGCTCTGTTTGATGAAAGAGATATGAGAAAGACACATGATTTTTTCAATGTTCACTAGTTAGCTCCAGACCTCAAGCTGTTAAATAATTTTATTGATGGTGGCTTTTTGTTACATCACGTTAAGTGGGGCGTAGACTCAACTTTCTCAGTTGTAATCAACCAATATGTGACGTACATAAAGAAACACTACGGTGAATTCTGCACTGTTGTGTTTAATGGTTACTCAAATACTTTTAACAGCACAAAACATGCCGAATAGGAGCCTCCACCAAGACCGTATCAGTCGACATTCATTTCACTGAAGAAATGACAGTGACAGTACAGAAAGAAAACTTTCTTTGTAATGACAAAAATAAGACCAAGTTCATCAAAATGATTTCTCAGAAAATTATCTCCGAGGGTATAGAAGTCAGACGTTCTGAAGCTGATGCTGATGCAACGATTGTGCGTTGTGCAGTGAAAAAAGCAGCATTCAGTGGTCATGTTGCTATCGTTGAAGAGGATATAAATTTGCTGGTCCTGCTGATTGATCCACTCGATCAAGAAATTATCTTCTTCAAACAAGAAAAAATGTAGCCTAAAGTAGAACGTAGAAGTTATTACTCCGATGAACTACAGAAATGTGACTTTGCCAGAAGCATATTGTTCATTCACGGGTTTAGTGGGTGTGATACCACCTGGTCATTTTTCAGAAAAGGCAATTCATTAATTGTGAAATCATCTCGATACCATCACCAACATATTTTACGGCCCGACATTGGCCCTAAAGGAAGTCTCGATAGCCGGTGAGCGGATGATCCTACTGATGTACAACATCAGTACATACCAATCCATACCGATAATCCGATACACACCGAAAATTTCAAGTCTCTAGTTCATCTAGAAGTGCCCAAACATTTCTATACCTGATCAGTTACACATGCAGCTGTGATAACTAGATAGAAAACTGATGGATACAATAAGCAATATTTATTTATTCATTTATCATCATCGTTAAGCCTACATTACAATAATTTGCATCTCTTATTAAAGCAACATTAATAATAACCATGCAGATTAATATAATAAAATGTAAATAATAATAATAGGCCTATTTATTATACTTTTTTTATATTTAAATTAGGAATAATTAGGCCTACATTATGCTGTTTAACATTTACTTTTTTGGTGGTGGGTTTAAGGTGTTGAGTGTTGAGTGTTAAGAGGTTGTGGATATTTTCCATCACTATTGGTAACTTATTTATAAGATCGCGCCACTCATCCTATACTCATCTCCATTCATACTTGGCTTAAAATACCTACTTTGTATGGTCGCCATTTCATCAAAAAGTATTAAAGTAAAAGTATTAAAAGTATTTTCTTACTAATCGTGATGTAAAATGTCCGCAATCAATATCAACGGTTCCAGAAATGTTTTGTCTTGTATGATTGAGGTGGTCTCTTTTATTAACTTTTGTAACCAATAGTATCGAGTTCCCTAAGTTCCGTTGGTTTTACAGACAGTTCTGCATGGAGCTGAACGGCCTGGCAGTAAGGCTACAAGGCGAGTGTCAACCGGACTCGTGCACTCAGATGACGGCCACGGAACAGTGGATCTTCCTGTGCGCCGCGCACAAGACTCCCAAAGAGTGTCCGGCCATAGACTACACCAGACACACACTCGACGGCGCAGCTTGTCTACTCAATAGCAACAAGTACTTCCCCAGCAGGTCCTCCAAAATAGAACTGTAGACGAACATTTCAATTATTCTTAGTATCGGTAGGCAGCAGGATTTTGTCAGCAGGCATAGAAATGCCAAGAGCAATATATGTCGATGAGACAGACACACTTTAAAACACAAGTTTTTGGTTACTAACTTAGTCCCTTCTTTGTTTCTTAATTATTTTTGGCAAGTTTTATATTGTAGTTATAATAAAAAGAAGCAAGATTTATAGGGGTGAGTCGGTGGCTCAGTTGGTAGCGTCACAGACTTCGGGCCGATGGGCAGCGATGTCGTGAGTTCGGATCCTGGTCACTGCCACAAACATTTTATCAGTACAGATCACCTTCACACTTTACCGGCTCACCCAGCTTGCTTTGGTGGATACGTTCCACGCACAGATCTGTAGTCTATGTGGACTTTCAGTACAAGAACTATTTTTAAAAGTAACTCATGTCAATATAGACCGATAAACCATTAACAATAATAATGATCAAATAAAATAAAAGAGGTGAATTCCAAAGTTTGAGGAGTTTGCAAATGGAGCGTAAAAAATGTAAATATAGTTGTTAGCGAGGGTTAAAATTTGTACTAACATAGTTTATCTAATATATTTTTGTAAAAATTTGAGTCTTTGGCAGTTGTAGGACTAAATTTTGTTTGATTGTCCCACTGAAAATAAAATTTATTTGCTAAATCCCACTAAATCATTTGCTTTTGTGGTAAAGTTCAATAGATTTTGTTTACTAATTTTATCTTTTGTTGTAACAGGGTGAGCATCAAAGAGTCGTCCGTAGCCAAGCTAGGATCCGTGTGTCGTCGGGTGTACAGAATCTTCTCCCATGCTTACTTTCATCATCGATCTATCTTTGATGAATTTGAGGTTGGTAGCTGTCATCAAATCATTACGAACCATTATTTTTTACAATTTACATACAGTATCTAGGCTTAAGTCTCAATCATTCACTCCGAGGTTAACTCTCCTTGTAGACAATAGATTAGGTCTACCGTAATGTCAAGTATTTTTGGGGGCATTTTTGTTGTCGTAAGATGCTAGGCACAAGTTCGGGATTGTTTTTCAGGTGGGATGTTACTTCAGGCTAGACGTAGGGGTTGCGGCTTCATCACTTAGATAAAATCCATTGGTGATTTTGCAGGATTTAATCCTTGGACCTCAGGTACTAAAGTACCACCCTCTGCCACTAGACCAGCTCGCTCCTTGTGTATTTTTTGGGGGCAATACGCCTCTGTATGTTTACACTAGTGGGTGCGGCAAGATAACTCCTTTAGGTGTTTGTGATTGTTCTTGGAAGATAAAAGATACATGCCAGACTTGACACCTGCAATTTACTGTATTTTTCACTTTGTTTCTAAATGCTAAATAGCCAAAAGCAAAAAGCGATTTTAAACTTTGCCAATGATGGCTTGGTTGGAAAATTCTGACTTGTGCTGTATGTTTATTTTAGATTAAAATCTACAAAATTTTAAATACCACATAAATAATAGGATCCAGTAATTAAAATTTGTTACATTTACCTCTATGATACAGACATGTTGGATAGCATCTATAAAGTAATTTATAGTTAAATGGCATCTAGGCTCAGAAACAATTTCGCTATTAATCATAATAGGTACCTTCAGATTATTTTAAGACAAGCATTATGTTGGGGCATCACTGTAGGCTTGCCCAAGAACTAAGTAATTCTAACTGTAAGTGTTTACGCCTACTTGTATATTTTGTTTTAAATTCAATTTTACCAACCAAAAACTCATAAATAGGTGAAGACATTTTCCCACTAATTTTTTACCGGTTGAGGGCACTAATAATTTTTTATCTTTTTTCCTCTTGTATTTATATTTTTGCTCTTTGTCGGTGTCTCACATTCTCCAGCTGTGGTTTTTTTTTCAGAACGAGACGTTTTTATGTCGAAGATTCACCCTGTTTGTAACCAAGTACAATTTGATGTCCAAAGACAACCTAATTGTTCCGATACTCGAAGGAGAGGGGGGAGTCAGCGGGGAATCTGAAGCCTAAACACTGATGACTCGTCAATGTGTTGTCTTTAGTTCTATTAGTGCCAACTTCATTATTTTTATCATAGATTATTTTGACTGTTTATATTTCGTTAAGTAATCAAAGACAGTTAAACACCACATGAATCTGGTCTGATGAGATTTGAGATGCCAAATTTGTATTGAATACAATAAGTAATGTGAATAGTTGTCACAGTTTCTATCGGACCATTTTTATGTTAACATTGGACTGACATGACTTCCAAGTTTCGGCCTGAACTTAGGAGGTATGTTTTGATCCTTGCTGCAACTAATCCAACGGACAGCTTTTTAATTGAGCTTCACAGGTAAAATTGTGGATATTGTAAATGGTAAATATTGACTGGTTTGTGTCAATAGGCACAGTATTATTGGTCAATAACCTTTAGTCTCTATGTATTTAAGTGTACCTTAAGTAGTTAGTTTATAAATACACCAGAAATTCATGACAGTAAAATAATGGTCTTAAAGAAACAAAATTCCTTCTTGGAACTAATTAGTACTTCATAACTCAATTAAACCTTCTACTTGTTATCTTTAAAATGAGACATATTTAAGAAGTTAAGTCGATACCAACATAAATTATTTTGGTTTATACTATGTATACAGGACTTTATTGCCTAGCAATGTAATGTTATTTTAGTTACTTGTTGATTCTCCATAAAACAGACATACCACTGTTAGGTATTGTTTTGACCTATCATAGTTTTCAGTATTCTTCATAAGTTTGTTTTGTTTGAGATCCAATTTTCCAAATTACATTGTACTATATCTTTTTTCAACCACTAACCTGTATTTTAGGGATTTGTTAGGATTCCATGTATCATAATTTTTGTTTGGCTAGAATAATTTCAACTGTGTGTATTTAAAACTGTCATTATATCTACTGTGTGAATCTCAAGAAATTATTTTTTTTAAATTTAGATTATTTATTTTTAGTACCTCTCACCATTTGTCATAGACCTTAAGACATGTTGATGCTTTAACTTTCAATTATAAAAAAAAAATACTCTCATGTTGATTTAAATATAAAAAATTGAAAGCAAAGCGCAATGTAGAACTATCGACATTTATTTAGACTGGTATTTCATAAATAAAGGAGCTGACAAATCCCATTTACTAACCAACATTGAATAGGCCTATATTATCTATTCCTATACTACACATACTAATATCTGCCTTAAATTGATTTTGGCGTATGTTATTTATTATTTCATTTTAGTATAGTTGATATTTGAATTCGTGATACATACATGTACATTTAATTCTATGAAATGTCTTTGTATATAGTAAATGTCTTTTTTATTTATTGGTACATTTCCTCAATATAGAAAGTCCTTGCTTTGTACATTAGAAAAATACATACGACATTTCAAAAGTAAACATTGTTTTATTTCCAAATTTGTTTGTGTAGTTATTGTATGAAATATGAAACTGACACACAAAGCAACACATCCAGTTGGTTGTTTACTATTTATCATTGCTTATTTGCAATGGCTGTCAGCTGTTAGTAGGCTTCGTTAAGTCTACTGTGCTTACATAGAATGTTTTAGTGAAAGATTTTAGACATTCCTGTCCATGTTTTAAGTAGTACATGTCATCATTTGGAAGTAATCGTGTACATTCATGTCAGTCTTGGTTCTTCATATTAAAACTATTAAATCATAACTTTTATTGATCTGGAAATTAGTGACCCCAATTGGACTGGATGAATAGTTACCTACTTGCCCGAGATATGGTGTTTAAAGTTATTTACAAATATGTAACCTCATTGTTACTAATATTAGGTTTTATTAAACAAATTACAAGTATAAAAACATTAAGGAAAAAAATTCAGCTAATAACAAATTCCGGCTCGTGTGTGGTCTGGTTGGGAGCGAGCCAACTGAGTAAAGAAGCGGAGTCAAATCCCAACATGTCCCGTAGTAGCCGATTGTGAATTTGCTGCGTAGTCTGCAGTTTGTGGGATTCTGCCACTAGGAGCAGCACTAGCGTGCAGGTGACCAGTAACAGCACTGTTAAAGAGTGGGAGTCTATGAAACTTGCCACTCTGAGCAACGGCGATTGCTTCTGAAACGGAACGTTCATGTAATCATATATTTGAAAGAAGGTTAGCGTCTCTGACTTTAGAGCAGGAGGGACTCCCGGCACATCCACAAAACTTTAATAGGTTTGGACCACTTTCCCTATAAGTGTTAGAATAGAATTGATTAAAAATGCCACTGTCGTGGACACAAGAAAAACATCCTCATCTTCCCTGCACTGCTTTTGCTGGTTGCATCGGATTTAAAATGTTTTGTAAGATTTTATACCGGTGCACCTGAGGTGTATGAGGGATTGAAGTGTGAATCTATCTGACCAGATGATCTGGTGAAGGATTGCTGTTTGGTAATAAGGTAATAATTTGCAGCGAGGCCTCATGTTAGTGACATCCTGTATAAATTAATTTAAATAAAACAAAAATGGTGGTATATAAGGTGTGGCTATCAAGTAACGAGACTTGGTTTTCTAAGAGATAAACTGCATTAAGGCTGCGCTCTACCCTTTTGGCGCCCGCAAATGCAAGGGGTTTAGTTCTTACTCATAGTTGCCCCAATTGTGAACCGATTTAAAAGATCTTGGTGTTATATGTTTCTTTAAATATTATTGTAGTTTTGCGGTTTTTTTAAATTTTGATAATTAAAAAAATGTTATTAAAAAAAGGTTGGTAAAGATGTTAAAATATGCGTTTTCTTTATCATAAATTTTAACGCATACAAATCATTTTCAGAGAAAAAAAAACAAACGGGGAAAGTGAAATGTCAGAATCAGAATCCATTTATTGTCATTTGTCAACATTACATTGCTATAGACAACGTCAAAGAACATAAGAAATACAGTAATATGCAATATAAAAAGAAATAGTACGATGTACTTGTCAGACTAACAGATATAACAGAGTAAAACTTTACAAAGAAATAATAAACATTCAGCAATAAATTGATATAAACTACGAAAATTAACAATAAATCAACTACAACTACTCACCAAAGCATCACTAAATTTAAAGCTCATAACAGATCAAATTAAAATTTATATGAACAAAATTCATCAAGAGAATAAAAAGCTTTACTTATAAACCAGCTTGACAGTTTCGATTTAAATTGTTGAATTTCGAGGTTTCTAAACTCTTGTGGCAATTTATTAAAACACTTAATTTGTAGATATTTGTGGCTGACTATTGTTTTCCGCAATCTAGAATAGGGTGGGACAATATCTTGTGCTCTTCTGGTGTTATAATCATGGACCTTGTCAAAACATATAAAGTCACTCTGGTTTTCCTTTACATGTACATAAAAAAACAAGCCTAAACAGGTCCGTGACGTAGGAAGTGGTGAAGGAAGTTGTGAAGGTGAGTAGTCCGGATTGTGGGCACTGTTTTTGAAGATTAGATTAAGGTATCTGCAAATCTTAAAATGATATGGGGAGGGAGGTAAACAGGGCCGCGACGTAGGAAGTGGTGAAGGAAGTAGTCAAGGCGAGTAGTCCGGAGTGTGGGAACTGTTTATGACAATTAGATTAAGGTATCTGCAATCTTAAAATTATATGGGAAGGGAGGGAAACAAGTTCGCGACGTAGGAAGTGGTGAAGGAAGTAGTCCAGGCGAGTAGTCCGGAGTGTGGGAACTGTTTATGACGATTAGATTAAGGTTTCTGTAATCCTAAAATGCTATGGAAAGGGAGGGAAAAAGGTCCGCGACGTAGGAAGTGGTGAAGGAAGTAGTAAAGGCGAGCAGTCTGGAGTTCGGGAACTGTTTATGACGATTGGATTAAGGTATCTGCAATCCGAAAATGCTATGGAAAGGGAGGGAAACAGGTCTGCGTAGGAAGTGGTGAAGGAAGTTAGTAGTAAAGGCGAGCAGTCCGGAGTGCGGGAACAGTTTATGACGATTGGATTAAGGTATCTGCAATCTTCAAATGCTATGGGAAGGGAAGGAAACAGGCCCACGACGTAGGAAGTGGTGAACGAAGTAGTAAAGGCGAGCAGTGTGGAGTTTGGGAATGGATTAATGTATATGATGCAATACTAAGACTGCTTTCATATTAAACTAATGATTTTACCCGAGCAAAGCTCGGTCCCCTGGTACTAATTATTAACCAAGCAATGTGTCAATAGGAAACTTCTTGTGAAGCTCGGTAAGTCTGCAACAGAGACTTACTTATTCTCTCTTACAACAGGTTAAGGGGGATTATCTCAGTGATATCAAAGTTTCATAGAAGCGAGAGAAGACATCAAAGATAATTTGCCTAGGACCTTCAACGTCAAAAACTGATTAAAACACTGGAAAATAGGCCATTTCATCCGTCAAGATCGGTGTTTTGAGTATCTCTGTGCGGTTGTTTGGACTGTGTGGGAATTGACAAAATCAGTTAACAAACTTTACATGAATATTTCAACATGAAAAACCATGTTCTCAAATGGTGCTTAAAATCAATTAAAACACGCTTGAACAAAAGCATTCGCTGATAGAAATTTATTCTGACACCTTGGAGAACATAAAGAAAATCCTTAACTCCTTTTAAGTCTTTTTAGGGTGTCTTAAACTGAAGGGGTCAGGGGATAGTCACAATAACCTAATTTTACACCAGAGACCTTTTAGAGTTTTTATACTCACAGGAAAAAAACTTTTATATAATAAGCAATTATTTATTTTTTAAATAATTTTAGCTTGGTTCTTTATTTATTTACAGACTTTTTAGTATTATCTGTTTAATTATTGGTTTATTTTTTACACTCTTAACATTTTAAAATTAAACCAGTCTCATTATCTTATGGCCACACCTCCTGGATTTCTAACCACCATTCAATGGTTCCAACATCCAAACCAGTATGAAGGTTCTAAACATTTTTAAATTGTAGATTTTATCACAGGTAAGTAGGCCCACATAGGGTGGTATACACTAAGATATTATTGTGTAGAAGAATTTTTTGGAAAATACTTAAAATTTAAATATTTATGAAGAGCGTATGAGATAAATTTCAAAACACCTTTTTAAGAGTAAAAAGGTTTCTCACCCAAATATAACTTTTTTGACAAACAATATACCTTTGTCAGGTGTCTATGTTTAAAGCTCAACACTGCCTGAACAACTCTGTTCAGCAAAAAAAAAAATCTATTTTGTGCGAAGAATGTGTGAATGCAATTTTATAGGACTGAAAAAATAACTCAATATTTTATATCATACATCATAATGACAAATATTTTTTTAATTATTTGTGTTTTTTATGTTAAATCACAATTTAAACCAACAAAGTTATTCTATGCCATTTTACACTCATCCTTCATTCATATTTTGGTTAAAATAAGCACATAGGTGACGTCGCCATCTCAAATGAATATGAGTATTAAGTATTCATACCTACTTACAGTGCATGTTTGTCAAATGATTTTTAAAGAAGTTTTAGATTCAATAAGTATACAAACCTTATTTACACAAATGTTTTGATGACTAAAAAAATCTGAATGACACAAAATTACTTCTATTGGTTGAAAATCTAAGAGGCACATTTAAATGCATTACTTAACTTCTCTACAGTGTATGACTTACATTGACAGTTGACATTTAGCGGCTTCTCCAAGCTTGTCTCACTCCCTCAGTGGTTGTCTGATTAATGTTAACTAGGCTACTTAAACCACTCATCACTGATGTGGGTGGCTTTCCAACAATTGATCATAAAATCTTAACCGTGCGATGTTTTAAATATACCTAAAGGCTAACAATTATGTTCTACAGAACTTAGTTTGAAATTTAGTCATGTTTAGGAGGAATAACCTGTCACAATGAAAAATAGTGGATATTTATAAAAAAAATATTTTTAATAAAAAATGATCAGATACTTAATGTAAAGATGTTGATAATATCATAGAAAGATAGATGTTTAAGAAAGTTTAGTGTTAGTTGTTCATCCCGTATAAAATATTTTAGTTTTCTAGTAAAAACATTTAAAATATTTTATTTTACAACTTGGTGATGATAAATAACCATATTTTGATGTAAAAACTTTTTATTACTACTTTTGTTACATTTTAAAATGTGAAACTACGTTTTTCTTTCCCATTTGTATCTTTCAACTTGTTTTGTATAAAAGAATAATTTGTTGTTAAGTGGTTATATTATATGAGCACTATATAAGCTAGTTTCTGGTAAAAAAAAATTGAGAAGTAATTAAAAACAAAATGGAAACACTAAATATGATAAATAAAATGAAGGACCGAGTTCAAATTAAAGCAGCCATACTAAATGCATTACTTCTTAACTCAGTTGACAGATCATTGTGTCAGCGCATTAAGCAAGTTATTCTAAGTGTATAGAGTATGACTCAGTGAATGACAATACCAATTGAGCTGGATCTAATTTAGGCTGTTCTGTTTGTTTAGAACTTAAGTCAGCAAACAAACTTACAACTGTAAAAATTACCATTGCATTTTACTGTTTAATTGAAATTCGTTTTGCTTCAGACAATATAAATGAAACTTGCATAAATTCTATGAAACGGCTAAACCCTCAATTGACTGAATCAAGGAAAAGGTCGGTGAAATAATTCAATATACTGGTTGTGATTATTTCAAAGTATCACATATCAGAATATCCAGGTAACTTAAGAGATCAACTAAACAATGTGAAAACTGTGTTTCTACTAATTATGGTGGAAAGTGTATATACACAATAATCTGTCTAGTAACATCTACTTGCCTTGCCATCACCAAAAACAAACTTTATACAAAAAACATACAGGCTATTTTCTAGCATGGTTGGGTGAGTTACATTTATTAAGAGAATCCGTTTACTCCTTAATATTTTACAGAATTTGATATAAGATAAGTGATTCTGTTTGATCAAATGAGGCTTGCGTTTAATTGTACCAGCGATATCAAACAATTGTCAATTCTTTTACATACTAGTTTACAGACACTGCAAAATTTCAAAACTAGATTAAGAATTTGATAATAATTAACATTAATGAAAATTTAATCATGGTTTGTATAAGTTTTCAGTGCCAATCAGACTACAAAAGATAATTAGATAATAATTAAACAGTAGATTCATAAAGTGAAAAATCATCTATACCGTTTGAAATTCAACATTATTTCACATTTCCAATGAATGTAGTAGACTAATACACAATAGTGCATTCAATATTAACTCACCACTTGTTGGTTCCTCATAATCAACTATAGATGCCACATGTTAACCTTTCAAAGAACAGCTGCTGACTGACTGGTACAGCTGATTGATTGTTGAACTGGTTAACCAGCTGATAAGCAAACAATAAGCATTTTGTTCATAAAACTTTGATAATTATACTATGATCAATTGACTAAGCGAAAATTGCTTTTTTTTAGTCGTCATTATAGTTAAATAAATGTAGTATGTGTCATTAGAACAGGGTTTTATGGGGTAAAAAATGTTATTTCTTGTTTTTTACCATCAAAACATAAAATTTCCCAATTTCTCTCTAGACTATGTTAAAGAGCTTAAAAAAAAAACAAATAATTTAGTGTATTCAAGTGTTTTTGTAAGGTTATTGGTTACAGAGAAAATTCAAAAAATGTAATTTTAAAATCCTAATGTTATTATTATGGAGGACTAAACTGTTGTAGTACCCTATGCTTGTTTATGGATATATATTGATCAAATTTGGCAAATCTATTAATTTAAACAAAGATATAATTAATGTTTTACTAAAAAACACTTTATTACCCTAACTGTAGCAGCAAACCCGGGTAATTGATACCTATAATGTTGTTTAAATAGATTTAATTTAAACTTTCATTGTTTATTAAAACAGTTCTTGTTTTGTCCATCAGATGCACAGTTTAGGCGGAATTCAATGTTTTATAACAGATGCTAGACCATAAATTACAACGTCATGTTAGCCGATAAGTTAGTATAAGCAAACTGGTTACACTACTGGATCAAGTAGCCAGTCATATTTCTCTACATCTCATGTATTGTTACATTGTGGTTTTTTGTGAGAAATAAACTTCATTATTCATTATTCAAATCAATTCAGGCAAATGGAAATTCGCTTAGTCTGCAGGTTTGTTGCAGCGGGGGTATTTTAAACTTCATGTTGATGGCCCCTGCATTACTATAAGTGACAGGTGTTTACTAAATTAAATGCCAAGATCGTCCAAGCCATTATGTAGGGCAAACAGGCTGAGGGTTCGTTACTAGTTACAACGAACACAGGCCCAACCCACGTTCAATCAAGCAAAATTCAGTTTTTGCTCAATATTTAATTGACCTAAACCATAATATGAGCGAGATTGGTGATGGTGTAGAGGTGCCACATGTATGTAGAAAAGGTACTGTATTAAGTTAAACACGCAAGAGGAATTTGAAATCTACAAATTATACCACGACCGTGGACACATCCTCAATGAAAAACTGCATTTCCATTCACACTCTTCAATGTTTTATTAAACCAAAGTAACCGACCACCTGACCTTTGTCCAACTAATAACGTCGACAACAAAGTATGTGTATGACACTGTAGTCCACTAAAAAAATAACAGTCATGCAAAAAATTGACAGTCAATAGGTACTGTGCAGTTATCTGGTGTTTCAACTTTCTCAAGAGGAAGATTACTCTGCTTAATCTCACACAGATGGAATCAATATGAAGGCCGAACTGTAGTTTTGAGTCCAGGACGAAGCCAAGAAGATTGACAGGGGGGTCAAAAGACGGAGATGATCTGCTTAGGGCGAGCAGGAGCCTTTGTGTTTTGTCTTTGTTGAACTTCAAGCTATTGGTGAGGAAACAGTCCTTAGCCTATTGGAAAAGATGCTCTGAACAGGCGACCGCCACAGTAGGATCTTGCCCCCTGCCTAGGAGGGTTGTATCATCCGCAAATAGTAACGTATCTCTCTCCCAGCCAAGGTCGTTCATTAGAAAAAGGAAGAGTGTGGGACCAACTAGCCCTGCGGGACTCTAAACTTCACATCTACTGGGGAGGATAGTACATCCTGCACACCCACCATCTGATCCTTGTTATGGTTAATAACATGTTAATGTTCCAGACAGAATGCTCAGCAGTGAACAAGTGAGCATCTGCAAAATAATGCTCAGACTGTGATATAGGCTAGTTTTGCATGTATGTTACTAAAGACCCACTGTGATCATGTTCATGACTCTTTTAACTTTTTTTCAATTTATTGCTATCACAATGTCTATTACACAACTGTGTCTAATGACAATTAAAAGTTCTTATTCATGAAACCACGTGTATACGTTAAACAGTTGCTGGGAATAGTGAATCAATAAACACATTTGTGTTTAAAATTTATTTACAAAATACACTAGAAAAGAACAAATAGAAATAAACCATTTGACTGGTGAGTAAACTATAATCTTGCAGACACACATTTCTTATAAATAACAACTAGCCCTACAAAAGAATTTAAAAAATGTACAATTGTGTAGAGTGACTACACAAAACAGCCAGGGGCATTTAAGTTTGATCCTTCATGTATATTCTTAATTCAATTTTCTTAACTAAAATTACCCACATGATACTTTTTGGTTTAAAACAATAAACAAAGAAATGTATCTAAATAAACAAGAGCCCCGCTATTCCAAACTATTCGCGTCCAGACCCTGTTTGGATGACCAAAAAGTACAGATCAGCCGAAAATGTGCAGTAAATTTTAGTTAAAAAAACACATAGGCCTAGCCTTGATTTTTTTTAATACAAAGTAAACTTTTCCCCCAACATGGATCGGATTAGCCAGACGTTAGACAAATAGTTCGGTAATAGAAAAAAATCAATTTGTTTGCTTTTACACAGGTAGATGTGCTGTGAGAAAAAGGGCTAAAGTGAAAAAAGATTGGATTAAAAATATTTCACTATGAAATGTTTATGGTTCGGTTTCAGCTCTTTAAAATGCATAAGGTATAAAAGGACGATTGACGGAAAGAAATTGCTTAGTGTCGCAGATTCAAAAGAGGGCTATCTATTGTTCTGTGACCTTAATTTCCAGCGGTTCTGATTTCACCCCAACACTACTTACTTCCGCCATTCATCTCTAACAAAATTTATCAAAATGAAAACATCTGATTCTTAAAAATCAATTTGGAAATGTACAACGTTTTTGGAAAATAATCTATTTGTTGGAAAATACTACAAAACTCCAAAGTCATCTTAAATACAGTAGTACACTTAATAAGATTTATCATCAGTTACCCTCTGGGACAAAAACAATATATAATTGAAGGCTTGTCATCGTCCGTACAACACACAACGTCCTCAACACTGGAATGCTCAACACATGCTGTCGTGCGTCGTGTCCGTCTCGCAATCTCTACCTCCTGTCTGTTCCTGGTATACCTCGATGACATCATCATTCTCCATCTCCAGCTAAAACAAATAGGCCTAAACATTAACCAATGGTCCTACTTGTAAAATATAACTCAATAAAGTTTCAACTCAGACCTCTCACTGAGCCAGAAAACGTTGTGTTTGAATCGGCTAGTGTCCACCCCAGAATATAGGAGTGCAGCTGTCACTGGCCGGCTTGGCTGGGCGTGGGATTGGTAGAAGACAGCACTCACGTTACTACACGGTTACTATCAGTTGGTCATATATACAAGTGAAACTTTGAAAAATCACAGCAGTATTGGTGCTTGTGGATTCTGGTGACACTAACGCATTAAAATACAGTAGAACCCCGGTTAACCGAAATAAAGGGGGGGGGGGAGCGGTTTCGGATAACCAATTTTTCAGTTAACCCGCCATATGCTAAAAATAGCTTATGAATTACCTCGACATGTAGGACAAATGTTTGAAACAATGTCTATATATAATAAAGTGTTTTATTTCAGTTACAAAAATGTTAAGATGGGGTTTTAAAACACTTTAAACTAAACAGCTAGGGTTACATTCTTATATTTTAGCCCTGTTTTATTTTATGGAACCGTTTCGGTTAACCCAATTCAAATTCGGTTAACGTTTTGGTTAAAATTCGTTTTTTTAACCAGGGTTTTACTGTTGAACTTTTTATTGGCTCAGTTAGTTTTGGGTTAGGTCGTTAATTCTGTGACAATATGCTGTTGAGAAAGACGTTCTTTTTCACTGCAATTTGATAAAACCACTGTCTACAATATAACCACTTATCACTTACAGTTTACGGTACCGGTAATTATTTTTTACGATCATTTCGACATCTGTGACACAAGCTGTGATAGTTTGATGCAATCGTGATTCTCGATAAATAATATCAGCCTATATTAAATTTCAACGATTCAACAATTCAAATTTTCCAGTTCCTTACAATCCATGGATGTTTTTCCTGGCCATTAAAATTCACGCACTTAATTCCTGGTTTCCAGGATAGCTCGACACTGGTTGATGTGTAACCCAGAACAAGAGCCAATGTTTTTAAGCTTTTTTGTGAGGATAGCAGTCTGTACATGAATGACCAGGCTATCTGTACAACCCCTTACACAGTGGCCTACTGGAGGTTACTTTCCAAAAGGTTCTCAAACTCACACACACAATGTTAATGTTATTATTTTTACCTGCTTTGGTGTTTCGTCATCATTAATTCTTCTGCCATCAAAGAGGAATCTCAAAGATGTCACTGGAACACCCTAGATTAGAAAAATATCACATGTCATACAAAAGAACATACAAAAGGTTAAAGGTACGGTATTATTCTTCTCAAGGTAAACAAAGAATAATTTTATGAAATCTCAGTTACAAAGATTTTAGAAGGTCAAGTCTTTAGTTTATGCTGCTTTAATATAAAAAGTTTGACTTAGGTTACGGCAAGTCAATGCTCACAACTAACAATTATTTAAATGAAATATTACATGAAAACATCACATTCTTGGGTAGTTTTGACACAAATGTTGCAGAATTTTAACCATAGATTTCTTAAACATACCTTTACCCACAGTTCATTTCACTTGTCATCTGTCCTACCTAGGCCTACCTGGTTTATTTAAACGTTTTATGTTTGAACGGCGATATCTTCAGTAATATTCATCTGCAGTGAATAAATAATGGTATAGGCCTATTTGGATTCAGGAGGTAAAAAATTATAAAGATATCAAAACTAAAAAGTCTTTTGGATGCACCTATAGTAAATAATCACTGTAAACTGAAGTAAGAATTTAAGAACAGCAACAAAGGAAATATTAACGTATAGGCCTACAGTAGACTCCCGATTATCCACAACCCCAAAAATATGTTATGCGCAAGTTAAATGTACCTTATACAGCGACGACCAAGAGGTTTAGTGTGGAGAGGTCCATCTTGTGGGCAACTAAAGAGTTGGTGTTGTTTACTTCACCACAGATGAGTCACCAATGAGTTGATAAGTTATATTTGGTGTGTTTAGTTTTTTATGTTATTACTAGGCCTTTAGACAGGCTCTCCAATGTTATTTGTGTGGTAAGTAGACACATGTTAAACAAAGTTATTACTACCTAAACCCTAAGCCCATATTAAAGCTTAACTAAGCATTTAAAGTCAATATCATTTCCTAGGCATTTAAGGTTAGGTTTGTAGGTACTATTTACACAATTTCTACTATCGACGGTCACTCAGCCACTCATAATCGTAGATAATCGGGAGTATACTGTATTTGACTGAGTATCAATGAAACGATACAAGTACACGTAAAAACATAAATTAAGTCATAAGCCTCATTCTTATTTAATTAATTAGGCATATGTTATCCTGCTAAATATCTTATGTTAGATAATTTTTTTCATATTTTTGGCATTTTATATTTTGTTTTACTACCTACCTATATTGTTATGTTAATTAACATTTAATTTAATAAAAGAATGTCCTTATTGTTTAGACAGCTTGACTTACAACACATCACAGTTTGCTGTCAATATCCTGTTAACCAAAATAGATTGTTATGAAATAAAATAATTAAGATCATTTTAAAACATGAGACAACTGCAAGAATCTGCAGATTTCTGAATCACTTAAGTTTAATCAAGCAGTGCATTTCTATAGGATTTTTATTTTATTTTGTAACGTTATTCTACAACTTTAACCATATGGCAGTTAAAAAATGAGTTATTGACTGTCACTTACCACTCTTTCGCTGTAAGATTTCTTGAGTTTTCCCATCTGCGTTGTCATTTTGACCCGAAAGTGGATTTCATTTGAGTCCTGGAACGGCACAATATTAATTTTAGAACAGAGGTAAAAAAAATATGTTTAAATTACTTTGAATTAACTTAAAACCTTGAAGGCTGTTAACCCTTAAAAACTTGTTTCAGCAGACTCTACAAATTCATAATTTATCAGGGTCTTGGAACAAAAATGCTACCATCTCTCACAGAGACTGTAACCGTAGGCTAACCATGTGTCATGATGCTATGGAGGCGTCAGCCAGTATGGGCAAATATATTTAAGAAAGTTGCTGTCATCTCTCCAGAACGGCATTTAAAGTAGTGGTTGGCGTTATATATAATGTAATAGGGTAAATAACACTATTACTGAAGATTCACCTATTACTTTGGTAACAGACTACTGAGAATACCCTATTATTTTTGTAATGTTTTCTGAACTGTTAGAACAAGCTAGGGAAATTGCGCTGACCGTGTCGTCCTATTAATTAATTGTAAACGCTTGGTTATTATATCATCAATCATATCTGAGAATCATATTATATGATTCATATAGGCCTATTTTTGTAATCTCGTAGTACCAACGTAGAAGTAAAATAACGCTGACCATATAATCCTATTAATAAACGCGAAGTACAAACAAGTGAAATAAGTTAACGGGGAAATAAGAGGTGACAAAAATAATAGAGTTATTTCACCTATTAGGGTACCAAAAAACTAACTTAAGTAAAGTTCCTAACTATTACTGAAAAGTAACGATATTTCCCATCTCTAATTTGAAGTAGGGTTGAATGTAAGTTAATGTAAAAGCATGATCATTTAACTGAGGTGTGCCATCCTTAAATTTTTGATCAAGCCAAAAATCTGAAGTAGCCTAATAACTTATTGAGATCATCTACTGCTGTCGTAGGGACATCATCATCATCTTCTGCGAACGAAGACGAAATTCTGATCATCCGTCGCAGCTGCTTAGGCATCATTATAGTCTCCCGCGGCCGTGTAGATATCATCATATGTAGTCATCTGCGATTGTGGAAACGACACTGTTGTCATGCGTGATCACGGTATATTGTCATTGAAAATTCCAGGTAGAAATACAAAATTCATGCCTTAACTTCGTTAGTTCCTGGTTTTTCCAGGTTAAAAAAATCACGCATAATTACAGTTTATTCCAGTCAATGGGTACCCTGATAATTCCTACTATTAAGTTATTCTAAAGTAACTTAGCCTATAATAAGTTACCGTGACTTAAATTAAGTTGGGCTAAGTTTATGCAACTCCATGATATTTACAAGAATGTATGTCAAACCAAATACCGTCAGCAATCAGCATTAAGTTATCAGTTGTACTGTAGTATAGGTATTGTTAGTTCGAGTCCTCCTCTACTATCGATAGACATATGATTATCATACTCATGACTAGGCCTATCATAAGTTATTATTATGGCCATTCTTTTACCAGACAATAACTTAGATTTGGGTAAAAATATGCACCTAAGTTAGTTCAATCTCAATTGATGATAGTAAAAATAAGTTAATAATAATAACAAGTTAATAATAGGCCTAAGATTGATTAACTTAATATGGGAAAATCAATCAAAGGTTGTTATTAACTAATTTACCTAACTTAATTGGAGTTATAGGCTTAGGCTAGGCCTAACTCTTTAACTTAGGCCTAAGTATAGAATAGCCCTATCAAAGTTCTGCCAAGTTAAGTTACTTTTCTCTTAAATATAAATAAATATTTAAAGCATCAATAAAATCTCCAGGTTTATGGGCAAAACCCTCCTAAAAGAAGCCTAGACCATGTCAGACTTAAGGTTAGGTTATGCTAGGCTAGGCCTACTACCAGTAACATTCAAACGCCATTAATTAGTTTTTAAAGCTTGATAAGTACTTTAAACTTACGTTTCCAACGACTTTTAGTTTGATGTATTCCGAATTATCGTCCTTCTGTCCCTGAAAAAAATACCAAAGCAAATCAAACACGAGTCACACAAGTAGTTAGGCCTAATGCCTTAGTTTGACAATAATTCACAAAATTCACTAACAAATCAATTATTTAGTTGATATGCTTGCATTACCTGTGTGTCAGACATGTTGTGTTTAGAATTAAATAATCCAACACTCAATTATAAACTGTTATAATTAAAATTAAGTTTTCCTAATGTGATATAATGGCGCCAAGAACTAAACAGAGCAATGAAATGTTGTGACCATCAAACCATCAAAAGAGTGTGTTCAGAACAAGCTTGAGGCATACCCCCTAAACCCTGAAAGATGATTCGTCTGAGTGCTTTGTGTTGACCAATCACAGCCAAGTATTATGCGAAACCCTTGACACTGAATGCACACCCATACCCTCAATACAATAAAGGGGTATGATAAAGATTTTCATTTGAAGAATTCAAAACCAATTATATTTTATAAATAAAGCTATAAGTTTAAATCTCTCGTCAACATAGTTGTAATAGATCGATATTTAAATTGGACTATAGATTGTTCACGATTGCCGGCATGGGAAAAATGATTTTTGAGTCCAATTCATCAAGGGTATACCATAGAGTAAGGTATGATGTTGATGTTAAGTTTTGATACTACAATCATAGACTAACCGGTGTATTTAATCTATGCCACCATGTACCCAGGTATTTCGTAAAATTGGATTAATTAGTGCTTCAAAAGTGTTTAAAGGCTTGAGAGTATACTCAAAATCCAATCTAGCAAAATATCATAACTTTTGGTATCCAAAAAATAAGCTTAACTTAATTATAGCTTTGTACTCTTTTCTTCAAATGTATTCAGAAAAGAACTGTATAGTAAATACTATAGACTATAGAGATAGAAAATAAAAGTATTTAACATTTTTTAACCTAACATAGCACAAACAATTGGACAGATCTTTTATATTCAGCACCTTTTTATACAACACAAAATATTAATAGTTTTACATAGTTTTATTGAAATATGTAAAACATCGCCCTAATCACTGAACTAATAGTGTGGATGCAACTAAAAAATAACATATGTCAAAACTGCTGAATTCCAATCCAATTTATGTAAGCCGGCTGATTTAAACCATGATCCAAGATGTTCAGGAATTATCAAACAACATATTAGATCAAACCACCTGCCTTATACAAAAATGCTGCAATCGTTGAAGGAAATAGATCTAGTATATTTCATAACAAGGGTAGAAATAGAAAGTTAGTCATTTGAGACCAAAGTGTTCGCTGAATCTCGCTTTCAGTTATGTTTCACTTTTCGCTACCACTTTTCAGAAATAGCTATGATTTGTGTGAGCGCCCGAGTGTGACCATACATTACATTTCGCGAGTGGTAATGACTGATGTTTCTACTCGACCTCGAAATACACACAAGATTTTCTCTACCATTTTACAGTAACTTAAAATAACACAAAGATTAACTTTTTAGATGTATATAAAATGTCATTTAGGTTATTTTTGCTTTTTTTAAGGGTTTATTAATTGCTTATTGTTGATAGCTAACGTACCGGATCTCTGTGGTTGGTGTGACGACAACACTGTAAAACCGGCAGAATCGGCTTGATTGAAAGCACCAATGTTTATTATTTATTTTTAATTTTAGTTGTAAGATATTAATTGACCTGGCCAATGCAAATTTTGTTTTTGTTATTTTGGTCCAATAAATGAGTTACGAGTTATTAAACTTACTGTAGGCGAGAGTTAAGAAGTCCTCTGAGCCAGGGCAATATGCAGCAATGTTGGAATGTTGCCGCGCGGTATTTGCAGGTGCACCACCCTCTCTCAGCAACGGCAATGCATTGTGTTTTTCTTTTTACCTTACGGTATGAAGGTTTTAGGTAAAAAGCATTTATTATATTATTAAAATAATCGAACACACAATAATATTGGTGTGTAATTACTATAACTGTGCACTTTGGCTATCCAATATACAAAACGTAAATTTTACATGGACATTATTATGTATTGTTCTATTAAATTAATATTCAAAGTTTTCGTACATGTATTGCACTTGCACTTCTACAATATTAATAAAGTCGCGTACGTAACTAAAAATAAATTAAAATCACAGTTGTCTGTGGAAGTGAGCCCTGACTGCCGCGTGGAACATGAGCATGCGTTCAGCCGTCGAGTAGCAAGTGCCAGCATTTTTAGAATAGGCCAGGGCTCAGCAGGGGACTTCTTAACTCTCGCCTACAGTCATCGAAGTATATAACACAACTTGTTGTGTGAAGTATATAAGTTGTGTTATATACGTCGATGCCTACAGTGAGCCGCTGCCGCTCTAGAGTGGCAATCCAAATCCACTACTTTGTGTATAGTGTGCGTACGCTGGTGCGTACACGTGTATTGTGATCATTTCCATGCACTACACAGTGGTAGCAGGTAGGGAATAATTTAGTTTTGTGCAACTAGTGTGCGAAGTGGCACTTATTACCTACTTTGCAGCACATTTACAATAAACAGCTGATTTTATTCATCATATGTCTTTATGTAATCTAAATCTTTGTTATTTGTTTTTCTCTATTATTGTTTCAAGTAACTTTGGCAGATGAATGACCTATGTATAATTATTGACTTTAATATAGGAATATTAGAGGTAGAAAACAAGTTTTTTTTCAAAAAATGACTTAGAGGAAAGTTATGTAATTTTTTACTAGAATAGGGTACCATCCTGTGATCAAAATTGGTAGGTAGTTTACATTAAAAAAGTAAACTTCCGGTGTGATTTTGGATTTGAAACTATCACCATTTGGTTTAAGTTAGCCCAATTTATTTAGTTCTGTATCATTTGTTGTTTGTAAGAAAAGGTTTCCCTTGTTTAGGGTGTACGGGTGGTTTTGGATACCCGGTATATGCTGGTACTGTATATACGCAAACTGAAACTAGACCAATCGAAAACTATCAGAAATATATACCCAAAGCATTTGCAATTCATCTGAAGATTTGCGTCGTCGTAGTTCATTCACTGATGCGACCTTGCACTTCATTAATAATAAATCTATAGCAATGAAGATAAAAATAATCAATATTACATGCTAATCATCTTCTATTTGTCAGGAATGACGTATCCGACACCATTTGATTAATGTTTCCGTTGTCGGTGATAAGAGAAACATGAAACTAGCCCTTTCTTTTACCACAGCTCACCCAAACGGTCACCATGCCGATGACAATAAGATCCGCCGGGTTCGTCATCTTCCGGAGGTTCAGCGACAAAGAGGACGCGGATTTGCCAGAGTATCTGCTACTGCAGGCCTCGTATGGCGAATTCCACTGGTCACCACCCAAAGGGGAGGTGGAGTACTTCGAGCCCGACTACTTGGCAGCTGTACGGGAGACGAGGGAAGAAACGGGATTGACATCAGAAAATCTCAAGATGGGATTCGATATCAGCCAAACCATAGACTACGTCAATCGTAAAGGAAGAAAGAAAAAGGCGATTTACTATCTGGCCGAGCTGCTGAACGATGTCCCGATAGTACTCTCGGACGAACACCAGATCTACAAATGGTTTCCCGCGGAAGAGGCGAGGTCCATATGCTTGTATCAAGACTTGTCCAAAGTGATTGATAACTTTGAAACCTTCATCAAAAAGGGTGAATGGGACTATATATACGGGGATGTGAACCATGGTGCGAAACCGGATGTTGATTACGAAAAGTACAACTTTGATTGTCCAACGTGCGGACCCCAACCGGAGGCTCCAACTACCGAAATAACGGGTGCTTGAGGCCCTCAGATGAAATAAAGAGCTTTGGGCTGAACACTTTATCAAAGTGATGGAGTAATCTTCTCCAACCTTTAAAGTGTAAGTAATACTGTAAAGCAATTTTGAACCTGGTAGTTGCTGGCTAACTAATCTCCTCATAATAATACATTAGGTAATTGTATGTAAAGTTTCTCATGAGTGACTACTCAACCATTAATGATGGTGTAGTGTTCATTTTATATGACACTTGCTATAGGTACCTTATTTAATAATGTTTGGAGGAAAATCAGTATTAGAACACTGTGTTTAGACTGTAATTTTAAATTTTAGGCTGTAAAAAGTAATTTACAAAATATTTCAGATTCAGTGATTAAAGTCTATGTGGGCTATCCTGTGTATTTCTTCCTCATATGAATATGAGTGTTACCCTTCATTTTATTATTGCTAATTAGACAATTGAATCTTTCCTAATCAGTTAGTTAAAGTCTTAATAAACCATACAAACGCACCTCTTCAACTTCAATTATCAATTCATTGAGATGGGTAAGCCGGCATGATTAAATAAGTGCCGGCCAATTTTGGAAAAGATAACCACCCAGACTGAGAGGAATTTCCTTCAACTTTAAAATGTGATTTTTTGAATTTATGATAATTTTTATGAATCTTTTATTAAACTACAGTACACAAATTAACTAAAATTAGCCTTTTACTCTTTTACTGGATAGTTTTGTAAACGTACAGACCTGGACAAAATTTCCAAAACTCCTGCGTGTAAGGCCAATAATTATTACTGTTTGCGGAGTTTTTCCGAATTCAAACCACTCCGCCTAAAATGTTATAATGTTTTATGAGGTATAGACCTGTTTTGTGTTAGCTTATCTGATCAAACCATTAAAACAGCTTTATCCTTTTGAGCTATGTTTACGTCAAAGTTTACATAAAATGTTTAAAACAAAAGTTCTCAAGAAATTAAATAACGCTAGTTTTTGTTCAAACATCTCATTTTTCAAAACAATTTTTTATTGTTTACAACAGATTTGTTTACATGAGAAGTTTGTAAGTTTGACACAGTAACTCTTACAATTATTTCTTATTGAACTATCTTATTTCTATTGTACGAGTTGGTGTCTGCCTTTTTCACCACTTTTGGCTATATTTTATCCTATTATTATAGACAGATCATCATAGATTCATGAGATTAAAGTCATACATGTTTTCAATCATTGGGAAAATCTTTGATTGTGTAATACAATACAAAATAATACAAGTGCAGAAGTGTTTGCTTTGACAGTAACCCCACAATCAATTTCTCAAAACTATGCTAGAGGGTTATTCATTGGCATAGAAGTACGATATGAACTGACGCGACGTGACGAAGGAAAAATCAAACTTACACTGTAACGGATGGACCTCCCGTTGAAGTTAGAACGTGTCTTCTCAACAAACAGATATTTTTTCTCAAATAAAATCATAGATAAATCTTTATTACACTGATGAAATCGCGGAAGTTTTTAACTACAAAAGATCCACCAATATGATTTTAATACTATTTAAAGGTCCTTCCAAAAGAAGAGATACCAGTTAACATATAAATAATAACTCCAATGCTGTACGGTATTAGAAATATTTTATTCATTGAATGATCAACCATATTTGATAACTAACGAAATTAATATCAAATTAATATCATTATTGTTTTTACACTTATTAATCTTTAAACAATACTAAATGCTCAAAATATGTATAATTTCACTCAATTTATGGCAGTTAGACGAATTAGCGTAAGCCTTGAAAGTAACCGTCGATTTCGACGGGTTTCACTTAGTTTATGATATTCTACTAAGTTTAAAGTTAACTATACCGGTACCTAAATATAAAGTAGACAGCTGCTACTATTTCATTTCAAAGTTGTGGCTTTCTTTCTTCTATGAGCTTTGTTGTACATTTAGCTTGATATTCATACTATGGGAAAATTTAATCACTCTTTTTACAACCGGTAAGGTATGTATACTGTAATTTTGTAATTCTTTTAAAAAAAATAAATGAATTTTCTTTTTTTGCAGTTTTAAAGCTATGGGGGAAAATAAACAAAACCATCTAATGCCTTTTACTTTTGCTAGCTAACACTAAAGCAGTGCCCATAACACTCATGGGGCATTTACTTTTGGATTTATTTTCTTGTAGTACTTTGACTATGTCTCTCCACTGTGGTTGAGGGACCAAGTCTTCCGAGTCTCTCAGTAAACACTGTACATGGTGATGAGTCAGAGCTCCTCTCAGCAACTTGGCAACAAACAAGCCGTAGGTCAAAGTGAGGCCGAGTAGCAACGCACTCACTGGGTGAATCAAGTAGTACAATATCTGCAAAGTTATGTTGTCATTAGCTGTGACACGGTTTAGACATGATAATTTGTTAGAGTTCCTCTAAACAGCTTAGCCACTAACAATGCAAACGTAGTTGTCTAAAATGGGATGTTAATGTTACCGACACACTAGCTGTAACTGTAACTTGAAACTGGGATAGCAAAAAAAAATATTAAAAAATATGTAATATGCTAACAATACACAAACCAACCTATCTATAAACTCAAGATTTATATTTTCAGAAAGCTGCCACTTATTTTAAATTATAAAAAATAATACAGTATCAAGGATTAATATGACATTTTGATTGGAGTATCTCTTATAGAATAATTTATGAAAACCCACTCAGCTTAAAATAATTGGTTCACATGTGTAAGTTTGTTCGCACCTTAGTTAGTAAACATGCCGTGTTCTCTGAAGAACGATTGTTTAATCTCCTGGTTGGAGGGGTAAGGTTTAGGCTTGTATTTCTCCCTTATAGGGTCGCCGGGAGCAGTATCCCTCATAACCTTCAAATATTCCACCTCTGCTTTACGGTACAGCTTGTCGCAAGCGGCCCCCTCCTCATAGAACCTCTGGGCTGATATCCACTCATCATCCGACGGCTCCCGTGACGTCGGATATTGCTCGTCCAAAGATTCCTCCTGTTCCTTATTCAGTTCGGGTTCGGATTGATAATTCTGCTTCTCTTGAAACTCTGCATACTCTCCCTTCATTTGATAGAATGGGTCGTAGAAGAAGGTTTTGTAGATATATTGTACGATTGCTTGCGTCGCGCCCCAGAGCATGCCAAAGGAAAAGGCAAACACCGCCTTCTGCCAGTCCGCCACCATAGCTTAGACTGTCTTAAGCTAGGGGCAAATGTCGCTTTGAATGTGTGACTTAGGGTCGGTTTTATAATCATAACAATTACCATGTAAATTTCAATTGTGGAAGAAGAGTGACAAATAAAAGGAGTGGTGGAAATCACTCAAAAGTCATGGGGTGGTAATATAAATAAACATAGCATAGTTCATGAATAACTCTTAAAGAAGGGGTTAAGTGTGCCACCCCCTATCTCTAATCTTCCTCATCCCTAATCGCTGCCACTATTATTAAAGATGAATAATTAAGTTAGCAAATTTGCTGCTCATATAGGTTTGCTGCACTTATTATATAGGTATCAATTAATTCAACCAATTTAACCAAGGCTAATGCTTTGGAAATGCCATGCTGTTACTGAAAAAAAATTAACAGATTGATCAACAATTAATGAATACTTTTATCAATCCCAAAGATAAATCTGTTAAATTTCATGACTTATTAATTTACCACCTCATAGGTTAACCATCAGACCCTAAAGGAGAAATTTTGCAAACAGTTTACTTTGCCAACATACACTCTCTTCTTACTAAATAGGGATTTATGGAGAAACAAGTATAAGTGTAACTTAAATATCATTTTACATTAATAAAAGGAAGAAGCTATAAGATACATCCTTAACCTGGATAACAATTAATCCTGTGTTAGTCATTTCTGAGAATTGGAATTTTATATTGACAGTTTTACAGCCTCTACATTTATAAAACAATATTTCACATTAAAAACCATCAGTAAAATTTACAAAAGCAGCAAGACAAACAAGAAATAATAAATTTAAGAAAAGCCCAAATTATATTGAAATTAAATTAATTAATTCCTTTGCAGTATAAGAAAGTTTTAACAAATTCAAAAATAATAACATATTTCAGATCAACCTTGAGTTTTATAATTTAGAATAGAGTAGTTAATAAAACCTAACTTGAAACAAGGGTTTTTTTACAACTAATGTAATGTATGAAATTGTGTAAATAATATAATGCACAATATTGTGTATTTTAAGGAATGACATAGAATATTCTTCTATACCGGTATATTAGTTTTTTATTATTATTAGACTATCAAATTTTAAATAACAACAAATGACACATTGTATGTGTTGATTAATGATTTATTTGATTTGTATCAATAATAAAGTTTAAATAATACAGAGTACTAACATTCTAGTGTTTTTTTGAAATAAAGCATTTTTGTTGTTGTTGTTACACTAACTTTGGTAGGGCGTTACAACTTCAAAATGATCACAACTACTTGTTAGGGTACCGGTAGTTTATGACTGAGGGACAATTCAACAATGACTTATTACACAATATTTATTTTAAATAAAAAAAAAAACTAAAAACTGGCTATACCAATAAACATGGAAATGCGATGCCAAAACTCCATACACGTCCATAGCTTAAAAAAAAACTAATAAACACATAGGTAATAAAAATACATAATTGAAAAAAAATAATAGTACCGTACCCATTTTTAAATTTTACGTACTGTATTACACTACAATTTTATATTAATTCGTCAACATAACATAAGTCACCTGCATATTCCATTAATCGGAGCTGTTGAGGCTAATCGCAACTGTTCAAAAATAACAAATGTTATCTTTTGTTTATCACGTAAGTCATATTAATTAATAGACCGTTCTACCATCACCTACCAGATTACATAGTTTTTGTAATTATTTTGCTCAGTAACTGACTGTAATTGTTGACCATTGAGTATCTAGGTTAGAATGTCTAAAAAAGGCTACAATTTTTACCAAAATTAGTTTTGGATTAGAAAAGCTTGGTGCATCAATGAAATTCTTAAGCCTGATAAAACAACCAGGTTTTGAGGTAATCTATGTAGACATACTTATTTTAATAGCTACCGGTACTTTATGTCATACTGCTTTGAGTCAAACTCACCATTTATGGTTGCAGAGAGCTATAAATTAAAATTACAAAAGTGTTAAGTAGATTGCTGAAGAATAGTCAAAGGCAAACACTAAGAATAAGGCAATTTAAACAATCAAGGTTTACCTGAAAGGTAGTAAATCTGCCACTCCAACGAAAATCCTTGAAACCCTGGTCCCAATTAATTATGTCACATAATTTACCTCGCTAAGTCCTTAAGCTTTTAACCTCTCTCAGCTTAGCCATCTCACAATATAGATGGTAAAATTCTCAAAACTTGCAATAAAAAAAACACCAAACAAGCCTAAGCTACCTTCACAACATGATAAAAACTCATTCAACTCTTAATAAGTTGGACTAATACACCAACAATGTGCATATTTGACGGTTAATACAAGTAAAGGATGAGATGCTTGCTTTTTTTACTGACTAAAGGTCAGTTGGTTCTTTAGCCAAAACACTTTATTAAAGGCCAAATGATAAACAACATCTTGGTCCAGTTTTAAGCCTTCAAAAAGATAGTGAGTTTTCTCAGGATTAAACTAGCAAACGTTTCTGATTTGTATGAGAGTATAACCTCTGGATTCTATAGGATGGTATGGATTCCGTGGGAGGTTGAACGTATCTTCTACTACTCGTTCATCTTCTGTCTGACGTTCCACTTGGGATTGTGGATAACTCAGCAGCATATGCAGGAGAGGTACCGGGACACCATGTGGATATCCGAAGAGGAAGGAATAACCACGGAAACGACAGATCCGGACGATCCTGAAAGAATGAGCCCAGGCGGTTTACACTCTGCGATAGACGACCTTTCATCAGGCACCACTGATGCAGGCGCCGATTATTAAATAAATCGACATTTTAAATTCTTGAATTATCAGAATTTTTTATTTAGAGTGTTTTTTGTGTCAACTACAACATAAAAATGGTTTAAAACTAATACCGAAAACCTATACCCAGGCTGACACTAACCAAAATCCCTGGTCTGTGAGACCCCATTTGAAAATAATATTAGAAACACGCAAACCGAAACCCTGGGCCTGTGAGACCCCGCTTTAAAATACACTAACGCTGGGCTTCTGAGACGGGCATGTTATGAACAGACAACCTGTCAAGGTCACGGCACCCACACAAAATAAACAAACAATATATCAACAGGTAGGGGAGGAAAAGGGGGAAAGGTGTCTATAGTCTATTGACTAATATTGCTTTTCCAAAAAGTATTTGCAATTAATGTCATACATAAACACTATGTTCTAATTTATGGGAGAGGTCTTTAATAAATAAAATACTTGACTTCATTCGTAATAAGATTTATTATATTTTAGAACGTACATTAAGTTACATGAAAATAGAGCCATGCTTCTTGAGAGAGCGGAAAATGTGAAGACCAAAAGCTGTACACTCGCAGGTGTACCAACACATTTAAAACATTTATTCACAACACACTATTAGTGTGTATGAAAAAAAGGAAGATAAAAAAGGAATTTGGATAAACCACAGCACACCTAGTGGTCAAATACAGTTTCATACATTGATATACAGTTATTCCACCTTATGAATTCTACTAGCATACAGTATTTCATCCAGATTCCAGAATCGCCAGAGAGTAAAATAACTACAAATGAAACTGCATTTGTGTTTGCAACCTAGTAAGGTGGTACAACAAACAGTCAATGTTTCTATGAAAATCTTATTATATAAAACTCATGGATAATATTTAAGACCATCAGAAGTTTTTGATAAGTTATGATAAGAGTCATTCATTGGGATGATTTATAGACAAAAACATTCTTCAATAAAAATATCTTATTCAAGGTGTATTGTGAATTTAATCAAATTTAGACGATTTTCCTAAGAAAGGCCGTGTGATTTAAAAATAAGTATTGAACTAATTGTAGAATCAATTGCACTTGGTAGTTTTTCCGTACTAAATATACATATGAAGGAAGTAACCGTGATGTGGACCCAAATGCACGGAAGAGGTAGGGGGATTAATGTTATATAAAATCGTTGTAGACTTTTTTCTGAATTTACATTTACATTTATTAGGAGTTGGTGGCACGGTCGATATCGATTCTTTCAATTTATTACCTTATTTAAATCAGGTGTGATTATTTGTTTGTATTACTGTATTCTGTTTTGTTTATTTCAGTTTAACTTAACCAATCAATAGTTTTATTAATACAATAGTCATTGTTAATACTATGAAGTCAAACGGGGTGAAGCCCGAGGTAACAGCTAGTTGTTTATTAAGTTATTTTATTTGTTATTTATTTTTTTGCTGCTTTTTTGTTCTTGATATTCTTTTTGTTCACTGAAGTACATTTCCACAATTTGTTTCACGGCCTAGAATCCAATCCAATGTTCTTGTACGACCCAAAAAGATGTTCAGGGGTTTTGAGATTTTAATTTCTGTTATTATGTGTTAATGAACTGTCGTAATATCAGACTCTATTTATTTCCAGCATGAACGAGGAGCTCATATTTTTGATTGTACTGGTATCCGTGGGACTCTACTCTTATGCAGCAGCTTCTTTGCTGAAAAAGAGATATGAGGGGAATATAACGAGAAAGGAACAGCAGAGGCAAATGGCCATTGAGTCACAAAACCTTCATCAAAAAGCCGAGGACAAAAAACCACTACTAGAGTGTAACACAGATGCATTACCACTCAGTGAGTAAAACTGATTATGATAGTCTTCCAAAATGGTTGTGTTTTGAGGCGTTTAATCTGCAGTCAAAAGTAAAAGCTTAAGGGTTTAATACTTCTTTTTTGCTCATATTTTTCAGTCGTATAGTATTTTGTCTTGTGATTACAGAGAGGTTGAAGACGGTGGTTGATCCTGACCTATATTTCATATGGTCAGTATCACAGATTCAGCTTGGAGGAAACTTAACTACCATAAATTTACGAGTTAATTTTCTTTAATCTGCACAAATTATCTTTTGGTGTCTGGAGTATAAATCCCATCATATAAACCAGCTGTAACGAGTAAAAAAAATTTTTAGAACATAATTCCTCTTCATAGTCAAAGGCTCAGTAGCGTATATTAATCAAGGAATGTAATTCAAATTTATTTTTAGTTCCAACCGTAAAAGGTAGAAGATGGATCTGGTAATGAATGATGTCCAAGAGACTGGTAGAAGAGTGATGTCCGCACTGCGACAGAAGATGACGTGGGTGAAAGCGGCACTATGGGGCCTCACGGTGTGGACGTTGCGGAAGTGGTGGCACCGACGGCTGTTGGATCTCCTTATACAGGACGAGTTGATGGAAAACCCTTATGATACTGACTACTCCGAAGCCGAAGATTTCAAGGACTTCACAATGGGTGATTGGTTTCTTTAGATTTGGACTAGTGTCCAATGTGTTGGTCTACTCTTACAACTCTGACTACACTTTGGTTGAAGAATTTAAGGACTTACTTAGGGAGATTGGTTCCTTTAGTTCTGACAGTTAGTGTTCAACAACTCTTAGGAGTACCTTGAATACACTATCTGATGAAGAAATCAACTATCCCAACTACACTTAGGGAAATTGGTGACCTTAGTTCTGACGGTAAGTTATTTGGACTGATGAGTGTACCAAGTTACTAGCTTATGATTATAATCGGCTTTATTTTGTAGGCAAAGTGAAACAAATTTATTAATTGTTGTTTACAAAAACGTTGTGATAGCCAAGTTTTTAACAATTCAACAACAATGTATAGATAATCTTATACAAAATAGATATGGGGTGAAAAATAAATTTAGATTCAAAGTACTATATTTGTAGCTTTATTTTAAATTTTAGAAAAAAGTCTTGCTGTAAGTATTATGTAACCGTTGTTTATTTGGTATTACCTTTGACTATTGAATTACTTAATGTAACTTACCACATAGCCATAAAAACTGTACATCAATAAAAAAATCATAGTAAACAAATAAACATTACTTTTAGAAATAAGTAAAACTATACAGTATACATTCTTTTTGTTTTATACATCTAAAAAATAACTATTTAATTAACTCTCTTATGTTTATTCTGTAAGCTATTATACATTGGCACAAAAAAAATTTTCTCAAAACAAGAAACATAGGTATATGTTTAGTTTAATGTATAAAGACTGTTTAAGGTTGCCTTTACAATAATAACACACTACAGTAAAGCATTACAAATTAAACTGTTTTTATGTTAGTTTATACCATTCCTTGCTTGGTATTCAGATTTCTTTTTGTTGGTTTCTTCAGATTTTTTAATTCAAAAACAACGTTTCATTTGTGAGGTGTAAATCTAACAACTTAAAAGCTTCAAACAAGTTCAATTCATACCTATAAAATGTAACTATAGTACACATCCACTAAGTAAAAGTAAGTTACAAGTTAATTGAACACCATCAAAATCCATTCAACCATGAAACTGTTTACTTTGTATTATTTACATTCTTCTTTACCTGTAAAAACAAATGGTCATTTAGAATCTTAATTGAACACAATTTTCTTTACTCTATAACTGAAAGTTAGTACAACCATAGGAAGTATCACAAGCGTCTAGGCAGACAGTACAACTCCGAGGATCGTCGTGGATCAGAACACCCCCCACCACCGCACCATGTCGTACGCTTCCGAATCATACCGGCGCATCAGCATAGCCTAACTGTTCGCGGAAAATTGTTATCTCTATCACTGTCGCTGTCAAAACGTATCGTTTGTAGGTTAAATTTAAATTAAATATAATTAAACTGTCATAACCTAACCAAACTTGCTGATAATGAAAAACTTTAATGAACCCTAATCGAAAAAAAAGTGCCACCAGCAGGATTCCAACCCAGCACCTTCAGATTATCAGCCCGACACGCTATCCAATACACACCAAGACTCAATTCCGTATCGATGCGGCAATGGTTGACGTCACGCCATCGGCATGGAGCAAAAAGCTCCGTTGGGGGTTTTCCGATCTGATCCACAATCCTTGGAGTTGCACTGGCTGCCTAGACGCTTATGGAAGTATCTTGTGTTGTAGTTGTGATAGAAAAATAAAAATCTGAAAAAAATAGTCTTTGTATCATCTGGAAGGATCAGCTATAAATACAATTTTAAGGTTACTTCTCCATGGTTGCAGACTGCAGAGGGTGTTTTTTGTTTGTGTGAAAGCGGCTGAAGAGAGCCTCTCGGGATGAAGATGATGGGTCATTGTTTCTCGCGACTCGCGTAATCAAATTTGTCTGCCTCTTTCTTTGCTGGCGTGTGATGAACAGCGATCGGTGTTTGTGGCGTAGTGGATAGAGTACTCATCGGCTGATGTGCTAGAGGTATCTAGATCGAATCACATCGGTATCACTTAACTTTTTGTCGAAGATTTTGCTTAGAGTGCCATTTCTTCTTAACTGTACATCTTTTGTTACAACTTGAGGCATTTATAATTTTATTTTATGAACAGAATTTAACCTTCATTTGAATTTTTAATTATCAGCAAGTTTGGTTAGTTAAGGTTAGATTATGACAGTAACTTCCGGTGTAATGATGTCATTGTTTAACCTTGCTTCATCCTGAGAGGCTCCCTTCAGCTGCTCTGGTTTTCCAATTGTTTATCGCTATGTAACCTATTTGTTAAAAGAAAACTAAATATAACATATGTTCATTTACAATTTGTAAACATCTTCAGTTCTTTGTTTATCATTTCAACTAAAGGTTCATCAACTATTAATTCTGTTCAATATCTTCATATTTTTACACACAAAAAAAATTAGCGATAATGAAAAGATTGATAGACATTGCTAGTCCTCTGGTATATGAGTCTACAAATTGTAAAATCTTGTAAATATTGTCTTTTGTCTATGTAAAACAGTGACACACCGAGGTTTGTATGCTGAATGTGAATGGAGTGAGATGCCGTGTAGCCTTGTGTGCCTTGCTAATGATTTTTGAGCGAGTTCTGTTTAGACTTGAGAGGGACTAGGAAGAAATTAGATGCCACAAATGCTGGCAAAATGTGCATAGGAAGATAAATTACAATTTCAAGAACTCAGGTAAAAAGGATGGTAACTCAATCATTACTGAATATGTTCCATCAAGGATAATAGTCTACCATTTACACTATACCATGTGTTCAATGAGTTGCTGCGTAGTGGAGGTACTGTAGTTCTTCTTCTCTAGCTCTGATCGCTTCCTCTGTGGATCTTTGATGCCTTTCGCTCATCATTCGACTGAGGTACTGTATCAGCACGTAAGCCCATCCTCCCACAAACGCATGGGCGCAGTTGTTAATCAACTGTTGGTTAAACATTGCTCAAATTAGTTACTGAAATCAACAAATCATTTTTGTTAGATATTTGACTAGCAATAAAAATAGATATCACATCTCCAAAAGTTGTGGCCAATTTTAGAATAATAATATTATAGGGTACCGGTAATAATAATATGGTCATAATAAAGCTTCTTTCAGATTGCAGTGTTGTCAAATTGCTGTACTCTTTTAGATTCACTAACTCTTTAACCAAACAAACTTAAAATGAAATACTTTTAAACTATGGTTTGTTTCTTGTGGGACCCACATATTGGTAAGTCGCCCCTCTCCACACTCTGTACAATTTTGCAAAAACTTCCCCCCTTCAGAGAAGTTTTTAAGGCCCTCCCCAAGGCTTGTACCTTAAATTTTCTACTCATCTCGTTACTTGAATCTTTACGCAATCGTAAACTACTATTGTGCAATTCTAATAGTAAACATTAATTTAAAAAAAACATATTGGGATCATGGCTCTTGTAATGGATAAAACTGAACTCTTGGATTCACTAACACACCTAAAGCTATAATTAAGTGTATGACAGTTATGCTATATAGACTAAAAATAATCATACTTAGAGTTGTTGTAGACGATGGAAATAAACAATCTCCATACATTTCTATATAGACTAAATATACTAATAGACTTACTTACTCCAGGAATCCAAGCTATGTACCGTCTGAAAGTGGACCCGTCCATAACATGGATCTCGGGTGCGAAGATGTCTTCGTCAAGATCGGTGTCGGGAGGTTGATGGAAGCGCGCGGACCTTCCCAGTCCTCCTGGGTCCTCGTCGGAACTGACGACCGGCGAGGAAGGGTTATCATCGTCACTGACTTGCGGAGGGTCGTCTTCCGCACCCATGGAGGAAAACACCATCTTTGATAGCGTAAGTTGATGATGTAGTAGAACAGTTGACTAAGTGAAACAATACGGACCATCTAGATATGCTATCATATGAGTTATTGTGATAACTTATAGCTTTTTATCATAATTGTTCAAAACAGTTGTTCATAGTATTTTGATTCTTGATTGATAACTAATATTTATTTATCAGAGGTGGTTCAGGATGTAGGGGGTTTCATAGTTCACATTTATCTGATAATTAGAGATATTCAACCAACGGTTAAAAATTGACTTCATGAGACACAGCGTAATGATATGTAAAAGCTAAGATTATTTTTTGCCGAGCAAAACTAAGCTACAACCGCAGAGCAAATGGTAGAGATTTATTGAGATTTTTTGTTGAGAGGTTGGCAAGAGTAGTTTGAAAACACATGACAAGCCACTGCTCCTCGCCGACGCACTTCCAAATACTCATATATTTTATTTTTTATCTAAAAGCACAGCTATAACAATCTATAAAACAGTTTTATATTGATTAATAAACATAACTCGGGGGAATGTTTTTATAAAACAAGCAGCACACCAGATAATTGTAATTGTATAGTTGTTTTTGTTTTCACCATTGTCATTTAATTTATATTTGCACAATGTAAAATAGGCTACCAGGGTATTTGTAACCAGGTGAATACCCATTTTTTGTAAATACCTTGGTATTTGGGATGGTTAACTAAGCCACACATACGTTTCAATTTAGAATTCCCCTTTTTCTAAAGCATTTTACTCATGAGAATTAATTTTTTGATGAAAATAAACCAGAGAGTCATAGATTTGAATGTAAGGAGTTAGAAACCATCTTCAGATAAAACAAATTTTAAAAGGCAGCTTAGTAATTCGAGAGGACTAAACGTCTGCAAGCACTTTTTGCAGCGCTGTTCAATGGTGCAACATAGCTACTGAAGCCCGAGCTGAGGTAGAGCACACCCTTAACCCATAGTATTTATAGCATTTAGGATTCTTTATTGTTTCGATTTAATCCATTTCAGTATACTTAAATAGTTACAATTTTATTTACAAAAAACAGTAAATTTATTATTATTATAATTAAAAATCCTAATACACTAAAGACTTTGTACACCATACACTAATTTGATGAAAACTTGAAAATTCTCAATTAATTATTGAGAAAGAGTTCATGAAAAGTCACAAATTAGTTCACACATTAAACTATGAACACATGTTTCATGTGGATGAGGTAGGCGATATTCAGGGGTAGAATATTCTGTTGGACCTCACTTGTCTCCAAAGGGTAGTGTTCCCCTAAAAGAATGAAAGTATGGTAAAAAATAATACAAAGTTATAAACCACTAAAACAAATAAGCTAGCATTTAAAGATAATACAATAATGCACTAAAAATTGTAATAAACAAATGCTTTGTACGTTGTACAAAAACTTTTTAACAAAACCGCGCTGAAAGAATAACTTACTGCCCGAGAATATATTGTTGCATCAACAATCAATATATTAGAAAATACGGAGAAAATAGAATGTCGACAACAGTACGAGTACACCCTGTGGGAGTTAATTTTTGTTCCATTCACTGTAGACTATTTTATTACAAAACTAACTAAGCAGATCCATGATGATAATGTCTTCTAATAATGTATCCAAAAGGCAATTATTTATTGCAGATGTTCAGTTTAGTATTTTCCTAATTTATTTTGATTTACTGAGAGACAGCATCATGGGATATTTCCTACGACTCCTGAAGGATACATGATACACACCATTCACGGCTGCTACTCATAGGTGATATCCAGCCCGCTGTATATCTCCCGGCCGTACGCAGGTTCGTTGTAGTAGTAAGGAGGCTGGTAGTGTGTGCCAACAGGTTGCTGTGGTCTCGGCCCGCCTCGCATCCGACTCGCCAACTGTTGAGCGTACTCTCGCTGATGTTGTGCCGACATCACGGCTGTTCGCTCGTTAATCTTGCGGCTGATCACTCGCAGTAACATCATCGGCATGTAGCCCACTGTCGACTTGAGTATGAAGACAAACACCTTCAACAGAAAAAACATAGTTTGTTGGTTTAGGAATCTCATGTGACTATTTCATCCTGATATCAAAATAATTATAATTTGTTAAAAAACCCTCAGTACAATGCTATACATGTAGTGCTTGCCTGAAAACTAAACTGACCAGTTCGATCCTAAGAAAACTCATTACCTAATGGTTTGAAACTAGATCCAGCTGTCCTTGAATATTGTGCTGTTATTAAAACTATATTGCCCTAGTTAAGAAACAGCTGTTCTTAGCTATACAAAAACCTTCACTGATCACTCCTCTCTAATGCATCTTAATTCATTTTAAGTTTTAGGACATCAAGGTGGAATTTGATGAATCTAAAGTAACAATCATGCGTTTAATTTGTCTTAGAATAAAATAAAATTTCGCATTCACAAAAATAAATCCAATGTCCTAAGTAATTCTACTCCACTCTTTTATCTACTGATTGGTTGGACTTACCCCTTGCACAGTCTTCCATATTTTCTTCACAAATGCGGGGGCCATTTTGTTTCAAGTCCCCAAAAGACCAGTTCATACTTCACTTCACTGAGTCTGTTATCTACGTTATGTTAAAGATATCAGATAACCCTTACGTTTTTAGATAAAATCTAATTTTTCAACTACTCATGTTGCAATCACAATTTTGTTGGATAATTTATGTGATCTAAAAAATCACTGAGCCCAATAGTGATTTACTTGTGTCAACACTGAAAATTAATAAGGCATATTTATTCATCGTTCAGCAATCAATTAGTTATTGTCACAAGAAATAACATTGATAAGTCAGAACATGATTATAGATAAAATCAATATGCTTTGAACAAACCAATATACATACAATTCTTAGGTCCATTTATGGCGGTCAATAAATAAAATTAGCAATATTATTCTCTCACAAAGTTTTTGAACAGCAGTGCTAAAACTAAGCCTTGATCTTCAGTGTTTCAGGCCAACATGTTATATGATTTTAGTAAAACTGATTTATTAGACTATATAAAAGAAATACATATCTAATTAATTGATTAACATAACAAATCAAACAGAACTAACCATACTGGAAAGCATTTTTCCTACAGTTACCTAACAATGTACATGTTCTCTCACTGATTTGAGAAAGCAAAGTGGCCAATTCGCCACAATGTTAACAATGTTAACATTGTCTCACTCTAATTACTTTGTCTCACTCCAGATTTGCAACGTGAAGGCACGAAATAGTGAGCGCGTAACATGCAGGCAACGTCGTATGCGCGCGAAATACGTTGACAGCACTGGCTGTAAATCAGCTGGTCAGCTGTTGTTACTGTTGTATTTGTCACTTCACATTAAATGTTATATTAAAAGTTCACTTCTGTGTAAAAATAGGTTATGTTTCTTCACAAATTTATTTGTTTAATGGTAACTGTAGGAAAAGTATAATGTGCAACTCGAGTTCAAAGTACAATTGCCTCACTCGAGGCACCATTCCTCACTCGCCTACGGCTCGTGAGTAAGGATTTCTCTCGAGTGAGTCAATTGCTCACTTTTCTCACTAGTTGCACAAATAACTATTTTCATGTTTGATAGTTAACATGGATTTTAAACCCTCTCACTCCATTACTTCATTTTTCTCTTTTGTTTTCCTTATTCAAATTCACTCTTCATTTTCAGAGTGCAACTCATTGACTTTTGATTTGTGGTCTTTGATGTGACAAACTTACAAAATCAATACGATGTCCACTTTCAGTGGGACACGACTTCTGCCCAATTGACATATTAATTTATGTTAATTACTTCACCAATAATACTACCTAACCTGCCTTCAATCATTATATGGTAGACAAAAAAATACACATAAAAACTAAAAGACTTTTATTGTGTTTAAAAGTTTTACAAATTACAGTTTTACTTAAAATTCATCCTATACAACTTATAAAACTAATATTTTGAAAAGTACAGTATTATGAAAGTTTTTAGCAGCCTACAAAAAATTAAAATATTTACAAAATCTGTTTACTTAACCTGATGACGCATCTTCCTTTCTACTTTTTACTTTTCAAGGTGTTATTAATGAATAAAGAATTTTAATTTAGAACAAAATGACATAAATAGCTTTGCAGAATGGTGATCAGAATGTACTTAGAGCTCATGGGTCAGAGACATGGGAGAGGATGGAGGGAAAGCCATCCTTCTGGGATAGCAGAGGAAAGGGATGGCAGGAAGTAGTCCATAATTTGTCCTCAACATGTACTAACATTTCCTTGCAGGATTCCTGTAGTTATCTAAAGCTCTAAGCCTTTTCATTATTAATTTTTTACACATGAAAAAGAAAGTTGATTTTGTTATCTGTTCCAATAAGTGAAATTTCTTCATCAAACTTTTCCTTTTCTCTTCCCCTTCGGACTGTCTTGCTCCTCTTCTTCCTCTTCTGGTTCATCCTCTTCATTTTCTTCGTTCTCCTCATTTTCTTCTTCCTCCACATATTGGTCTTTTTCGTCTCCGTCCTTGTAAGCTGAGAATTCCTCTATCGCAAAGTCTTCTCTAGCCCTCATTTGGCGTTGAGCCATTGTCTTCCACCGATGCTCGTCCATTTTGTTTTCGACAAGAGTCATGAGCAAGAACGGTGAGTAGCTTGCTACTGCTGAGACAAAAGTCCATCCTAACTGAAAACCAAAGACGTTATAAGAATCGACGGCATATACTGTATAAATTTAATGTAAGGCCGATTCACCGCTTCAATACTGTCTTCAAAAAAATAGACAGTCATCTATGAGGTCTGGGTTATTGACAATTGACTGAATGGATGGATAACAGAAATTCTTTTTAAATTACTACAATTACTGGTACGGTACTTCAGTATGAATTACTCTAATTTTGGAAATAAACAACACAGTGTAGATGTGAATTATACATAGTTTTGCGCTCAAAATCTTAGGAAAAACAGCAAAATGCACATTTTTGAGGTGGCCGGTAATCGAGGTTCTACTGAGATAAAATTTGAGGGATTTTCACCCTTTTTTTGTTGACACAGAGTGATTACATTTTATGGTTATTTCAAGGCTTTCAAAATGAATGAAATAAATCGTTTAGGTATTTTTAAACATTGAGGTTTTTCAAAGTTTTGACTTAGTTTGAAAAATAGCCAAGTCAAAACAATATACTGTTAACCATGACTAGTTAAAAATAATTTGTTCTATCACATGTGAATTACTTCCAGGAAGTCATGATTTTACATTAAGATGTTACGTCTAGCTTGCACTATCCACTATCCATAGTCAATGCTTCTACTCACACTAAACAGTTTGCCCCCGAGCCAAGGTAGAACAAAATGCATAAATATTTCGCCCCACGAGGCATCAGTGGGGATCGGACCGCGATCCGTACCATCGTTCTCAGGAGCCTGCCACCTTCGAGCGGAAAATCTCATACTTGCCTAACTAGCATCACTGCGAACACTATATCATCTGATTGGTTCTCTATAGATACAAATATAGATAACAACTATATACACTACGTAAATTATAGTCTTAAATTATTGCCTTATCTGATCTATTACTGTACAAAACTTACAATATGATAAGTCACGATGATCAGTAGCACAGAAAACATATTACTATAACCCAGAATGCTCACCGCATGGTAAAAAGCATTAAGTGTTTTGAGAGAGCTTTGCCTGTCAACCGTAGGCAGCGCCACCAGCGTTGCTATGCTGAGTGCATGGCAACGCTGGTGACGCTGCCTACGATTGACAGGCAAAGCTCTCTCAAAACACTTAATGCTTTTTACCATGCGGTGAGCATTCTGGGTTATAGTAATATGTTTTCTGTGTCTGTAGGTATAATGGAAACTTATGTGGTGCAAATGCTGATGCATACGTTGCTGACTAAGATAAGCCTTATCTTTGAAAAAGACAAAATGATAATGTACTACTGATGTGACCAGTATCATACCATCAAAAAGCTACTGAATATTTTCAAGAATTGACCAACAACATTGTAATCATCAGGTGTACCATTACTTCCCATCTATATGGACCAGCTGTAGAAATGTTTTTATTAAAAAAAGAATGTAGTTGTGTGAGCCAGTCACAGAATGTGCTAGTGTCTAAAATTCAATTTTATACCTTATTTTTTATTGCTGACCAGGTTGATGGGTCATAACAGAGTTGCGATAACTAATTATAAGTCATTCCCTAAGTTTGACCTCGTTAAAAAGATTGTGCATTCGGTAGAATTTTAGTAATTTAGATCAGCGCAATATGTAGGTGGCTCACATCAACTACAATTTTCATAAAAACGTTAGGTACAAATTTAACATTGTGATGGAATGTCTAACGTTGTACTCAGTTGGTTTGTGCTGTATTTGAAAAGTTAAAAATATTTGAGTAGCTATTAACTATCTACGGTATATTATTAATTATTACTATTATAAATAAGAGGTGGTGTCTGTCTGTGTGTTTGTATGAGCTAAACTAAAAAACCAACTGGGATCAAATCAAATTTGACAAAAACAAAGCTACAGCTCCAAGGATACATATAGAACTATTCCCGCTTCGATATTGACCTACACTACGGTTCACAAGAGTCTGCAGTTGAGGGAGGAGCCTATTGGTAAAAGCCACATGGTAATGTGACTTCGAAGGAGCCAATGAGGACAGTGCGGTGTTGCCAAATCTAATAATACCAGCTGATTTAAAAAAATGGTTTAGTATATTTTAATTAGTGTCGAAAAGTAGTGAACGGGTGATGTTGCAATGTCACCAATATTTTTATTGGCTACCTCCAACTTCAGACTCTCGTGGTCCCCTTGCCTCATGGGCTTTTAAAGTTAAGAGGTGAGAGTTTTAAAAATAAATTGATTGGTATCCATGGCAACAAAGAGCAAGAACTCTTAATGTTTAAATGTAAACAAGCAGAACTGTCAAATGCACTTGATTTCACAATTCCACACAATTGATGTTGCCGTATCAACCTCGGCTGTTATTCTGAGTTTTATGAGAATGTTTTTTTAGATATATTTTTGTGGAAACAATAACTATACCTTAGCCGCCGGCAGCAAACTTGCAGACTAAGCAAATTTCCATTTGCCTAATCATATTTTCACTAAAATGTCTCCTTAAAAATGATAGAAAATTACACTATTGACAGGTTTGGAACTTCTATTGTGATAGCTTTTAGTTTACAGTACAAAATACTTTTTGCATACTGACCCCGATGCAAGGCACGGGTATATCGGCTAGTTTTAAGAATAAAACTGACTTCAATTTCAACATTCTGTTATGATTTATACTCCAGAGTAGTTTATTCATAGATCTAACACCACAATTTAAAAGCTATAATTTTTACAACAAATATTAATGAAACTCTTGACACTTTTACCACAAACACTCAACAAACAGTTTAGAAAAATAGTCACATAAACCTAAAAAAATATTCTTTCAATCCTTGCACTTTCAACTTAATCCTTCACATAATTTCACACTGTTTGGGCAGTTCCACGTTTTCTTCTTTACACTCATTCATACTCTTCTTCGTACTCCTCTTCCTGTATGTATTCTCCATCATCTTCCCCTTCTCTGTAGTTAGCTTCTTCTTTGGCCAACTCCTCTTCTCTCAGCTGCATCTGTTGAGCCTTGAGTTTCTTCCATTTCCTCTCCTCCAGGTAGCGTTCTATCAGGCTCATCAGGACGAATGGAGCGTAGCCCGCGCAAGAGGTGACGAACGTGTACAACAGCTACAACAACGGACAAGAATAGTACTTTGGAATAAAATATTGTTTGAAATTTTTTTTAAACCTGAGATGTTATCGGTGGTGAACATTAAATGAGGGCCATCGACGACTTTGCCGAAGAATTCTCAGCACGAGTGAGATGAGGACTTCATCTTCCACCAACATGTGGAGGAAGAAGAGGTAACTTTAAAGACGAAAGAAAGGAAATAAAGAGCATGGGCAAAACTGTCAAAATTAGTTTGGAAAAATTTGCAAATAAATGACAGTTTAATTTGAGATAAAAATGTAAATATAAGAAAATCTTCAAGCTTACTAAAAGTGGAAACAATTGTAAATACTCACTTGGAATGTCATTCCAGCTGCCAAATGATACCAAGCCATCACCTAATTTTGTTGATGGTTCCTGAGATGAGTGTTAACACTTTCATAACTATCTAAAACTGTCTGTCTGGTTTCTAAATGAGAACAACTTTTTGCTTTTACAAAGAAAACTCACATGTTTCAGCGAGGTAGCATGGTAACTCAATAACTTTGCTTATCTTTCAAAAAAATTGTTATCACTAAGAATACTTATATCAGTCACAACGATAATCTTTTAACTAAATGTACTAGTTTCTAATTTTGGTTATTTATTTTTAACTCCTAGGATGCTAGGCACGAGTCTGGGATTGTTTTTCACATTACTTCAGGCTAGACCTAGGGGTTGAAGACAATAGACAATAGACAAGACTCTAACGTAGTTGCACATTTCAAGTTGATTCCCATATCTAAAAACTGAATCATGAGCCAGGCAACTGACTTCAGCATAGATTAAACAGAAGACCTTACAGATTCTACATTCACGGATTGGCTGAAGACAATTTCAATGTTAGTTCTGTTTGGTTCATTGATTTGAGTTTTGTTTTGTTTGTTGTTATTTCAGTGATTGAAAACTAGCTTAACCAGATATAACGGTAGGTACCTCAGCTCTGGTACTAGAGGTACCTACTTTGGGTGACGTCACTCAGGAATAAAACCACCCTTCTATTACACAAATAAAACAATCTGATTATAAACAATAGCTAGTCGTGTTTTTATAACCAAACAGTAAATCACAAAATAATAAAATTAACCACAAAAAAGGAGAAAAATACTATCGACACTAGCACCTAACGTCACCAACATGAACCATATACAATAAACAAACTTCAGATTGTATAGTGGGGTGAGAAGTTTACTACTGTACTTTTGTAATAATCAAAATCTAAACTTACATTGACTATCAATTATCAATTACAGTATTGAGATGGGTACACCACCTAGGTGCTTGCTGTGGAGCAACATAAAGGATTTTTAAGTATACAAAAATAGAAAAACAAGTTAAATATATTCGCAAAATATACAAACATAATATTTTTTTTAAATGACTTCATGCTTATTTGAGTTAATCAGCATCTTGTAAATGCATCATTTGGCCAAGTGCTCCTCCAGTATCGTCCCCTTCATATAAAGCTCGCATCAGTTCATTGTCGAAGTCAAGATAGTAGAATTTCCTTGCTTGCCAGCCAACAAGGACTCCAACCAGAAATGTTATGATGTCTTTCACCTGTTGCATAGAAATGTCTTATATCGTTAATGAACCGATCCACTGAGTGGGTGAAGCTATTCTAAATGTGATTACAATTTCAAAAATTGTTAGACGTGGTTGTGTTAGATCATCTGCTCTACTCCCCAGTTGACAAGTATAATGTAAATCTACCACATATTCACATATTGTTATTGGTTGCTAAAGCTAGTATAGTAGGTAGTGTGCATCTAGCACCAGTAATATGTCTTTTCCCACTAACATCCTCGTAGGGAATACTTTCTCTGGGCTGGAACAATAGGGACCTAATCTTATAATTGTTTTTAGTTAATACATAAGCCTAAAATATCTACATCTTAAGGAAGTATGTTATCAAGGACTATATAGAGCTGGATTTATCTTGGCGAACTGACTTGTATGAATTACCAGTTGGAAAGAGAATTCTCAGAGACCAGTTTCATTTTGCTTCTCTAACAATTCCTCTCTAATGAATGAACACGAGTCAACTTCTTAGAACAAGAGATCTTTCAGTTGAACCTGAACGTCTGGATTAACCTTTGTATACTCAATGAACAGCTGATTAAGTGAACGACTAACATGATGGTTTTGATTTACATCTACTTTCTCATTACAATTTGTTAGTCTAGAGTTTATGCGATTTAGTAGTGCTAAAGATTAAACATATGTACTCCCTAATACATTCATTACCGCTACCCTTAGAGATCTAAATCTAAATAAAATTCTAAAGGTTAGTTTCTTTTTGATTTACTAAAGTTAAAATCCGAATAAAACGATCTGTCTGATTAACTGAATATCTGTCATATTAAACAAACAATTTCTTGTCTTCTAAAACTGTACTACGCAAAAAGGAAAGCATGCAAAAGAAATGTTTAAATCGTAAAATAATTCTAAAATAAGAAGAAAAAGTTAAGTCTACACCAACATACCAGATGGAACGCAAGTAAAAACAGGTTTCATATCTTACAAAAAGGAATTTACTTGTGCTTTTCAAAGTAGACACGATAAATAAGCCACCAATTGCAACTTTAAAATTCCAGTACTCTTAAACAAAATAGTTCAGTGGTCCTCCACCTAAGTCTTCCTATGAAACTGTGGTAAAAGCTAATTCTGTATAAGGCCCCACCCACACGAGGCCGTTTAACTGCGCGAAGTTAAGCCGCACAAAGTTAAGGGTTTCGTAATCACATTGAATCAAATGAGAGCGGCCACACGAGGCGAAGTTTAGCCCCCTGGGCGGATAGGCCGTGCCATGCCGCCTAAGAAAATACACTAATAGATGTTGACAAATTAACATTCTACTTGTATTATTAGCGCTGGCAACCTACCCATCCAGAAACCATCTTTTGTTTTTAACCATGTGAAACATGTACTTGTCTTGAAATGCTGCAAATATAATTTAATGGAATATGCAAAAGAAACGGTTTAGTTAAGTTATTTATTCAGAAAGCTAATTGAATTGAACTAAGCACATTTCTGACTAATCCAAGCAAAGTTCAAACAGAATTATAGATAATTAAGAAATACAGATAATATAACCTTATCAGACTATCTCAATAATTTATCTGTTATGGCTGATGAATTCTGTACAAGGTGGCATAAAAAGTGCAATCAGATTAGATTATCACACAAGTGGGAAAAAATGGAAGAGGCTCTATATCTTAAAGAGAGAGAACAAATTGGGGTTCAAAGGGATTTTTTTTAACGGGAGTTAAAAAGTTGGAGTTAAAGAATGGGGTCTGAATATGGGTCAAATGGTTTTAGGGAGGAGTTAAAAGTAAAGGGTGGTCAAGAGTGTCTTGTGAGAATCCCGTACTTATTTATTTGGATTTTGGTTTACATGTTCGATTTTCAAACTTCATAGTTGGAAATTTTGAAGGAATCAAACCACACATTCTTGTAATCACTGATATATATATATATATAAATTAAAACCATTCAAAAGATTACTATTAATTATTTTTAGTAAACACACGGGTAAGGAGGGTGTACCTAGCTTAAAAGAAGAAACAACTTTACATTTTTATGGAACTTTATGGGGAAAACCACAAAAATTGTAATTATTTTTAACTATAGTTTTTACAGCATGAGAGGTTGAGTCAATTTGTTATATGTTAAGTTATAAGGACTATCGCATATTGAGTTTCACAATTAAATCCATTAAAGCAGTTTGTGTAAAAATCATATCTTTCTGTTACTTTATAGACTTTAGGAGGAAAATCACCATAAAAAAAATTTAAAAAAAGTGAAATAAATTTTTGGAGACATCAAGGATTAGGACCTACATACAAAATTTCATCAAAATTGGATCTTGAGTGTAGTCTGTTGCTCTTTACACATTCACTCACACTTATGCATAGTCACTTAGAAAACCACTCTTTGGGGTTCAGGAGTACCCAAAATGAATATCTTCACCCAAAACACAAACTAGAAAATTTTGGTCATTCTCCACACTATTTAGAGGAGGAAAAAGTAAAAATTAGGCTTCAATAAATGCATCTGACTCAAGAGACAGCTGATCGTAGTCAACAAGCTGCAAAGCTCTTTCCATTCTGCACATTTAAGTACAAAACGTGTGCAGCTGATTAAATAAATTGGAATAATTTGTGTACTACAAAAAACTGAAAAGCAACATATTTCAATAAGCAAAACAATCAAAGAATATCTTTATTTTCCAATGCAATATCACGGATCTTCTTTCCAGGTCTGTGGCTCCTTCTGATTGTAGGTTTATCTGTGGCCATTGCCATAACCTCGTCAAAATCCTCAGGCAGAGGACAAGGCTCAGAAGACTGGGGTGGAGCGGAAGGGTTGAACTGTCTTCTTAACCTCTCCTGGTTGACAAAGTAAGTCTCCTTCATCATCTCATAATCTCCTTCTCCATTTCCACTCTTTTGCTGAGCCCACCACCCCACTGCCACTCCAACTGCCAACTGACAAAAACAATTTTTTCACTTAACACCACATGGCCAGGGAAGAGGTGTTAATGGTATGAGCAGGATAGTTTCAAGCGAGTACCATTATCACCTTCCCAGGCGAGCTTTACGCTTTGCAACGATACTGTACTAGTAAAAAAATGTTTATTTGTAAACAGAATCTAATACCTATGCTATCACAACTGTTTGATATAGATACCGTACATTATGTAAATACATTTTTGTACAATTATCACCTTTTTTAAACTCTTTCCAGTATTTACTATGGTGTTTAGTGATAAAAAGATGAATTAAGAAGACCCCTGAAGATGCCACACAAGGTGGAAAATACATAGGGAAACACAAACATCTTAACTACTCAAGAATTACTGGCTAGAACAACAAAGGTAATTGCGATTTCTAGTTCTTGAAGCTTTGATAAGAAATAAGAAAAATATATATCACGTATATATCACATACATATATATATATATATATATATATATATATATATATATATATAAGAGAGATTATACCACTCCATACACATATTTTTAAATCACCAACTTATACAGGTAATTGTGTTTTTTTATTTATACCAAGTAGCATTGCAAAAGAAACAAATCTCACAAAGTCAAGTACATTTTTGAAAGAGTACCTACATTTCTATATTTATTCTATAGAAGAATATCTGGAGTCCAGTTAATTTGTTTCAAATGTGAAAATATATATTTCCATAACAAACCTTACTTTAAAACTGACCTGATCTAATAAGTTTCACGACTTACTTTAACGATCACACCTCCTAACCCATCAGTAAAGTAAGTGAATGAAAATTTCATCCAAATTGCAGGATTGAGATTCTATGGGTAATATTTTGATAATAAATTTGTTGTTCCGATAACATCTTGTATATCTTATCAGGATAGGTTGCACATTATTGATTAAAACCATTTGAGAGTTAGGCTCTGGCTCTATATAGTTCATAAAAAATACTAGACTATTCATGTTAAAACTAAACTGTCTATCAACAGTTCCTTGACTCAATGAGACAAATCTTATTAATTCAAAACTGTTTCATAATATAACCATTGGTTTGTCATGTTGATATATTTTTTTGTCAAGCATGTTTGAACCATAACTTTTTATTATTTTAATTTTATGAATAATATCATTGGGACTCCCTCGGAATGAAATCTTTTAAATTGATTCATCATTTTCCATCTTCCAGCAGTTAGCTTACCAACCTCCAATCTTTGTAAAAAACAGATTTCTCTTATCGAAGGATGAACATTACATAAATAAAATATTTAAATATTTAAAAACTACTATTACCACTTTTCTTTGTAATAATTTGGCTTTCACCAATTTGGCCGTTGCTTATGGATGTAATTCTTGTACCAATCGTCCCTGTCCGTGTATTCATCTTTCTTCTTGCAGATCCACCCAAGAACCAGCCCAGTGAATAAACAGTACAATAATTTGAAATTTGGAGACCACTGTAACAGAAAGTTAGACACCCCTGTTGAATCAAATCTGAGACTCAAGATCTTTTATAATACCTGGTTGTATGTTGATTCGTTGATTAATATCCAACAATCTGCCAACACACTACAGTGTGTATAGGACAAAGATAATAGAGGATGAGTGTAGAATATGCGTGAGTTAATAGCTTTATCTCAGGTTTTAGAGTGCAAAAGCCAAGTGCTGAGCTCTTCTCTTGTCTTAGGTGAATTGTGGGTAAATTAATGGTATTGTTTTCGTAGAAGCTGAGCAGACCGCCGCTGGACGAGCAGAAATAGCTGCTCCATGTTCAGTTTCCCAGTCTGCTCACGGCGTTCAGTGCCTATGAAATTGCTTTATTTATTTCCACCGACTTAAGGACTTATCTTATAACCTCTCTGAGAGTTTATGTTTTGGTTTATAGCCACTCACTGCCATTAGAGTATTAGACTACATTATTTAGTATCAAACATTTACAGTATGTGAGTTTATCTTTGAAAATAAGTCAAGTCAAATGTTTTTGAATTGATAATTTTTTTTACTAAATCTGTGGGTGAAAAGTCCATTATAACAGAGTTGTGTAGCGAAAAGCCCAATACAACAGAGTTTGTAGTGTAGCGAAAAGTCCATTACAACAGATTTGCGTAGCGAAAAGTAAGGTCTATTAAAACAGAGTTGCGTAGCAAAAAGTCCATTAAAACAGAGCTGTGTAGCGAAAATTAAAGTCCATTAAAACAGAGTTTTGTAGCAAAAAGTCCAATACAACAGAGTTTGTAGTGTAGCAAAAAGTCCATAACAGAGTTATGTAGCGAAAAGTAAAGTCCATTAAAACAGTGTTGTGTAGCAAAAGATTTTTTAAGCCCTACCTTGTATGACTTCCACCACCACTTCCACCAATCCCAAATATCCACATTTACATCAATTATGTTTGTGAACATTGCGATGGGAGTCTTGGGCAATACTTATAAGATGGATTACTTTATAAGAATGGATAGATAACTAATCCAGATGGTTTATCAACTACTGCTGCATTATCTTTTGGGAAAATTAATGTAATCACAGTTCTTTGATTTATTGACAAAGAATAAGATTGAATTTGTATAAACTATGTTCAATTATAAGACAATTTGTAAACAAAAGTCAACATTAAAGAGAAATAAAACTTCTATCTACAACTTAAGTCAACAAAAAGTGAGAATTAAGAAACATCAATTGTAAATAGTTGTTATAAATTGTAAAATTCTGATGAGAATCAAAAGAGAGTAGGTACGATTTTGTTCTCTAGGTGTCATAAAATAAATTTTCTTAACATATTTTGATATTTGAAAAAACACAAAAATACTTGTATTGAACCATTGATTGTATTATCAATAGAGTTCATTCTTTTAGCCATTTAAACTCATTTGGGTGAATAAGTTATTTTAATAATAAATAATTGTTTAAATACCTGTGTACCTGTATAACATGAACCTGAAGTTATTTTAAGCTAAAGAGGCTGAAGAATGGGTGAAGTAAGATGAACTGTGTAGTTTTGTTAAATATCAGCTGTCTCTTTAGGGGCCATTGAAGTCCAATGACCAACTGGGTTCAGTTTTGAAAAATCAAAAAGCTGCTGACTAATCTATTGTTCAATATACTGTATGTGTAAATAAACAAACCAAATAAATAAAAAAAAGCTTGGCTCCTATCTACGAATTGTATACTCAATGATATTTTTTATTACTTATACTTTTCATACAATTGAAATACTGCCATTTTACAATCAAAAGGGTTTACATGTAGTTGAATTTGAATTGGGTTAAAACATGACGCATTTACTATGAAAATTAATTATTGTTAACTATTAAAATTATTTTTTAAATTTTGTTTTGTTACAAATTCATTATGATGAATTGTTTTTATAGATCATTTTAAGTTTAATACAGAAAAGAAAGGGAACACAACTAAAACACTTCCACCATATTTGGTCAAAAAAAGTAAAAATCCAATTTTTTCCTTGAAGACACATTATTTAAAGTAAATAATTCTCTAAATTACTCAGTGCAAACATTGATTGTGTTTATGTTTACAAAACTGATGAGACACACATAAAAACTGTCACCAATGATTCTTGCTACTAAGACCTAATATGATATTTTAAAAATAGGTTGACATTCAATCTGCTCTGCTCTGATTTACTGAAATTTGATTTTATTGTCTACAATAGAATAATTTGCTCCAGGAATCCCTCCTTTTAGAAGATCCTCATTAAAATTCAAGGTTACTGTGAATGGATTTGACTCTGGGGATGCAGAACTGTCTGCAGGTTGAAAGTTTGCATCCTTTAAACCACAATCTTTCAATTTCTCAAGACACTCTTGAGACAAAACCCCTGAGGTTATCAAACTTTCAAAATTTCTTGATCTAGGAATGTTTTCCTCAGTAGGATTTTCATTTTTAATATCATGCCTCACATTCTCGATCTTTAATCCCTTGTTAAGGATTTCTTGAGGTTCATGTAGATGGTTAATAACTTTGTTCATAGATGGTTCATCTTTGTCTCTATAGTTCATCCGATTGAGAACCGGATCTTCAATTTCAATTTGAGAACCTTCACTTGCAGATTTTGGCTGTTCAGATTTAGCATGGTTCCTATGGATCCCAGCTAGATCCATATCTTTATTATTTAAAACAGAACCACAACCATTCTGATGATTTGATCTCTCATGGTACTCTCCTTGTGCCTGATCTTTGTTATTTAAGGAGGAACCACAATCAATCTGATGACCTTCAGGAAATTCTTCTTTAGCCAAATAATCTTTGTTCTTTAAGAAAGATGTGTTATCACTCTGAAACTTCAGTCCAGCATCTGGAAACTCTCCTTGAGCCAAATCTTCATTAAAGTTCCATCGCGCTATAGGTTTGACTTCGTAAGTAGTAGGATTGTTCATGTCCATCTGAAGAGTTGGTGAATCTTCCCCCGGCTTATCAGAGATAGTCGCTCCTTCTTCTACCTTCCTCTTATCTTCAAGTTGCAGCCACCATCCGACCACTATTGAAACCACTAACGCAATAAGGTTCACAAATACAATTTTTCTGATTGTCTGAAATTAACAATGTTGAGATCAAGATACAGAATTGGTTTTGTACAATAAGATGAATAGAGTCAACCCTTTATTAAAATATTAGACAAACAAAGTAATTCAATGTTCAATTGGTTCCTAGAAAAAGGCCCATGAGATAAGGTTACTCTCGAAACTGCCGGCCGGCATCAACATATATTTTTGTGTACAAATAAATTTGCCCAGAAGATAACTCTTTTGTGACAGCTATGAAGGGTTAAAATTATTCGGGATACCAAAACACGACACTTTACTATAATCGATGAATATGAAAATAAAGCATATTGTCTAAAATTATAACTGTCTTTAATTAATATAGACATGATGGCGAGATATGACAAAAATGGTAGTAAAAGCCACCATGCGCACACTAAAAAAATGGTGAATGAAAATACTGAAGGTTATGAAAATATGAAGGTTTTTTACATACCATTTAAAAAGTGGATGTTTTATCATCATACCTTTTGTTTATCGTCCAAAGCGGTTTTCAATTTGCAGTAGCTATTTGTTAACTTGCTAATGATAGTCTCCATTTTATTTCCTTCTGGAAGTGACATTGGATTATTGTTTTATTTTAAATCTTTTAGAAATTAAACGTGGATTGTAATTAGGTGACAACCAATTGCTTTAATTGTAAATTAGTTATTCACTAAGCTAAGGTTCAGTTATAAGGTCATAGGATTATTGATTATATCTTAATTACCTCTTTCTTCTATTATCAATAGATAAATATCAGTTGAGTAGCTTGACTTGTTGATCAACAATATACAAATATCACAAAGTAGTTCCCTTCATCCAGAAAACAATAAAATCTAAACTCTCCATTAAAAATACTGTCTCAACTTCACATAATTTGGAAAACCTGTACATCCGAATTCTCCATTACAAAACATCCTGTTTCAATTTTACTCAACAGGAAAGCATCACCATCTGAATTCCCAATTAAACTGTCTCAATTTTCAGTTACATTAACGTATAGAAATCTTTCTGTGAGCCCAATCTTTGGTTATGAACACAGAACACTCTCTGTTGGCGACGAACGGGTAATACTTTTCATTATCATCGTCATAACTCCAAACCAGTCGAGTTTTCACAGGCCAGAAGTTAACTCCAGTGAAGTTGTTCACGAGACGAAGAGGTTCGGAGTAATAATACTTGTTGAAGGCTCGAGCCCACCACGTGTTCGGGTAGTACCATTCGTCACTCCATTTGATCAAGTAGCCTCCGTTGAAACCCAAAATGGTAGAACCGATAAGATCCAGCTCATCCTGAAATAAAAATTTATCAAAGCTTAGATATACTAATAATAGATTATAGTCTGTATGATCCAACCTGTCTCCTGGTTTAACGTCTTACCTGGGACTTGCACGGGTGTTAAACCATCAGCCAGTCCCCAGGTAGACAAAGGATCTGGGGACAGGTTCCATCATACAGACTATAAACATACTCACTTATAGATCCATCATACTTTTGTCATGCACTGCTTGTCCTTTTGTATTGTAATCAAAGAGTAAAGCAACAACAATTATTGAAATCTAACATCTATCAAGTAGGATGGCTTTTACATAGCTTCATCAGGCAGTCCTATACATTAATACTTCTGAAGCATTTGTAAAATAAATGTTTTTCAATGAAATAAGTACAACCCTTAAAATTAACTCAGTTAAGTTAAATTTTTCAAACAGAAAGTTGTTTCTGTGTCCCTTTGGAGTCTGGGAGTTACATTTTTCTCATGATTTATTTGATTGGTGAAGATCTAGGATATTACATGATTGTATTTTAGAAACCCTACAGATTTACTAGTACAAAATACTGTAATGAAGTAATTTATCAGTTTAATTTCTTGAAGATACACGTATATATTTCTCAAATTGAAAACCAAGAGCTTGATTTTTAGAAGTTGCAACATCCTACCTACCTCATTTTCCTCAACCCATTCTGTGACTTTTTCTTTCAGTTTCTTATAAAATATTTTAAATTTTACCCAAATATTGTATAACATTAATAAGTATTGTTCTCAGCCTTTACCCCCTACACAAACAGCTTAAACATGATGAATCTAATGCTTGCTCTAGATAACATTTTTGATTGATTGTCATGACTAACATTATTATATCTGAGTTAGTTATGATTTTGTTATCATTATACAGGCTCTAAATTATCCCTTGACAGAACTAGAGACAAGTTTTAAAGGTAAGTATCACAACAGTAAGATTTTAAACATAAAGAGTTAATTTCTGTAAAACTACTAATTTACAGTCCAAATATTCAATCTTTGAAGGGTAGACAGGCAAGTACATTTTGAAACATTTAAGAAATTAATTAAAACTACAGAGAGAGTTAAATAACTTGTAATTACTGTGTATATTTAGAATTGTAAAAGGTATGTTTTTACTTAGTATTGTAAGTTTTTTTGTAGATTCTAGTACTTTGATCAAAGTTTTGTAATACAATACTTTACTCTCCTGACACAATATATTTCATATGTTCTTCTAATTTTCCAATCAAATATTAGGAAACTTAGCTGGCTGATTGGCGTGTTTAAGACTACGGAGGTTTTTTAGACTTTGATAGTCTTATAGTGTTTGACAATCATTCCCGTTCATTTACAACATGATATGTAGGCAAAATTCGTCTAACTGGTCACTGCTTCAAACAAGACCGATGAACAGAAACAGTCAGCATACACAGTGGAAAACATCGTGCAGATGTTAGTTTCCACCTCCAACCATTATGAAAATTATCTTTTCCTACAGTCACCCGACAAAGTTGGCTTCCTTGTACTGTTTATAGTACAGAAAGCTGCTAATTGATGCATATTTATACTTAGCCGTACGGTTTATACTTTGTCGTACGGTTTATACTTTGCCGCGCATCAGGATTCCAACGAAACAACACAAAACATCGTGGTTCTATTATACACGTAATCCGTGTACGCTTGGAAATAGGTTGGCAACACTTAAAGATAATAATACTATGAGCAGCTGATTGACTATTATAACTACGATTTAACCTATCATTTCGTGTTTATAGTTTCGGTATTTCTGAACTTTCTGGACTTTTCTTTTAAACGATTTTAAAACATTCCTACGATCTTAATAAACAAGAAAATACCTTCAAAGCATTTTTTTAGGCGCAGAAACCACTTCAAATTACAAAAACATATGGAACTTTATTCTCAAAGTGCGGAGCACATTTCTTGCCGAGGGAAAATAGCGGAGTGATACGGACCGGGTACTACTTTCTCTAGGGCACCTATTTGTGTTGCCAGCTGAACCTAAAAACGTGTTGTATAGTGTTTGAAAGACTAATTATTTATATGCTTTATAGTGACTGTAGGAAAATATAATGTGTAACACGAGTGAAAAAGGCCTTTGCTGCACTCGCCTGCGGCTCGTGTGTAAACATTGCTCTCGTGTGCAGCAAAGTGCCACTTTCACCACTAGTTACACAAATAACTATTGTCCAAACACTTTACTACATTTACTATTCACAACCACAACATGGTGGTACCAGCTGGAATAGTAGTGGATGAAGTAAAGAAAATTTTTTATCTCAGAATTGAATTAGCTCGCTTGGCCATGATGGAGACCCCAATTTATGAATCAAACTTTATTGTCACAAAAACAGCCGACATGTTCCTTAGACACAGCTGTTAATTAATAGTCCATAAAGCCAATGGCAACTAAGGGAATTACAGTTTATAGTGGAATCCTAATCACATTTTTCCTTGTAATTAACGAATTGGTCCAATCAGTACTGTGGATAGTCGTAGTACTCACTAGTGCCGATGTTAATCCACACCAGGGAGCATCGCATCCACAGTGCATGCTTATAAATAACCACAATTTGTGACCTCCTAGTAACTGGATTACAGGACAACACCACCGTACCAGTCATTTAATTATCTTTTTATAAGTATAATTTTACATTTCTTTAGTTACCTACCTATTGTCCCTCTACTATATCATAAGCTTTAAAATGACACCCCATTGAAGAATCAGTCAACTACAATAGAGGTTTTGTTAAACACTAACTTAGCGTCTTGTTTCCAGATGGGAGACATATTGGTCCCGGCTTTGGCTATTTCCTTCGCCATTAACTTCTGGTTTTCCACATTCCTTACAAGACAAGTGATTAGGTCACAGAACCAACCTCAGGATGAATCTCAAGTCAAGGAATAGTCTGAACTAATAAATAGCAAAAGCTTCTTGTTGTTTTACTTCACCTAAACATTTCCTTAAGAGTCCTTGGAGGCTATTGACCATCTTGGTTAATTTAAAACTGCTGAAGAGTTATTTATCGCCCAAAAATATTTTTTCAAACACCCAAAGGACTATAATTTAAATATCTAGGGAACATAGGGACATAAATGACTGTATTTTAACCTAAATATGAAAGTGGAATAGGTTTAATAAGAAGTGAGATGTCTTCGTCTTCCCTCGCTTTGTTAATGTTATTGACTTGATAGCTAGTCAGATATTAAAAGACCAATGATCAACGGTAGCTGATCGCAGCAGATTTCAACTATTAAAAAGCTACTAGCTTTTCTCATTGTCAAACTGACCTTCAAAACATTACTAGGTGAGCAATATAACTGTTCATACCACTCAGCATATACAATTATTAAAAACTGTCAAATTGAATTACATTTTTATTTAAAACAAAAAGTTAATGTTAATGCTTAACAAAAACCAAATAAAGACTGCCCTCTTGGTAAAATGACAGTTCAAAAAACGAATGCAAATCTTATGAAAAGATTCACAAAACACATGTTCTGAACTTGGTTATATTTGGTAAAATTGTGCATGGTAAGATTTAAGACATTTACAATAATTCGATTTAATGATATTTTCAAATTATGACAAGTAAAGTCCAAGTAATATAAAAGCGAAACGTGTTGAGAATGATCAAGGAACTGCAAGGTAAGTTAGGTAACTTATTTATAATTAGTATTTACAGTTCAGTTCCGATGCAACAATAGATTGCAACAATTTGCATAAAAAACCAAAGTTTACACAGGGTAAAAATAACACTTAAATAAACAGTAAAAATGTTTTTATTGTTTTATGGTCTACGTCCAAATGTCTGGGCCTGGGACTGGATGAGTTGAAGACCACCAATGTTGTTGAACTCCTGAAACGAAACAACAACAGTTACTAAATGTCCAACAGTGTTGTGTATTACTCACAAACCTATTATTACCAACACACCAGGTATAAAAGGAGGTTCAACTTAATTAAATGTTTCATATAAAAAAAAAACAAAAACAGTTTTAAGTAGTGATTCTGAGAAACATTGTCATTATTATACACATTTTATATGTCCCAAAAAAAGTCAGTAGGCCTAACTGTCAATTTCATCAACTTCATGAAACGCAAGAAAAATCATTTTAATTATATGTAGCTTCGCTTTTTTAAAATTTTACCAAACAACCAACACATTGTATTATACAAAAAGTTAAATTAAGAAATAATCAATTTAGTTATTTATTTTATTAGTGATGTAAGAGGAGAAGTATTTACCGAATAAATGAATTTACTTAATAAAACATAATAAGATACTATAACTGAAGGAAAAACTGACAACAAATACAAAAAATATTTATGCATAAATGAAAAGGATAATTACTGTTTACGATTAAACGGACAAAACAGTCTTGACTCTCATTATGCACAATCCATCAACATTATAATTAACAACTAACATTTGTAATCACACAAAACAAAGATTAAATATTTAGATTGCAATTTACCGTAATTGCTACTAAGGAGAACAGCAATTTCAGGGACAAAGTAAAATTAAACTCAGCACTAACTGCGGGCTATTAGTATTCACAAAGAAAATGAACACGGCGGACAGCTAATAACTAAACATGGCAGTTAGTGTTTAAACGTGTCGCGCCCATTCACGTCGGGTCGGCGATAAAGGTGTTTTTGTGCTGCACTGGATGGTAAACATGCGCTGTTAAACAGACAACCAATTTCGCTGATGTGATGACGACCCTGGGGAGAAAACCGTGTTTGAACAACATTCGCTCGCTTTTCACATAAAAACGACCCTTTATCCGAATGAATTAGAAAACACCGGCTGAAATTTCCTTCAACGTTGGCAATAAAGACAAAGCTGTTACGAGAATTACTCCATCTGGATTAGTGAGGCAATCCCTTCGAGGATTGCGGAGTTGGAATGTGCAATTACGTCTAAATCAACTTTTAACATCTTTCATAAAAGAGACATGGAGCTTTGTTGTAAACATTTGGTGTTATTATTGCACATTAATTTGAATAAAACATTTAGTTTAATTGACTATTTAATGATAAATATCAATTTCATTCAATATTTACCTATTAAAAAATAGTTGAGTAAAATATATAATTAAATGTTTTAAAATTGACAATCTAGGCCAATTTCATAGAATTAATAAAAATTGTTTAACTAGTAAGACTTGGTTAGAATTTGTGCAATTACCAACTTTTAATAAATTAATATGCATACAAAAATATTTTGAACTTTCTAAAAATTAAATTAATGATTTATTCATTGACAATAATTAACAGTAAGAAAGAGAACTTCTCCTGTGTTATATGCTATATTAATTGCTTTACCTGTGTATTTAACTTCTATTATTCTGGAAAGTTTCTCATAAAAAAACAGTTACATTCAAGTATGTGCTTATAGGTGTGCGGTTAACGGTTTTCACAAAATGTTGTGTTACTTATTAGCTTTATTAGATAGATGACACAATTTTCCAAATAAAACAGCTTTTAATAAAATATCTCTTAGGCCATCTAATCCATTCTTGACCGAAATATATTGTTATAGAGACAAATTTACCCCCAACAACTTTAGAAGTTAAACGTGACAAAACCTGTGTCGGAAAAAAGCTTGTTACATAATTATAAAAGAAAAATATAATGCAGAAATATATTTAACAATGCTAATCATGTCTCAAGACACTAGTTTTGTCGAATCTGCCATTGACCTGAGGTTGGTCTGTTTTTCATACATCAGGCTGGCATTTTAAATTTTCTACAATTTACATGTGTCACTAATTGTAGAACAAAGACAGTTGAATTTCATAATGCCTCTTTATTTTGATTATGGATTTGATAGCATGACCCTAAACTAGCAATTGTCACCAACTAGTAGGGCTGAAAGCAGACAAGGCATGGTAACTTTATGTATTTCAATTTCTCAGTCTTGATGCGAGAATGTTGTGTAAACAACTGAGTGTAACGCAAGACTCACCAGCATCTTCAACATCTCCTTGGTCTCAGAGTCGACCTCGATGAGATCTTGCTCCAGAGCAGACACCTCGGGGACGTAGTTGTCTCTCCTCTCTCTCTCCTCCTCCTGCAGCTTGATAGAGATACCTCTCACCTGTGAGTGACGCAGTCTCTTCATCAAGTGGGTGACGAACCTGTCAACATGAGCGTTATAGCAAAATACACCCTTTCAGATAGAAGATGGATATACAACAGTGTACAGTCAATGAATCATAGTGAAAGACAATTTTGTAATTTCAAAATTTTAAAATTACCTAATCCTACTGACAGGTCAATTACCACCAATTATGTCTTTAACCATTTTAAACCACAAATATAAACTTTTTTGTATGTATATGTATCTTGAAAAAGTCTAGATCTTCAACCACAGTACACTAAAGTTTTACTGTCTTCGGAAACAAGTAAGATATTTTAAAAACATTATGTGCGTTGAAAAGAAAACATTTAAATCGTTGAACAAGATTATCACATAGGCTATCCAAACACCACTAATAAATTGGGGAGGTTATTACCAATAGATTTTATCAATGTGACAATACCGCAACCCCTAGTCCTAGAATGAAGTAGGCCTAATGGGAAGAACGATTTTGGGCTTTGGCATAAGGTAATAGGGGGGAAAAAACTAATGATTTTGCAGGATTTGAAACTAGGCCACGTCATAAATCCTGTGCTCTAAAAAATAACTGTCTCCAAATTCCCAATCTCCCTCCGCAAAAGTCACGATTATTTTACTGGATCAGCACAACATGGGTGGGGGGGTGAGACTATCACAGCATTGTGACACAACACACTACACTGCCACTGTTGTACCATATCTGACATGAATGATAATTGCACAGTCGCTCTGTGATTTACGCTCCTGATTTGCATTTTGGATTCATTAGCTGCCAGTGTTTGCCTTAATTAAAAATAATCTACACCCCATCATCAAAGCGCTTTGTTGCGAGTTTATGTTGTCATCCGTCAACAGTCCCTCTTATTTTTCAACTGTATTTTAACTCGGAAAGGGACATATATTTGTCTACGTGGGAATATTAGAATTACCATTTTTTTGCTACTGTAATAAAAATCTGTTTATTTGGTGATTGATGAAATTTTTAGCGAATTTCCCTATAGGGAAGTAGCTATTACCGTAGGTGGCACGGTAAGACCTAGGCCCGGGACCGATATACTTTTTCATTTTGATGTCACCAGAGACCAAAAACACCATTTGTTACAATTTTAATACATATATTATGTGTGTTTGTAAACACAATAGCTTGAGTAATTTTGTCAACATTTGATTAAATTTGGTTTGAAGGTGAAAGGCAGGATAAACTTGAATGCATGATCGTACCATGGGAACACTGTTTTATGGGGGTTTTATGGGGTAAAAATTGGTTTTCTCATTTTTGACCCTCAAAACACAAATTTTCCCAATTTCTCTCTAGGCCTTGAGCTTACAAAAACAAATAATTCAGTATAACAAAGTGTTTTATACAGTTGTTGGTTACGGAAAAATTCAAAAAATTGTAATTTTAAAATTCGTACGTTATTTTTATTGAGAAAATTATAATAAAATTTTGTAGTTTGCTTGTTAATGGATATATTTTGTTAAAACTTGGCAAATTTATTCATTATATTCTAAGCCATTCATATTTTACTAAAAAACACACATTATTAGTTTCATTGTAGCAGTAAACCTAGGTACTTGTTAAACCTAATGTTATTTAAATAGATTTAATGGAAAATCAATTCAGGCAAATGGAAATCTGCTTAGACTGCAGGTGTGCTGCGGTGGGAATATTTTTTAATTCAATCGGTTTACACATTTTTTCTCTTGTCATATCTAAGAACATAAAATAACATTGTGGTCAAAATACACCTAGGTGAGCTAAAATGTAGTATTAGAGAAGATCAATGGCTAAAATATGTGATATGGCAATTTTAAAATACAAATATAGTCTGTGCTTATTTAAAATTATCTTCTTTAATATTATAATAGACAAATTTTAGATTTTAAGATAGTTTAATAATGCTTTTAATAGGCCCATGGATTCCAGGAAATGTAATTAAATAATCGGGCATCGCTTACTTACAACTATAATCGTTAATTTGTTAGCACTACGATTTCAGATGTTACCGCAAAACGTCAGCCTAGTTGCCGAGATGCATACAATCTTTGTGATATTATTTCTTTAAGAAACCACAAATAAAGAGATTGTCTATAGCCTACTGTATTTCCTGTTGTTTGGTGCTACACAGACAACAGAATAAGGAATCAACAATTTGCCGATTCTGCAGTAGGCATATTTAATTGATAACCTTTTTAAAACGTTTTTATTAGCTCGCTTTCTTGTCCGGTACAAATTTTGCAATCAATTTTATACTAACTTCCCGATGGGCTAGAGACTTGAAACTTGAAACATAGCTCACAAATGGAAGACAATGCAATATTATATCATTTAATTTCATATTTCCCTTGGGCTACGCCCCACGGGCTTGTTTTTATTAACTCGCTTTCTTGAAAATTTTGATACTTCCCGATGAGCTAGAGACTTGAAACTTGAAACATAGCTCACAAATGGATAACAATGCAATATTATATCATTTAATTTTCATATTTCCCTTGGGCTACGCCCCAATGAGCTTGTTTTTATTAGCTCACTTTCCTACAAATTTTGATATCAATTATAAACGAAGTTCCCGATGAGCTACAGACTTTAAATTTGAAACATAGCTCACAAGTGGATGACAATGCAATATTATAGCATTTAATTTTCACATTTCCCTTGGGCTACGCCCCACTGGCTTCCAATTTTTTTATGTTTACATTTTGAAAGAATGTAAATATATCAATTAATTAAAGTCAGCTGTAAATACTTAAATTTGACAGTTCAAAAAGCAGAGGTTAAGAGGTACAGGTTCTGCTCCCAAGAGATTCTTTATACAAACAAACATTTCAAATAAAGATAAACAATCTGATTGCATATATAAAGGTGTTTGTTAATAATTTCATTTGTTATTTATTAAGTATTCTATAAAGTTAACAATAAATTAAATAGGTTGATATATTTATAATTAGTAGGTAGGCCATACATTCAATCTAATACATAATTAGGCCTATATAAAAAAAGAAACTCAAATAAACCTTAGATTTCCCACATGCCTCTGTCCTAATCTGATATATATGCATGAAATAGATTTAACATCCACACACATTAAATACTAAAAAGTAGAAAATAATTTATAAATAAAAATTTTTTTTAAACAAAACGTTTTTAAATGCACTAAAAAGTAGAAAATAATGATAAATATGTGGAGAGGATAAATACTTGTAAGATTTAAAACGAAAAACGTGGGGTGCATGCAATTGATAATAATACATTAGTTCAATAGGTGAAGGTAATTGTAAATCATCTATTGCATGCACCCCACGTTTTTCGTTTTAAATCTTACAAGTATTTATCCTCTCCACATATTTATCATTATTTTCTACTTTTTAGTGCATTTAAAAACGTTTTGTTTAAAAAAAATTTTTATTTATAAATTATTGTGTTTTACAATGAATCTAACTAATATTATAAATGTGAAAGTTTGTGTGTTTGTTTGAAGTTCAATCACGCATTAACTACTGGACGGATTGGGCTGAAATTTTGCATGATTATACCTCATATTCCCGATTAACATATAGGCATATTCTTATCTCAAAAACCCTTTCGGGCTCCGCCCCAGTGGCTCTGAAGTTCCCCATGTTAACCTTATGAGCATTCATATTTAAAGGGAATTAAAGAATTTAGTCAGCTGTTTCAACTAAAAAAGTTGGTTCTATGATATGGAAAGTATTAAAAAGTTATGAGATTTACCAACAGGGTGCAGCACTATTATTTTTTTTTGCATTTATGAAAACAGCTTATTTGAACTAAGTAGCAACATAAAACAGTGATTGGCAATGAGAACTGTCAAAGTAGGATTGTTTACTGTTACGTTTACGTTTTTAATTGTATGAATAATTTGTGATGTTTTGCAAAGTTTTAATTATTTATTTTTCTCTATTGTTTAGGTGCAGTGGCAGAACATTATGGCTATGGTAGATGTGTAATACTATAGTATAGCGTAAATTTTATTATAGTAAACAATTTTGTTCAAATGTGTCCTACCCCATTGCAAAAGCTAAGTTAGAGTATAACACTGCAATAAACATTTTGCACTTATATGCCAACCCCGTACGAAGGACGGGTACTCAGCTAGTAATATAAGTAAATGTGTAAAAATGATTAGTTAATAATATTTTGTCTTTGAAATAAAAAACCTTGAAACAAAAAGTCTTTGACAGTGAAGCATAAAAAACTATAGCCTATAAAAAAGATATAAAAACCAAAATAATCTAAAATCTCTTTCAGTAAGAGGCCATCAGTGGGGCCTGCATTAAATTGTAAGCTGGACAGAAATGACGGGTAATCAAGACAACATAAAGGGCAACTCTGAAAGGGGAATGGGCAATCACCTGACATTGTACAGACAATGGTCCAACTCCAACACTGAGAAAACTTATCAACATGCAAACAACAACTGTTAATCAGAATCCTCTGTAATTATTGTGAGTGAAAAAAATTGTTGATCTAAAAACTGTTCTTGAGTTAACTGAAGTATTGATTGTGTGTTAAGTGGACAATGTTGATTGATCTGATTTTGTTTTTCTAATGTTGATTGGTTTGTTAAATGTTACATTCGGTCTTTTGAATAAATTGAGATTAATTACATTTTTAGATTCAAAGCTCAATTACCATACTCATATCCATTGAAAGTAATAAACAACCTATAAAACATTTTAAAATCAAAATTTTCTCCCCAAAAAAAAACTAAGTGATTCTGATGAAACAAGCATATAAAGCAAGTGTGCTTGATAATGATGCTTCTTGACGTAACGAGATCATAAAATTAAAAACACAATTGGGCCAGACATCATCGTGTTGATGAAACTCAAATGCAAATTTGTAAAATAAATTAGTACAGAGAGACTGTACAATTAACATCCGCGTCAGCTGCAACCCTCGAGCGGACAAAAACTGATATACTGTGATTGCCATTACTTCCTTCTCTGCCGCGTTTGTTGTGCTGTCACCGCCACGAGTTATTGAAGCAAACAAAAGCA